CAAAGACGGTACTGTAATTGATCTTTTATAAGGACTTAATAATTTGAAGTATGGGTGTCTATTTTTCAACTAAGAAATCATGAACTTTTACGGGCTAATTTTATTCACTCTTTTTAAGTAAAATAATTTACCAAACAATTTTCTGATTTGGATACAACAGTTTTAAGAAAATTGCCTTGACTTATTGCCCATAATCTTGAACTCCAACATAACATTTTCGTATTTTTTGAGAGTATGGACCAAAAAATTTGAACTTGAAAGTAACATATCAAGATCAAGTATTTTTATTAGAGTGCGACACCCAGTTTTTTGGAAAAAATGCATTGGTTAACTGCAAGCATAATAAAATCTCCCAAATCCAGAAAAATGCCTCATGTAGTATTTTACTTAAGTAATCATACCTGTAAGGCAGACCTAAATCAAAGTATAGACATTCCACCTTAACATAGGGGAAGATTAAAGACTCTTTGATTTTTGCCCAAATTATTCTAGTCATTTCATCACCATCCATTTCGACAACCGGGTTTTTTGCTTCAACTCTTTTAGTTGAATCTGAAATAATAATGGGAGTCTAGACAGTGATTTATTCTCAAATATGTTTCTCCATGTTCAAAAATAAAGCAGCAATGATGCAAAGCATCGCTTGTTTGAATTGATATTGATTCTGAATTTATTGAAATGGCAATTAACAAAAACCATCAAACCATCAATTCTGTGTCCCATACATATCTAAAGAGAAATTTCAGAAAGATGTGCCAATGTCAATTTTTCTAGTCACAAATTTTTGGATATCAAATACAATTTTGTGATAAAAAAATTGGATAAGCCCAACTCCTGCATGAAATGGTGGAGTCATAAGAAACAAAGCCTGTTCAAATCTAAATCCATTTTTGAGGATCTTAAAACGTGTTGCCTATACTTACTGTTATTGGCTGTATGGGTTTTGCAAAAATGACTAGTTATCTCTATTCAAGTGAAATCTGTTCAGATTCAGGTCAAGAAATTGAAAATCCAGTTGAGGTACAAGAATTTCCTGAAGATTCTGATGTCAGTGAGGTTCCAGTACCAACAGAAACTATTCCAAATTATGGTAAAGCTATTATCCTAACCAAGCAGCTTAAAAGTTTTGTCGAAAATAAGGGAGTCTTTTGACCTTTATTCTGAATCAGTAATTCGATTCCACGACACCATTTTAAAGAAAAACAGGAGACAATATATGAATTTTTATGTCCTTAAAGTGACTTTCTTTTATATGGACACTGCTCTTGAACAGACACTTTCAACCAGTCTCATTCGTATCAGTCCAAAGGACATTTCACTGTGCATAAATTTTATGGAGTATTATGATAAATATGATAGGGTCTTAGACCAAAACGTGCATACATATCAGCAGAATATATTTGCCAACAGGTTTATTAATACAATATAATATTTTTTTTAGGTATAAAATGGAAAAGGTAAACACTATTATATATGTAGATAACTAATGCTTATGAACCTTCTATTCAAGTGAAATCTGTTCAGATTCAGGTCAAGAAATTGAAAATCCAGTTGAGGTACAAGAATTTTCTGAAGATTCTGATGTCAGTGAGGTTCCAGTACCAACAGAAACTATTCCAAATTATGGTAAAGCTATTATCCTAACCAAGCAGCTTAAAAGTTTTGTCGAAAATAAGGGAGTCTTTTGACCTTCATTCTGAATCAGTAATTCGATTCCAAGACACCATTTTAAAGAAAAAGAGGAGACAATATATGAATTTTTATGTCCTTAAAGTGACTTTCTTTTATATGGACACTGCTCTTGAACAGACACTTTCAACCAGTCCCATTCGTATCAGTCCAAAGGAGATTTCACTGTGCATAAATTTTATGGAGTATTATGAAAAATATGATAGGATCCTAGACCAAAACGTGCATACATATCAGCAGAATATATTTGCCAACGGGTTTATTAATACAATATAATATTGTTTTAGGTATAAAATGGAAAAAGGTAAACACTATTCTATATGTAGATAAGTAATGCTTATGAACCTTGTGCATTAGACCAAAATTAAACACGTCAAAATAAGCTGAATGAATTATATCATAGATCATGAACTCAAAAGATAACGTACAGATACAAATAGTATTTTTTGAAGACTTTGATACACACTTTGGACATCACTTTGCAAGAAAATATACCAATATGAACCATTTAATGGTCCGTTTTTTGGATATGTACTCTATACAAAAGAAAAAAAACGCTAAAGTAAAAAACAACACCCAATACCCTGTAATTGTGTACATCTTGATGTTAACTCCCTATTTTATTGGGTAGAATATACATATTCAAAATGTGAAAGCACCTACATACCCATAATATTTTATCAAGAACAGGTGCAGTTTAACGCAAAAAATAACCACTTGAATTGCAAATAAGTGCATTTCAAACGCACGTTTTAGAGCACTAAGCAAACTAAAAAAACTGAATATATTATACATGTTGAACCAAACTTACATTTTCTATTTTGTAATGCAGTAGTAGCTGGAATAGCAGCATTTTTAGTAGATAGTTGTATAAAATTTTTGGAAAACTTTGTCAATACACCGGCCATTATAACCTCACTTCTCTATTTGACAGTGACAGCTCGATCAACAGGCAGACTGGACACTGGATCAATGGAATCAGAGAATGGAATGAATGGATGCTCGGTTGAAAACCGCGGCGAATACCGCGTTCCAATGATAGACTTTGAACGATAGCGCATGGCCGTCTGATAAGGTTGATAACATATAATTAATTAGTGCGAGACACGCATACGGGAGCAGATTTTATTTATATTATTAATTTTAATTCAAGATCAAGTGTGTGTGTTTTTTTACACAGAGGCAGCCGCGCAGGCAGAAGCCTAAACGCCAGGACACCGCGGCTGCTATGAGGATCCCAAAGAAACTCTGTGAATCCGATTTTTGAACTGCGTAAGATTAGCAGTACTGTGAAAATCCTCCTCTTGAAGATTGTTCCACAATCCCGATACCCTCGGGACAAAGGAGCGGTCGTATCGAATAGTTCTGGATCTACGAAGTTCGACACGGTTAGGATGGAAGGCCGAAGTCAGGCGGGTCTGCCTGGCATGCAGGATCTCTTTCTCGGGTGATCAAAAACCATGAGACTTTTGTCCTGCCCAGCGAATGTCTCAGTCCAAGCGATAGTTCATAGATGGTCTAATAAGATTCAGCAGGGGAGAGTGCTGAACCGCACGGGTATCATGTAAAAAGTCTATAAAACGTCAAAAAAACCTATAAGATGTTAACTTGCAGACTAGGTAGTTTTTAGGGCGCAAACAGTCATTCCACGTTTGCTCACTAGGATCGTTTTGAACGTCCATCTATGGAGGAATCACTCAACTAAACTACACGCATTATTGGTTGCATAGTTTTGTGAGTATGAGAGATCCGTATCTGTCGATTTTATCTCTGAGAATAGCATCTGGATGACTATGTGTATTGGTCTGCATGTGTATATAATCAGTGATATTTGCTGCGTGAGAAAATCATCACTGAATATGCTGAATGTGACGAGTTATTTATATGTTGTGCTTTCTGAATAGAGGTTATGTTCAAAGTTATAAATTAAGAAAAACTGGGAAGAATTACGGGACATCATCACCGAGCCCGCGTTGTGTAATTACTGTTAGCGTGTATATGGCTTGTATTTTGACAGTGTACAGTGAATATAATTATTTCTAATCTCTCTCATTTTTTAAATTCAGCAAATTTGTATATATAATTTCCAGAATGGATAAGAAAAGTGTCTGCGTAACTAATTTCTAACTTTGAATCTCGATTAAGTGTATTTGAGACAAGAATCCAATGGAATTATCATCAACACATACAACTTACAACTTAGACCTCCAGTAATGCCATCTCTGCAGCAGATTTTACATAACATTAGAGCCAAACATTGATAACTAAAGCCTTATTACGTATAGGCAACACGTACAACTGAGTGCTAAGTTAACATCTTGTATAAAAACCTACATAATGTCAAAAAAAAGCAGCATAATGTCACAAAAAAACGAATAATGTCACTTTTCAAGATACGTGATACCCGTGCCGATCGCCATGTGAATGGTAATAGAATCCTCGTATCCAACTCAGGACTTTAGCGCCACTCCTAAAGTTTTGTCATTGATGACGAATAGTTATCTGATTTCCATTTATAATTGAGTTGTTCGGTCAGACTTACTACGAAGAGCAAGTTATCAATAGAAGCGTCTGTTAGAGTACTCCTGAGTTCTTTGTTTAAATGTGAATATCTGCCAGCTTGCGCTCCCCTTCTTTGAGCCTGGAGAAGAGAGAGTGTTGCCTCTTGCAGTTAATGAACAACTCACATGTTGCTGTACAGATACCAAGCGCGCGTCTCTGTGTGCGACAATTTTTATCACAGCGGCCGCTACCTCAGGGTTCACCTTAGGTGGCTAGGAGAGAATAGAATTTATTCATCTATCGTCATCTCGAAATATCAGCCCCGTGGTGATGCGTCATCTATTGAAACAGAATACTTGGCCACTTTCTGACTTTGCATCTATTTCGTTGGTGATGCACGTATGACGCGCTGAAATAAACCCTCAAGGCGACCAAGAGACATCATAATTATCGGCCCACCTTCGCTCCAGTTGTCTAATATTTGTATTCAACGATTGCACGTATAAGGAGCTGTTCCTTTGTCGTTTCTTATGTTTGGGCTCCTCTCACTGCTGAAAACGTAAACATCGGTGCGCGAACTTGTAACTCGATGTTTAGCACGTGGTACGAGAGCAAGGAATGAGAGTTTGTAGGCTAGGAGGCGGAGAGGGGTACTACACCTGTTCTGTTTACGAGACGAGGCCGGAACATAATTTGTGAAACATACCAGTTAGACTATTATATGCAGTATTTTCGACTATAGGAGACTTCCTAATTGTATTCGTAGAAGTACTACTTTGGCCCACCGTGTATTTGTCCTCTCCATCTGGTACGTGACATGAAAACGCGGTTTGGTGTCTCTGACCATACAGGCGACAGGCATTGCACTCTGGCACTCGCCCATCTCATCAGCCAATCGCGTATCATTACAAGTGTACCCGGACACGCACACCTTTGAAAGTGCATCCAGTCGAGTCGCGATTGTCGTTTTGCAGCCTCGATCGCTTCAGTTGCAGTTTGCCGGCTTTGTTTTGCCAAACTTTCACGATTCTCTCTTTCAAACCGAGGTTTTCGTCAAAAGTGTCGTACTTGTAATTTATAAGAGAAGAAAAGCGCAAAATCTTTTTCTCCGCGCTGTATATAGATAATACTCCCCTACAGATGTGCTAAAATAAGGCAAACTAAAAGGATCAACAGGTTTTTCAGGTGAATATTTTTTAAATTTAATTTGCCAGCGTTTATTTGTTACATAAATATATGTCTCATATCAACGTTTAAAGTTTTATACGTGCTTCAAAGATAAAATCATAAAATTGTAACAATTGTTTCTATTCATTTCAATATTTCCAGATGTATGTTGAGTTAAAAAAATATACCATACAGGATAAAAAACCTCTAGCACAATACCTACCATATGCTTTAGTCGTTTTTTAACTAGAAATGAAGGAATGAAGATTAGAAGAACATTCTTCTTTAGCGTTACATACGTCAAGTTGGTTGACTCGGATTCTACAACTCTCAATGCGACGACAAATAAAATATAATACTGATGGGCACTTTCTTAGACACTCTAAGTTCCCAGTGACCACGATGGGTCACTATAGTCGAAATCACGAAAGATGACGATTACGTCATCATTTTAGTCTGTATTAAAGACAAACGACAGCGATTTGTGAATATATTTAATGAAGTTTCTGCTATGTTAGACAGAGACAAACAGAATTTTATTGTCTAAACAAACTGTATTGCTAATTTGCATGTGTCCGACAAAGATAGACGATGTTTTCATGTTGCATGATCGATCATATTTGAAAGATGAATAGATAGGTTATGTTAAAGCAGGTTATGTTGTTTTCGAATAATACTTTGGTCTTTGGTGTTCCTGTCTTAAGGTATTCTACTCATAACTGTTTTTTTCAAAACAAAAACTCACCACTAAAATTATTATTAAGGATCACTCAAAACCATGAAATAAAATGATGAAAATAAAAATGATGAGTGAAATAACCTAACTTCGCAAAATCATAATATAAATTTGTCATTATGTTCCTGACATCGTGATTTTATCATCGACGTACGTCCATTGATTACTTCAGAACAATTTAGGGTATGACGTAATAGTCATCTTTTGTGATTTTGACTATATGAATGGACTTAAACTAATCACGAGGCCTCTGTTTCACCGTTGTACAGGGTGGTCAACTAAAAGAATGCGATGCTTGCGGCAAACACAGCTGGTACTAAAACGGCCAAGAGAAAAACCTGGAAAATATTTTTAAGTTTCTGAAATGGCTGGTAGGGAGCGTAACTGCAATTTTGAGTATTAAAAAGTGATGCTTCTGTGAATTCCGCTATATTAACCTAACAAAAAAATACCTGATCTCTAAAGTCGAGGATAATGTGAAAATTTTTTGTTTGACAAGTTTTGGTGTATCTCTAAAAATAAAGTGGTGGGGGTGTTCAAATGCTTCCGTAAAAAAACACCCTGTATCTTCGAAAGGGCTGAGCCGATTTTAACAAACTTGGGCTAGTTGAAAAGAGCTATTCTTGGGCTACTAATATTTGAAGTTTTGTTAGTTTCACATGTGGTCGCTAGAAGGCCTTTTTCGCTTTCCGAAAGAAAAGATTAATTTTCTCAAATTAAATCCACTGTTATGATTTTCTAGCCACCCCCTTTCTATTTTAAAAAATCAAGTAAGCTGTATTTTTCCTGTGTTACTTGATCAAAAATGAAGCGATTTACAGCATCCATGGCATTCTAGATCGAAAAATAAAAATTGAAATAAAAACGACTTCATCTGTCAAATATTGACAAGCGAGGCGTTGTTGAGTTCAGAATGTCATTCTCGATCGAATTAAGTAAAAATCTATAGGGTTCAAAAATCGAAAGTTGGAGTCGTTTCCGGTCAAACAGGAGGTGCGTCAAAGCAAATGAATATGTCAGAAAATGTAAACCCAGTATATCTTCGGCCATCAATTATCGAGCTTCATTCCATGTCATGCGGGTTCGAGACCCATAAAAGAAAAGATGATTTTTTTCTAGGATTCGTAACTGTTCGAAATTTTAATACCCCGACTTTGTGTCGATCTTGATACCGCATTTTTATTTCTTTTCATTTGAATACGTTTCTTATCTGTGATATCTTTTATGTGAATATTTGAATTGTGCAATAAACACCTATCGGTTGATACCGTGGCGCTTGTATAAGTAAACTTTGGCAACGGTTGCTTTTATTGCAGATGAAAATACATCGGTAATTTTTTGAAGCCAGAGAAGCGGTAAATGTACTGAAATAAATCGGCGCCATACAAACTGAGAATTGAGATTATTTAAATATACTGCACCTCTCATCAGTAACTATATTTAGCTCTCAGCTAAAAGAGACTTGAAAACATCTAATGCATTTGAGTTTAATCGAAAAAAAAAATAATAATAATAGAAATAGCAAACGCTGAATTTTCTGATACTGCATTAAATGCATTTCCTAATAATTCTAAATGCATTGCTGAATGATCTAAGGTAGCAAAAACTTTCTAGGAGGCCTCCGAGGGGTAGGGAAAACGGCTGAAGGGGGCCAATGCAAGAGCACGATGATTCTCGATCATAATCTTTTCTATACAGGGTGTTTCACTTTATTGTTGCATAACTTTAAGATTCGATAGAACTTTTAAAATGAATGCATAAAGTCTATATAAACATGGGTCGAAAAATGCGTGGCTTCCGAAATACAGGGTGTTTAAATTTACTTTCTAAAATAGTTTTTTTTAAATATTTTGAACAGTATTTGATGTATAACAGTGAAAATTGGTATATTGGTATGACAAAACGAACCATGGGCATAGTTTTACTGTAGCCGCTAGAGGGCGCTCTGTACTGTACCTGTAGTGTATTAAAATGACCGAAACATTTTTCTTAGTGCAATTTTTTGCTTTTTGAATAAAAAAACTGATTCTTCGCATTTTTCAACATAAAAAAGCTCTCCTGTGAGTTTTCGTTATAGTTAGCCGTTTTTGAGGTATTTCGATTTTTAAGGTTCGATGCATTTTTAATTATTTATGGGAAAATAATATTTTTTTTTTACATTTTCGATTTGGGCATTACAAGTAATTAAGATGATCGTTTAGATTGTGTTTTTAGACACAGCAATAATTCCTAACTCCAAATAAACACAAAAAACAGAATATTAATTTGTTTAATTTTCCAATATTATTTTTAACAAATTAAATTAATTATTTACAACTAAAATGCTATTGGATAGTTAGGACAAACATACAAAATCTAAAGTAGTTGCTCGAAATGTAAACTCAATTGTTCAATACACAATTCACATCTACGAATGATCGAACGTGGTATAGCATTATTCAAATAAGGACTTATTTCATCACATGCATTCCTGATTCTGTCTATTAGCATATCTCTTGTGGTTACGGGAGTCTGGTACACTTTTTCTTTTAGAAATCCTCACACAAAGAAATCTAATGGATTTAGGTCAGGGGATCGTGGAGGCCAGCCGACTGGTCCTCCACGGACGATCCATGTTTCTGGATAATTTTCGTCCAGCCAGTTTCTAACTATTCTCGAATAATGAGCTGGACAACCATCAAGCTGGAATCAGGCCAATCTTCTTAAATCTAACATAACATCATCCCACATGTTTGCATGTTCAGCCTTTAAAAATTCAAAGAAGGTCGCAGCATTTAACCTTGCAGGCAAAAGGTAGGGTCCAAATAGTCGATTACGGTAGATACCAATCCACACGTTCACACTAAATTCATGCTGACAATTTCTTTCCCGAACTGCATGCGACCAAATATGTTGATTATAAAAGTTTACCACTCCACGTCTAGTGAAGCATGACTCATCGGTCCATAAAACGTGACTTAAAAACTCCCTATTATTATCAGTTCTATCAAGAATCCACTGACAAAATGTGATTCTTCGTTTTCCGTCCCCTGGCTGTAGTCCTTGCACAGGTTGCAAATGGTAAGGACGTCTATGGTCATTTCTAAGAACACGGTGAACATGGCTTGCTGAAATTCCCAAGGCACCAGAAACTCTCGTAACACTTGTGGTCGGATCTCAATCAAACTCACGCAGAATCATACGGGTAAATCTGCGCTGACGAACATTTATGTTTTGATCCCTTTGGAGATTTCCAAAACCATTTTCAAATATTTGGCGATGCACTCTTACAAATACTGAGCGAGTTCGATGTCGTCTGTTTGGAAATCTTCGTGCGTGTGCTGTGGCTGCTTCTGCTGCGTTTCCATTTACAAAGCCATACACAAAATGAATATCCGCTAACTCTTGATTGGAGAATAAAAATGGCATTTTTATAAAACTTACAAAAAAAAAAAACAGGTAAAAGAAACTATATTTCGTGCATTCACAACGTTTCAGGTTTCAACAGACAACAAAACTAACTGTCAACTAATTGACGTTTAACCTTATTCTGCTTTCAAGTTCAAAAATATTTGCAGGCACAGCCTACTTCTAAAAATTATCGAGATACTGACCTTTTAACGTTATTTTATCATAAGTAATTAAAAATGCATCGAACCTTAAAAATCGAAATATCTCAAAAACGGCTAACTATAACGGAAATTCACAAGAGAGCTTTTTCATGTTGAAACGCGCGAAGAATCAGTTTTTTCATTCAAAAAGCAAAAAATTGCATTAAGAAATTTTTTTCGGTCATTTTAATACACTACAGGTACAGTAGAGAGCGCCCTCTAGCGGCTACAGTAAAACTATGCCCACGGTTCGTTTTGTCGTACCAAAAGACCCTTGTATACCAATTTTCACTGTTATACATCAAATATTGTTCGAAATATTCAAAAAAAACTATTTTAGAAAGTAAATTTAAACACCCTGTATTTCGGAAGCCACGCATTTTTCGACCCATGTTTATATAGACTTTATGCATTAATTTTAAAAGTTCTATCGAATCTTAAAGTTATGCAACAATAAACTGAAACACCCTGTATAGTTTTGGACGACATGGACCAGGATTGTGCGTCGGGCACCGGGACATTCGTCATCTTAGATCTGTCTCTACTAGAGAAATATGGGATCATCCTAAATAACCCAATGAACAGAGTGACGTCATAATATCGGCATTCTTAAGGCACTACTGACGTACGCCGACCAACCAAAAATGATGTCATTATGTCTACTGTCACGACCAACTGACGTTATTATGTGACGTCATAGTATGACGCATAAAAGATAACATACAATGCCGATATGACGTCTATCTGAGGTCAATATGACGTCTATGTAACGTCGATATGACGTACAATCAGTTATACAGAGGAGTTTCTAATAAATTTGTCATTTACGAGAAAAAACATGATGGAAAATGTCAATTTGAAATATTTGAACATGGAATATTATTATTTTTTTTTTATATCGAAACAGCCGCGCAGGCAGAAGCCTAAATGCCGGAACACCGCGGCTGCTATGATGATCCCAAAGAAATTTTGTTAATACGATTTTTGAACTGCCTAAGGTTAGTAGAACTGGGAAAAGCTTCCTCCCGTAGTTTGTTCCACAATCTAGACACCCTCGGGACAAAGGAGCGGTCGTATCGGCCAGTTCTGGATGTACGAAGTTTGACACGGTTAGGATGGGACGCCGAAGTCAGGCGGGTCTGTCTGGCAGGCACATCGCGCGGCGGCATCATGGAAGAGAGCTCTGAGGAGCAAAGCCCGTTGGTGTAGCGATAGAAAAGAGCTAGATCGCCGACGGCCCGCCGGTGCGAAAGAGTCCCGAGACTGTCTGTTAGAGAAGAGTCATCGATCAGTCGGACCGCCCTCCTCTGGACAGCATCGAGCATGGAAAATGTAGTCGGGGCGGCAGCACCCCAAATGTGTGAGCAATACTCGAGGCTAGGCCTTATCTGGGCCTTGTATAGAGTGAGAAGGTCATGCGGAGAAAATTACTTCTTAGCCCTAAACAAATAGCCTAGCTTTTTCCCAGCAGCTGCAGCTATTGAAGAGATGTGTTCGTGCCAGATCAGGCCCTCGGTGATCTGGACTCCGACCAGCCGAAATGAATGGCTCTTTGGTAGGACTCGACCGTCCATCGAAACTGTATGAGCGCTAGGACGCTTTTTGTTCGTCAAAGTACAGTACTGTGTTTTGGAAGCATTGAACTGTACAAGATTGTTGCGTCCCCAAGCAGTGATAGCCTCCAGGTCTCTTGTCAGAGAAGAAGTCGTCGCTAGTCTTCTTTTTTCCAGCTCAGCGGCAGAGATCGGCTTGTCACTCTGAATTCCTGCATGTCATCAGCGAAGCTGTGGATTGGGTTGATCGTGCAGGAAAGGAGGACGTTGATATGTAAGAGAAACAGTGTTGGAGCCAAGACCGATCCCTGGGGAACACCCGCGTTGACGTTGTGGGATGAAGAGGAGAATCCGTCAATTACGACGGATATCTTGCGGCCAGAGATAAAGTCAGCCACCCATCTGCAAAGCTTTTCTGGGAGGCCGTAGGATGGAAGTTTGCTTAAGAGGGCAGCGTGCCACAGCTGATCGAACGCTTTCGTGATGTCAAGAGCAACGACATGAGCCTCACCATGAGACTGGATGAGTTTACTCCACAGTTGCGTGACGTAAGCTAGGAGGTCCCCTGTGGATCGTTGGTGCCGGAAACCGTACTGCCTGTCGCTAATCAAGCTGTGACGTTCGAGGTAGTCCAGAAGCTCGCGATTTATGCACCTCTCCATCACTTTACTTATAACAGAAAGCAGAGCTATAGGCCTGTAGTTGTAAGGGTCGGTTTTAGATCCTTTTTTTGGGATGGGCTGTACATGAGCAAATTTCCAGTTTTCTGGAAAGGTGCCGGATTCATAAGATATCTGGAAGAGACGCGAAAGAACTGGAGCAAGCTCAGCTGCACATCTCTTCAGTACAATGGCAGGAATCAAGTCCGGACCAGAAGCTTTGTTGATGTCGAGCGACAAGAGCACTCGTCTTACGGTCTTATGCCTGAATGTTACCTCCCGCATAGTGTGGGGAACCCTTTGAATTGACGGCACTTGGGCGTTGGTAGGGACGTCCATGGTGGAGTTGGCAGCAAAGATCTTGGCTAGCACTTCCGCCTTGGCCTTTGAGTCGAATACAATAGTTCCATCCTGACACGTAAGTGGTGGAAGGCTGCTGTATGAGAAGTTCTTTTCAATCTGCTTGGCCAGCGTCCAGAAAGACCGACTGCCATTGCGCTGCGACATTACCCTGTGCCTAACTTTTATATGATGCTGGGTTTTGGCATTGCGAACCGCTTCGTTATATTTGTTTCTGGACTCGACGTCGGCTTGTCTGTTCTCTACAGTGGGGTTTTGTAAGTAGGTTCTGTGGGACTTGATCTTCTGCTGGCGAGCAGTGTCACACGATTTGTTGAACCAGCCGTTGGACCCTGGTTTAGGAACTTTCACTGTGTGAGGTATGTATCCCTCCATTCCGACGTGGATAATTTCGGTTATTGAAGAACAGACAGTCGACGCATCCGCGTCAGTGAAACAGACATCTCTCCAAGGAAAGCTAGAGAAGAAGTCTCTGAGCCCCTCCCAGTCGGCATGTCCGTAATGCCAAGTTTTGCGGCCTGTGCGAGTTTCTGCGGCCACAGCGGCTTCTGACCGAAACCTAACCTCCACAACACCGTGATCTGAGTTACCCAGGGGGGACAGGACGGCAGTGCTCTAAGGGGCAGGATGCGTGGTCAGAAAGAGATCCAGCAGGCTACTGGCGTGTGACGAGACGCGGGGGAAAAAGTAGGGCTCGTCACCAGCTGGGTCAGCCCTTGAGTAAGAGCGAACGCGTCGACTGCACGACCTGCTGCATCGGTCTTATTTGAGCCCAACCAAAGCTCATTATGGGCATTGAAATCACCGAGAAGAACTACCTCTGAAGCGGGGTGATTGATGTTCAGGAAGTCGATCTGGACGGCGAGGTATTCGAGTAGGTCATCCCAGTTATGGTTCGAGGGAGAGCGATAAAGGCAGCAAATAAATTTGGGTGATGTTTTGGAGTTGAGGCGAAGCCACAGAATGTCCTTCCGGTCTGATTCCAAAGAAAGATCCCTGGAGCAGGAAAGACTGCTGCGGACAAAAGCCACAACTCCCCGTTATTATTACAAAAGTCATATTAAAAGATATTTTTGGTCAAAGAATTCCTGATACTTTTTATAAATAGTTTACCTTAATGTTCATTAAAAGTATATGTGTTGACTTTCCATTACTGACGTTAAAATGACAACCTTCTGAAGGACGTCTTGTTGTCGTCATGAAAATGGCGTCAATAAAGACGTCATTTTTTAGTTAATGACGTTTCCGACCAAAAGTGACCGAATAATGCCGTCATTTTGGCGTCACCGTGTTCACTGGGAAAGGATTCAATTTGAAAAGATAGGTGTATCGTTGTTCGCATTTTGTCGCCGATACCTGCTGCGATGTATCAGTGTTTTGAAAGTTGATTGAGATTTGATATCCCGCTTAATATCTCTGTCACGAGATCAAACAAGGTTGATATTATGAGGCAGGTATTTTTCAACTGCCTATCCATTTGAAGTTGCTTTTCGAACTATTGCAAATAATGGAACCGGAAAAATTAAGATTTTAAAAATGATTGAGGCAGCAAAGAAGAGGCTTCTAATTACCATAAATTCTAGAAAAGTTTTATTTGTAAGCTGGTGGACAGTTGCTTTGCAACATGGAAAATTTTACCCAAATTCAAATCTCGATATTTTCTGAACTGAAAGAGATATCTAGTTGAGGTATTCGAAACGTTCTTGACCATCTCTTTGAGAACACGTACAGGGTTCGATCGATATACTTCTTTTATTTATCCACTTATACAGGGTGAGCAAAGGAAGTTATGTTTTTTAGCAATGTTAGATTCTCAATTTTTGATCTTGGACATTTTTCTATGCATCTTTTTGATATTTGACTATTCTAAAAAGTGATATATCAATTGTTTTTTAAGTTGGTAATAACTCAAATTATGGAATTTTAAAAAGTGTTATATATATCCCTAAAAACGGGACTCTTTTGGGGTTTCTCTTGAGAATGGGTATTTTTTCTTATACTGTTGCTTGAAGCGCAACAGTTTAGACTGATGATATTTTTTGTGAAGTACCGAATCAACCAGCTTGACGTCACTTTAGTCTAATCAGTCCATATCTATTGACGTCCTGTATTTAACGTTTATCAGACATGAACGTCAATTTGAAAAGCTTACTGTTTTTAACTTTCTTGAAATTTTTGTATAACACGTGTCAGAAGTGTAATATATTAAGAACATAAACTAAACATAAATCTTATAATAATATAGTCATAATAAGCTATTTACAGGCAAGCGTTTCGCAATATATGTTAAATAACAGGTATCAACACCGCTCATTATAAATTTCTATTATCATCTGAGATACTGATAATGCATTGCACGTTTAATTCTCCTTACAGGTAGCTGTGCAACTATCAGGGAAATAAACCGTAATGTCTCGTGGAATTTTAAGGCTTCAACAGTACAAACGGCTCTGTGATATAAACGCATTTTCCTTCAGATGTAGTTTAGGCAACTTGCTATGTTCTGTAAAATGTTCGAAGCCCCAAAACAGAACATTCCTGACCACAACATATTTGGGGAAAGAAGCTGTTAGGGAAGCAGCAAAAGACAATCCTCAGGTAAAGCCGCCCGAGCCGCCACCTAAAGGAATTCCGTATAGTAAGCTGACTGTTGGGGTGCCAAAAGAGAGCTGGCAAAATGAGAAAAGGTATTCTGGATGCTTTGTATTTTTTTGATTCAGAAATCCCCCATCTTTTGCATTATATACAGCAATAACAGTACTATAGCTGTAGTCACCGTTCTTTGCGGGGCAAAGTAAGACCACCAGTATCCCTGTATACAGGGTGTACCTTAATGATATGCGAAGTTTTAGGAAAAAAATGGAAATTAATTAATATTTTCGGAACCGCTTCAGATATTTCACTGATATTTAGTACGTAGTGAAAGTTAATAAAGTTGCATAATTTTCAACGCAAAATTAATTTTTAGGTTTAACAGTGGCGTGCGTGCGGGTATTGACTTCGATATTTTTTAAGAAAAAAATGGTACGCCAATGTTTTTTTCCCAAATAAAAATCATTTTTCAATTCCCCGTTCAATTTAAAATAAATGATCTCTCTTGAATTATTTTCCTTCGATGCGCCATTTTGAGTAAAAAAATAAAATCCGTTTTATTGTCTAACTTGCAAAATTACACTGGACAACAAATTTTAGTTTTTTAATTGTATCTTGTGGGAAAAGTGCACTTCTTTGTTAATTTTGGGGCGCTGAATCCAAAAATGACAATAAAATAATAAAATTAGTTGTGGTTTAGAAAAAAAACTTATTTTTAAGGATATATTAAAAAAATTAACAAGATTCATATACTTATAAGAATCACTATATGCGCTGTATTTTTGCTGTTCTTTTATGGATCGTTTCTGGAGCATCTCTACCAAGAGTCCAACAGTAGTCTGCAAGCATGGAAGGATTCCACTTTCCCTGGTACCTTTTTTCCATTGTTGAAATATCCTGATGAAAACGTTCGCCGTGCTCATCACTTACGGCTCCGCAATTGTCAGGAAAAAAGTCCAGGTGTGAGCGTAGAAAATGTATCGTGAGAGACATATTACAGCCCATCTTTTGATACGATGACAGCATATTTTTGACAAGGGTTTTATAGTTGTCAGCTTTTCTATTTCTCAAGAAATTAGTGACCACCAGACGGAAATCATTCCAAGCAGTTTTTTCAATACCTGTTAAAGTGTTTTCAAACTGTGTATCTTTCAAAATATTTCGAATCTGTGGCCCAACAAAAATACCTTCTTTAACCTTTGCCTCACTTAGTCTTGGAAATTTCTGACGCAGGTATTGAAAAGCTGACCCATCTCTATCTAATGCCTTGACAAACTTTTTCATTAGGCCCAACTTGATATGCAGTGGTGGTAATAAAATTTTTTTCGAATCTACTAATGGCATATGCTGTACATTTTTTTGAACTGGCTCTAGGAATTGACGAACAGGCCAGTTTTGTCTGGTGTAATGAAGCGCCTTTGCCCGACTGTCCCATTCACACAAAAAACAGCAAAACTTTGTGTAGCCTAGCTGCAGCCCAAGTAAAAGTGCAACAACTTTCAAATCGCCACAAATATGCCATTGGTGCTCATCGTATTTTATGCATGTCAATAGGTACTTCATATTGTCATATGATTCTTTCATGTGAACTGCATACCCTACAGGAAGAGCTGGTAAAATATTTCCAATATGCAATAACACTGCCTTTAAACTCAATGTTGAACTGTCTATAAACAATCTCCATTCTTCTGGGTTATAGTTTATATTCAAAGCCGCCAGTAAGCCGTTAATGTTACTGCAGAAAACCAAGTTATTCTCCATATTGAAAAATGGCGTTTACGAAAAACACATACCGAAACATCGTCTTCTAACAAGTTCCACTGCTGCAGTCTTGATCCAAGTAAGTCTGCCTTACATTTTGGAAGTTCTAAATCTCTTACAAGATCATTTAATTCTGACTGTGTTATTTTGTGCGGCTGGTGGCATGACGTGCTCGCTATAAAATCAGGATCTCTTGACGTTGATGGCATATCTTCTTCCTGACGAATCACTCGATCGCCATGATCTGATTCGTTTTCTGATTCGCAAGTGTAGGATTCTGGGGGTTTTGGAATAGGATTTTCGTCACTGTGAGGCACAGGTCTCATCGCAGATGGTATGTTTGGGTAGTTAATAACCGATTTTTTTTTCTTGGACATACCTGTGGCTTGTCCAGCACAAGGTACCATGCAAAAGTAACAATCATTAATATGATTTGTAGGCTCTCTCCAAACCATTGGGACAGCAAAGCGCATAGACCGTTTTTTGCCATTTAACCAGCTCCTCAGACTTGAAGCACATGTATTACAGCAGATGTGGGGTGCCCACTGTTTGTCTTGATCACCTAGTTTACAACCGAAATAAAGCTGATATGCCTTTGTTATTAGTGGAGTAATAGACCGTCTCTGAGACGCAAAAGTCACATCACCACACACGTAACAAAACTGATCTGGATTGTTTACACACTTTCGAGACATCTTGCATGAACGCTGTCAGCCAACTGAGGAAAAAATGGCTAATATAAAACAATGTACACGTATGTATAACGTAACACAATCATGCCGATTACATCATCTTTCCTTGCCGAATATAAAAATGTAGCACGTGCATTCTTGTGAATTACAGTATATTAACACTGTCACAGCAGGAACACATATAATTACCGTATCTCTAAAACTTGAACTAATATTGAAAAAATAAGTTTCATTCCGGTTGTAGCACATTAAAAATAGTAATATTTTGTTGATTTTATTTAGGATATTTTTTGGCTGTTGATCAGTGATATCAGACAGTATACGATGACAGTGCTTTTGAATGCTTTCCAATACTTCTTCATGTTTAGTATCGGCCAGTATAAGTTGACATGTGCTTTCAATATTTTATGATGACTCTTTGTGTCAATGTTTCATTTCAACATTGGTCCTCTGTCATAATGAATACTACTCGCTGTACAAGTTATTTAATAAACACTGGAGCATCGAAGAGCAAGAAATATCGGAAAGAATAAGTTTCATGTAAAAGGAAAAAAATTGGGAAAAAAGGATAAAATCATTTATTCTCAATACTATTGATTTTGAATAAACACATCCAATCGTCATCATGAGCTCATTGTAACCTCTGACAATAGTTTTAAATGCACATAATTGATTTGATAATTACTGTATAAACTAAGTGACATATAAATCCGAACACCCAGTTTAAATGGTTTTATTTTAATAAAAGTTGGTGAATGTATTTATCTTACTGTAAATAACAAGTGAAAAATTTTTCAGCCTTATCAGTTGGACATTCCGGTTTTTATACTGCTTTTTTTTAATTCACTAACGCTCTAAAAATGAATATTTCAGCCGCAGTAAAGAATCAACGTTGGCGGATTTTGGTTCTTGACATCCTTTACGATGTCTAGAGTACGGAGACCTGTACGATTTCGTCAACTTAGTGAGTTTGATAGGGGCCGTATAGTGGGACTTCGGGAAGCTGGACTTTCTTTTCGGGCAATTGCAGTTAGAGTGCAAAGAAGTGTAGACACTGTGGTTAGGTATTGTCAGGCATGGCATGGAACAACAGACCGTGAAGATCGCCGCCTAAGATTATTGGCCTTAAGGGACCGTTTCTCCACTACCAGGTCCATTGCAAATGAATGGTTTGCAAAACACGGAAGACCTATTGGCATGCGAAGTGTTTACCGACGAATGAGAAGTTTTGGCTTGTTTTCATACCGGCCACACTGGGTCCTCCCTTTAACTCGAGAACACCGACGTAATCGCCTTGAGTGGTGCAGACAACAGTCACTCTGGGATCAGGAATGGAACAGTATTGTCTTTAGTGACGAGTCTCGATTTTGTTTAGGCATGCACGATGGTCGTGCCAGGGTTAGAAGGCGACGTGGTGAAAGGAGGAATCCACAGTTTTTTGTTGAAAGACATGTTCATCACACTGTTGGAGTTATGGTTTGGGGTGCTATAGCTTATGGTTCCAGGTCACCTTTAATCTTCATCAAAGGTAACATGAACGCGCAGCGTTATATCCACGAAGTTCTAGAACCCCATCTTTTACCCTATCTTGACACCCTGGCAGATCCAACTTTCCAACAAGATAATACAAAATTTTATTAAAATAAAACCATTTAAACTGGGTATTCGGATTTATATGTCACTTAGTATAGATTCTTTTAGAATAAAAACACATTTTTGATTAATTTCAAGTGAGACACACAATACAATTATCACGAAGACATAAATTCACTTCCAAAATGTAAATGTTATAAATAAAACATTATTTACCATTAAAGTTAATAATTTACTCGTCAAAAAGCATTAGGAATGATGTGTTGTTTGTTTCTCTCCCCCAATAGTGAAATATTCATCATCAAGGATAAACACAAAAACTATTAAAATGATAATTTATAGGAAATTGAAATAGGTCTCTCCGGGTTAAAGACCTATTTCAATTTTCTATAATTGTACTAATTCACCGGGTTCGTCGCTTCTTCATGATTATTAAAATGATATTTTTCTCAAATTTTTTCTTGACCTTCCACTCAATGCTTATCAGGATTTTTTGAAGATACTACTGACAAAAGGTCACACGCCTTGGAAAACCAATGGGAAGTAATGCCTGTACTCTTAAAATATGGTAAGGATATAACAAAAAATGCACTAAAATTCTCCAAACAATTTGATGGCAAATATTTAAGTGTCTAGCGATCTACTCATTTCAGGATGTTCTTCGTGCAGCACTGCTTCCTCAATTTCAGGTGTTCTCACACTTAGAGGTCACCCTTTCTCGTTCCTTTTCGGACAGAACCAGTTCCAGCAAGACGCTGATGAATATTAGAAAAGGTTCGGCTATCTGGCAAAGCACGATCGGGATATCTCTGGTGATAAATCCTTCTGGCTTGCTCACCATTACCGTCGGCAAGGCCATATACGTAATGCATTTCCGCCATTTCTGCATTTGAATAACCCACCATTATTAACAAGATTGTAAAAACTAAATAATGAAAAAGATGTCACAGCGAACAGATATGAATAACAGAGACTTGTCAGATGTCAGATGTCACAGCAGCTGAATATTTATTGCTAAATTGCATTCTTCAATTATTACATTAATCTTCTCGGACAATAGAACGATTTGTATTTTTTTACTCAAAAATAACTCTTTACGAACTGATGACAGCGTTTTTTAATTTATTGTTATATTTTTTCTTCTACGAATTTTTGCAAAAAAATGAAATGCCTTTTTTGATAAAACTACAGGGTCGCCTTAGTACCACCAGCTGTTGAAGTACTGGTCAAAAAAGGATTTACGGTTCACATTGAAGAAGATGCTGGGATCGAAGCAAAAATCAGGAATGCGGATTTTGAAAAATCGGGAGCAAAAATTGTGAATACTGAGTCGGCATTTAATTCAGGTATTTTAAACAAATGTTCGTGAGGTGGAGCCTTTTTCTGCTATTCATATTGTTGCAGATATTGTGCTCAAAGTAAGAAAGCCGTCGATGGAGGAAGTAGAAAAATTCAGAAATAATTCAACGCTTATTTCGTTCATATACCCGGCTGAAAATAGGGATCTGGTAGAAAAATTAGCTCAGAAGAAACTTAATGTATTTGGTGAGGATTTTTTTGTAATTTATACTGTTTTCAACAAATTTTATTTGTTTAATTGTTTCCAGGGATGGATTGCATACCTAGGATAACCAGGGCACAAGTCTTTGATGCATTGAGTTCTATGGCAAATATTTCAGGGTACAGGGCAGTGGTAGAGGCTGCTAATCATTTTCCACGCTTTTTCGCGGGTACGTGAATTCGTATATATTATTCTGTTTAGGTTGATTAAGTTATGTGATGGGTAAATTTTCCTGTAAATAGACACATTTTTCTGTATGATTTTTGACCCCTAGCACGAAAAAAGTATCAACGCGAAATTCACTTGACAGTCGGGGTTTGTTAATTTTCCTAGCAGATAACTTGCCTAACCAAAAACGTCTTTAGGTCAGATCACGGCAGCTGGTAAAGTTCCCCCAGCGAAGGTTTTAGTTATCGGAGGAGGGGTAGCTGGACTCGCGGCCATTGGACAGGCCAAAGCGATGGGTGCAATAGTGAGGGCTTTCGATACCAGATCTGCGGTTAAAGAACAAGTGGAATCGCTTGGCGCTGAATTCCTCACTATAGATATTAAGGTAGACATATAATCAAAATCACGAAAGATGACTACTACGTCATATTCGTTTCTTCTATGTCACCATATGGATTAATTATCCACGCTGGTATTACCATAGTCAGAATATCCTCAAACCTAGATTCAAAATCTGAATAGAGGGCATTTGAATGTTGAACGTAAGTTGAAACGTCGTCTTCCTGGCAGCTTGTCTGTGACAAATTGGGGAACTGAGAAAATTCGCCCCGTCCAATATTTTGCTTCATTAGTTTAACTCTGGCAAGAAACGCTGATAAGATGGACTTTGTTTTAATCAAATTTAAACTGTCGCCTTGTAATTGCAAATTAACCATATTAAATTTTGTAAACAAATCTGTTAAATAGGCGATGTCTGTTTTCCTCTTCATTAAATTTTCTTTTAAAATTTTATCTTTAGTATCCAGAAATTCTAAAATAGTCTCAAAAAGTGCAAAAAATATTGTCAAACATAAGCCCATCGACAGCCAGCGTACTTCAGTGTGAAGGAGTAATTGATGAAAGTGTTCGTCATTTTCTTCACACAACTGCGCAAATAACCGCGTATTCAACTTGTTGCTTCGGATTCGGTTTACTGCATCAATGACTAAATGAAGTGATTCATGCAATCTAACACTTAAAGTTTTAGCAACTAAATGTTGTCGATGGATGACGCAATGTATTGCTAACACCCCTGACAGATTTTGTTTTAAATAGCTTATAAATCCACAATAACGTCTAACCATGGCAGGTGCTCCATCTGTAGCTACTGATATTATATTTGATAAAGGAATTGCTTTTTCAATGAAGTAATCCTTCAAAACATGAAATATTGATTCACCTTTAGTGTCGATTATCAAAGTTCTTGCGAAGAGCAGTTCTTCGTAGATTTCTTGATTCATAATAAAACGAACATATGCCAATAATAATGCTGCATTATCAGGTAAAGTTGACTCGTCCAGTTGTATAGAGAAATGGGTCGTTTGCAAATAATTACATAAGAAGCTTTCAATATCAGAACTCATTTCAATACGTCTTTCAACAGTATTGTTGCTTAAGGGAATTCTTTTAATGATATCAGATGCAGGTTTGTGTAAAACAGTTTTTAAAACCTCTTCAACGGCTGGCAAAATTAACTTCTCTCCGATATTATGCGGTTTTCAGGATTTTGCTATAAGTAACGAGATATTGTAAGACGCCCGTAAACCATCATCATTTCTTTGTGACGTCGAAGCGAACATTCTGTCCAGTGTATGTCTCTTCTGAAATTTATCTTTGAGTGTTTGAAAGTATTTCAAATCTTTCTCTGTTTTATCAGGGTGGCATCTTCTCAGATGATCTTGCAGTTTAGATGGTTTCATAGCGTCATTGCCCAAAACTTTGTTGTATAAAAGGCACAAAGGCGATTGTTTGTCCGGCAATGATGGAATGAAGCCAAATTTCAAATAATCAACACTGTACTGTCTACATTTCTTTTTAGATTCGGACATGGCATCAGTCATCTGTGGGCAAAATTAAATTATTTAAATAAGACAGAAAATCCAGCAGCTGTGTGTTAAAAATATTTTTTGATTTTTCTGAAAACATTCCATAATTCGAACATCTTCTTGCAACAATTAGCTCGAATTATGGAGATTGCACTGTAATTATATTACCGATTGCTAAAACTTTCAAAAAGAAAATATTGAGGAGTACTCGTGTAATTTTGCGTGATTGAATATTTAACTACTAATAACTAAAGTCATGATTAGCGTAATTTATCTATCTTTGCTAACTACGAGTACAAAACTAAAATTTAATAAAAAATAATGTACTTACTTTTCTCCAGCACTCTCAAACAAAATAACACTAACTCACTATAATTTGTGTGATATACTATCTGTTTATATTTTTTAAAATATTTTCTTAGCACTTTCCTTTTCAAGATTCAGGAAACGAATAAACGTATTTGTCCCACATTCGTATTTATACAGTGACGAATTGAACAAGTCAGTGCAAGGTAGCGAAGCTCTGAGACTGCGACTCTCAGGTTTTTACAAATTCAAAATTGCGACCACAAAGCGAATACCAACATCCTACTACTTACACAATTTTATAAACATATATAATAAATATTTTACTTCATAGGTACTTTTATAAATAATGTATATGTTTTGATATTATAAGATAGTATGATGTAAGTAAATAGGAACTATCAGTGTATGTGTTGAGATTCACTATCGTGGACCCCCATATTCATTTCATGGACCCCCAAATTTTTTTTCGCTGACGTAGACCCCTTGCAGGTTGTCATAGACCCCTAGGGGTCGATATAGACCACTTTGGAAATCAATGGTTTAGACAATAAAATTCTGATTGGCTCTGTCTAACATATCTGAAACTTCATTAAAAATATTCACAAATCGCTGCCGTTTGTCTTGACTACAGACTAAAATGATGACGTAATCGTCATCTTTCGTGATTTCAACTATATGAAGATTACTACAAGTTTTCATTTCCGGATGGAATTTGTGTCTGGCTTTGTCGAACAATTGGAGTGCATTTTAAACAACATTATGTCTTATTATTTATATAGGAAGAAGGAGGGACTGATGCTGGGTACAGTAAAGAAATGTCAAAGGAGTTCATCGATGCGGAAATGGGTTTGTTCGCAAAACAGTGTAAAGATGTAGACGTTGTTATTTCTACAGCACTTATACCTGGAACAAGGGCCCCGCTTTTGATTAAAAAGGTAGAGTGGATGCTATTTTTTAATTTTTTCTCACTGATTGAAGAGGCTGTATATACAGGGTGTTCGAAAAATAGACGGGTGATTCCTGGATAAGTAATATGAAACAAAGTTTCTATAAACATGGGTCCGGAAATGCAGCTTTCAAGATACAGGGTGATGAATTGAAAAAAAATTTCACTTTGTTGCGGTGTACTTTATGTCATGGTACCCATTAGAAAAGTTGGAATAACATTTTTTCTAGATTTTTTTTTTGATTTTTTGTTTTCCAATGCACTTGAGATTTTTCTAGCAAAAATTAATGAACAAATTTTGCCCAGTGACATGCAATAAAACGTTTTTTATTTTTTTCTCTCGAAAACAACAGCTATTAAAGTTACAAAAAAGGCAGTGGCGTACACTTTTTTGCTAATAATATTCGCTAAGGTGGCCCCGCGACGCCACTGGACCTAACAATTTTAATCAATTTAAAGCTAAATTAGCCTCATGATACAACAAATAATATTGTCAAATTTTAACAGAATCGAGTGAATATTTTTCCAGATATCAATAATTTTTTTTTAATTTAATTTTAAAGTTAAACACTTTTTTATTTTTTTTTTAAGAAGGAATTACCCTCTAAAATATCTCCGTCTATTTTTTGAACACCCTGCATACTTCAACAATGTAAAGTCACTTGTTGCTAACCTTATATTATCATCTATACTATTTCAGGAACACATTGAATCCATGAAACCAGGAAGTGTTGTAGTAGATCTAGCCGCTGAATCAGGTGGCAACATCGAAACAACTAGGCCTAATGAAGTTTATGTTTATCATGATGTGACTCATGTAGGCTTAACGGACCTTCCTAGCAGATTACCAACGCAAAGCTCGAATTTATATGCCAACAATATTTCAAAGTTCTTGTTATCAATGGGTATGTACTTACAATCCATTTCGCATTTATTTTTTTTATTCTTGAAGTAGAAAAAATACTTATTGCTATTCGGGTGTTATTTAAGTACGTGGCCAAACTTCAGGAGGTGATTTTTTAAGGAATTTCAAGATGAAAAGCTCATATCAACAGGTCCAGAAATGCATCATTTTTTTTAAATCGGTTTTTCTTAAATATGTCGATAAACTTTCAGTCGATTTTGTTTAAATTTAGCAGTGGTATTAAAGGCAATAAGGGGCTAATTTAGCACCGATTAGATTGAAATTATTAAGTCCGGTGGCTTTCTGGAAGACACCCTAACAAATATCTTTAACAGAGGATTTATGCGTCACTGACTTTTTGAGTTGTTCTATTTTTTAGAACTAACTAGCTAAAAATACAACTTTTTTGTCTCCCGAGTGTTTTTCATATAAAAGATAAAAAATAAAAAGCACTTCCTTATTTTTAAAAAAAAGTTTGTCACCCTGTATCTTGAAAACGAAGCATTTCTGGACCTATGTTTATATAAACTTTTCATCTTAAAATTACTGTATATTGATGATGTAGTTCTGTTATTTTAGTTTGTCGTTTTAATTTTCGACATCACTACCTGCCTAACGCACTATCTATGTTCACTTACGATTTACAGGCGAAAAGAACCACTTCGATATAAACTTGGACGATGAAGTCGTACGGGGAAGCATCATATTGCAAAACGGAAATCTCATGTGGCCTCCACCACCCCCTAAAGTAGTACCTAGTCCGGTTGTGCCGAAAACGCCTGCTGCAGAAATAGCTGCTCAGAAAAAAGTGGACCCCTTCAGTGCGACATTGAACAACTCCTTAATGATTACGGGCGGTAAGTGCATATTTATCTTTTTGATATTAATAATATCCAGCTTCTTTTTTTGGAAATCTCACGAGGTTTCTTATGGTTATCAAAAAAAAAAATGGATGAAGTTAATAAAAGACTTGCAGTGATGGGACTAAATCTCAATTACTGAAAATATACTAAGTGACATATAAATCCGAACACCCAGTTTAAATGGTTTTATTTTAATAAAAGTTGGTGAATGTATTTATCTTACTGTAAATAACAAATGAAAAAATTTTCAGCCTTATCAGTTGGACATTCCGGTTTTTAAACTGCTTTTTTTTAATTCACTAACGTTCTAAAAATGAATATTTCAGCCGCAGTCAAGAATCAACGTTGGCGGATTTTGGTTCTTGACATCCTTTACGATCGGTTATGATGCCTAGAGTACGGAGACCTGTACGATTTCGTCAACTTAGTGAGTTTGATAGGGGCCGTATAGTGGGACTTCGGGAAGCTGGACTTTCTTTTCGGGCAATTGCAGTTAGAGTGCAAAGAAGTGTAGACACTGTGGTTAGATGTTGTCAGGCATGGCTTCGAGAAGGCCGTACGCAAAGAGCAAGGGGCACTGGATGCCGCCGTAGAACAACAGACCGTGAAGATCGCCGCCTAAGATTATTGGCCTTAAGGGACCGTTTCTCCACTACCAGGTCCACTGCAAATGAATGGTTTGCAGAACACGGAAGACCTATTGGCATGCAAAGTGTTTACCGACGAATGAGAAGTTTTGGCTTGTTTTCATACCCCACTCTGGATCCTCCCTTTAACTCGAGAACACCGACGTAATCGCCTTGAGTGGTGCAGACAACGGTCACTCTGGGATCAGGAATGGAACAGTATTCTCTTTAGTGACGAGTCTCGATTTTGTTTAGGGATGCACGATGGTCGTGCCAGGGTTAGAAGGCGACGTGGTGAAAGGAGGAATCCACAGTTTTTTGTTGAAAGACATGTTCATCACACTGTTGGAGTTATGGTTTGGGGTGCTATAGCTTATGGTTCCAGGTCACCTTTAATCTTCATCAGAGGTAACATGAACGGGCAGCGTTATATCCACGAAGTTCTAGAACCCCATCTTTTACCCTATCTTGACACCCTGGCAGATCCAACTTTCCAACAAGATAATGCCCGACCACATGTTGCAAGAGTCACAATAGACTTCTTTCAACATAATGATGTCACATTGTTACCATCGCCACCAACATCTCCCGACTTATCCCCAATTGAGCACGTGTGGGATATGATGGGAAGGAGATTGCTCAATTTGCAACGTCCTCCTCAGACTCTAGAAGCACTTCGAGAGGAGTTGGTGGTTGCCTGGAATGCGATACCACAGGAGGACATTGACCACCTGATCAGAAGCATGCCTAGGCGCGTTGGAGAATGCGTAGCACATCAGGGTGCATCCACACATTATTAAAGGTCAAAGGGCTTTAAAGCAGTGCAATCATTTTGAAATTTTTATCATTTACTTATTATGCTTCATTAAGTACTTATACAAAATTTTATTAAAATAAAACCATTTAAACTGGGTGTTCGGATTTATATGTCACTTAGTATATATCAGATCAAGCTCGTTCCTGATTCATATTTGATCTGTTGTCAGTGTTTCGTAAAATTGTTGACTTTTCAGGTCTCAGTGTTCAGTGTTACTACTGGAGAATGCATAAAAAATATGAATGTATTTTTTGTTCTACACAATTCCCAAACCATAATCACGATATTACTATTGTTTGTTTGTTTCATATTTATTTAGCATTAATGCTACAATATCCATAATATCCATGTTACACAGTAATCACATAATATATTATGTCTTCAAGACTACATATTTTTATACAAAATTCCACTACTTGAATTCTTGTTTTTCCATGAGATATTTTTTCAATTTCCCCTCGAACATTTTACAACTGATTCACATCTTGATATCATAACTGAATTTATTAGATCATATACCTACAAACATGTATTTCCCGGTGAACATGATGACGGCAAAATGACGTCATTATTCGGTCACTTCTGGTCGGAAACGTCATTTACTAAAAAATGACGTCTTTATTGACGCCATTTTTATGACAACAAGACGTTTTCCAAAAAGCTGTCACTTTGACGTCTTTCTTACACACTTACCTACAAAGAAAATATATACTCAAAATCACGAAAGATGACTATTACGTCATACCATAAATTGTACTGAAGTAATCAATGGACGTACGTCGATCATAAAATCACGAGTCAGAAACATAATGACAACAAATTTATATTATGATTTCGCGAAGTTAGGTTATTTCACTGATTATTTTTATTTTCATTTTATTTCATGGTTTTGAGTGATACCTTAATAATAATTTTAGTGGCGAGTTTTTGTTTTGAAAAAAACAGTTATGATAGAATACCTTAAGACAATAACACCAAATACAACAACATAACCTGTTTTAACATAACCTAACTATTCATCTTTCAAATATGATCGAGTATGCAACATGAAAACATCGTCTATATTTGTCGAATTATTAGCAATACAGTTTGTTTAGACAATATTTGTCTGTTTGTCTCTGTCTGGCATGTCAGAAACTTCATTAAATATATTCACAAATCGCTGTCGTTTGTCTTCACTACAGACTAAAATGATGACGTAATCGTCATCTTACGTGATTTCGACTATATACTCTTAATTAGTAGTAAGGTAAACTAGATATCCAAATACTAATAAGTACCTTATTGTTATTTATAAAAAGGATCAGGAATTCTTCGACTAAAAATATCTTATTATTTTTTCTTTTCAAATAATAATATTCAATTTTCAGATATTTCAAATTGCCACCTTACATCATGATTTATTCCCGTAAATAACAAATTTATTAGAAACTGCCAAGTATAACATTAAAAAAGTTTTACTAAAAGATTTGTAATCAAGCGTGGTAATAATTCAAATTTTGGAACGGTATGCTTGTTCGTCTTTTGGCAATGGCTCAGCCATTTTCTTTTATAAATCTATGGGTTTGGAATTTCTTCATCTTTAACGTACATTGTGCTACAGTTTAGTAGGGACGTTAGTATTGCCTTATAGTCAATAAGGCTTAGGTGACAACCAGGAAACAAGAAGTGTTTTGGTCTCCTACAAACAAATTCTGAACCATAGGAGAATTTGAACGTGTTTGAGATCAAACGGTGTTTTTTCGTTCTTTATTAACGGTTTCGATACATTTTGTACAAATGCTCCTGAAAAATTGTGGAGGCGATAAGTACTCAAGAGTCGTAGGTAAGTAGAATATCAATTTCGGCGCTTTTTTACCATCCCTGAACTCACTGATTGTGGCGCGTCGTTGTCACATCCTCAATTTTTTTGGAGCATTTGGATAATACATCGCGCGATTATTTTTGCGAGCGACTGTACGTCATATCGACGTCGCATATATCGAACTCAGATAGACGTCATATTCGGTCTTTTATACGACATGCTATGACGTCAATTGGGTGTGACACTAGACCGTCCTAATGACGTAACTTCTACGTCATTTTTGCTGGTCGGCGTTCGTCAGTAGTGCCCTAAAGACGTCACTATGTTTATAGGGTACCTTCCCATTACATTTATTACAAAGTAGCTTTTAACTTTCCCACCGTGAAACAAACTGTTTAAGACGAGGGCCAGATAAAATAAAAATTATCTAGACAGGCTGAAAAAAAAAATAACAAATCGTATTTTTATAAGTGATAAACTTTAATTTTGATTTTCACATCGCCTGAAACAATATTTCCATTTTTAATAACACGTCATCCTGAATCAACTTTACGTTTCTTACTTGCCATTGTAACAAAAAAAAAACAAAGCAAAACTATAAACAAACCTATAAAACGTCAAAAAAAATATAAAATGTCATCTTGGAGACTACAGTATATTCAGATAAGAGATAGACCGGATGTAAACAAAAGGTTCGGGTGATTTTCACGCTAACGTCGCCGTCTCGACGTAAAACAGGAGCCCTCATTGGTCAATTCGCAATTAAATGCCTATGCCGAGCGGCAGAGCAGTCGTATCAAGGCAGAGTCACATTCAGGTCCAGACGTGTTACGTATGTCGTGTGCATCATTGCAATTTGATATTTCTTTGGACGTTTTCGTTTGTTATCTTATTAAGTTGTTGAGTTTGTCGTTGTTATTGTTATACCTTGTTATTGATTGTTATTGTTATCAACTGCTTGCGCAAAATGCCCAGTAGTACAGATACTGCCGATGAAGTTATAAACTCCTGTAGTCCACCTAGGAAACGCTCTAAAAAAAGACACCTGAGTGCAGAAATGAAAGAGGTCATTTTGAATATATATAAGATCGAGCGCGAGGAGAACGAGGCATCAACCATCAAAGAAATTGTGTGAAGGTTTCTCACAAAGTTGGGGTGTGTCGCGCATCAGTGTTTAATGTGTTAAGACAATACAAAAAAATCACACCTTTTCTGAGCCAATGACCAGTAAACATCGCAAAAGTATTGTTAAATCATTGGATGAAGCTGATAAGCATGCGATTAGGAGGAAAGTGCATGAATTCTTCTTTAGGAATGAAATACCTACTATAGATAAAGTACTGCAGGAGGTAAATGGAGATACAACGTTGCCAAATTTCAAACGATCAACTTTCCATGCGTTACTGAAGCATTTAAATTTCAAATGGAAAAAACGGGGTCGTAATAGTTTACTACTGGATAGAGAAGAAATTGTGCTATGGAGGAGGGATTATTTAACAAAAATTGGGAAATATAGAAATCAAAACAGGAAGATTTATTACCTTGATGAAACGTGGGTAAACGCAGGACACACTACAAGTAAAGTATGGGTTGATGATTCTGTAACTTCATCCAGGAGGGCCTTTCTAGATGGACTGTCCACCGGATTAAAAAATCTAGCAGGTCAATACGAGTAATAGACAACAATCGGATGTTTTTCAAACCTTGGGAACAAGGTTCTAAACATTAATTCCAGGGGGCAGATAAAACATATTACAAGTAACAAAACTTTTATAACTTTCGATAAAATGCGTGGATGTTTTATTGTCATTTTCATTTGTTAGAACTTTTTTAAGCCATGTTTTTATGTGTTTTCGATATTTCAATAATTTTTTAATATAATCTTAAAATATGTCGAATATTATAAACTTAAAAAAAGTTACTAAGTTTTATATTGTGTACCGTTCCTAATATTTCTAATCATTTTAATTCATACTTTAAGCTTTATGAAGTTATAATTTGTTAATATTAATATTTGCGCGTATTTCAGGTTCCTGATCATTCATTTTTTAAAGGTTTATAACTTTAAATTAAATTGTGAAGCGCTGAGTAATCATACGACGTTCAATATTCTTTCTTTCAATATGACTAAATAATCCCAATTATAGCAATCTGATACTCATGTCTCAATGTTTTTTCGCTGAATGTGATGAAAACATTTGAAAAAGGTTCGCTTATTGAAATAAATCTACACCAGTTAGTACTTCGATTTCCAGGTAAAGGGAAAAGGCTCATTATCTGCCATATTGGCAGTGAGGATGGATTTGTTGTTGACGGTCTGTGGTGCTTTGAGTCTAAGAAAACTGGAGATTACCACGAGGAAATGAATGGCGAATCGTTTGAACAGTGGTTTTCAAAAATTTTACCGAACTTAGAGGAAAACGCAGTAATTGTGTTGGATAATGCGCCTTATCATTCTCGAAGAATGGAGAAGGTCCCAACAACGGCTTCAAGGAAAGTTGATGTTCAAAATTGGCTCCGCTCGAAAAATATCAACTTTGAAGAAGCAATGCTGAAAGTACAATTATTAAGAATTGTCAAGGATCACAAGGCGGAATATCAAAAATACGCCATTGACGAAATGGCAGTAAGTCAAAATAAAACTGTGCTCCGTTTACCTCCATACCATTGCGAGCTCAATCCCATTGAGCTCATATGGGCAGAGGTTAAAAATTATATAGCTAAGCAAAATACAACTTTTAAATTTTGTGACCTCAAAGGACTTTTCAAAGAAGTACTAGAATTAATAACAGCGTAAAAATGGGAAAACTGTATTAAGCACGTGAAAGACAAAGTTGAAAAGAGAATGTGGGAACTGGACAATATTTTAGAGGAACAAGTCGAGCCATTCATTATTGACGTTGGTGCTTCAGGCAGTAGCGATGATGAAAGCTCATCAAGCTCATCTTTCCAATAAAAGATGACGTTCATCAAATTCGGTAAGTTATAAGTAATTATAAAGCTACTGTATTTTTTAATTAATTATTGACATTTTTGAACCCATTTTGGCAAAACCTATTCAAGAATCTACTTTCTGACAATGTTCAACCATGCACATTTTTTTACGTTTTGAACGTTTTAATTTGGTTGCATATTTACCTAGAAATCAAAAAATATACTAATCAATATTTTAAAAGCAATTTTAAGAGATATACGATTATTTTTAATTTAGGCTAATTTAAACGCCATTTTGAGATTATATTCGACTGTATTTCACCAAACATCAGGCGGCATCCGAAGCTGGAAATCGAAGCGAAAATTTTGAAACCCTTATGTATATTTACATCATTATATATTTCTTACCCCACCCCCTCATCATCCTATATCCATCACCAATCGTATACACATCGGATTGTGCTAATTTACTACAAAGTTACGCAAAGCAGCATCTACTATCTAAAATATGTACTGCGTGACTCTTAATACGTCCCTGCCGAATGTTACAGCGTTCGATGATCACGTGGTCTTGTTTATGTCCGGTCTATCTCTTATCTGAATATACTGTAGCATGTAACCAGTCATTCCACGTTTGCTCACTAACATCGTTGTGAGCGTCCATCTATGGGGGAATAGCTCAACTACACGCATTGTTGGTTGCATATGCCATGTGAAGCCGAGTAGTCGATAGTTATAATCTCTGAGAAGAAAGTTGGTTGAATAACAAGATCGCATCTGGATGATTGTGTGTATTGGGCTGCATGTGTATAAAATCAGTAATATTTGCTGTGTCAGAAAATAATTACTGAATATGCTGCCAATGAAGTATGTATATCTATTAGCTGTGCCCGACGGGTTATTTACATGTTGTCCTTTTTGAAGACGTGTCATGTTCAAAATTATAAGTTACTATTCTTGACGTTTTTTTTTTTTGTTTTCAAAAACTATGAGTTGAAATTGTAAATTCGTGTGCTACAGGGTTGAAATCGAATGCAAAATGTGCTTGAGATATTTCATATGCTTACATAAATGAATTTATTTTCAGGTGTCGGCTCCATTTTGGGATTCGGAATGGTGTCACCGAACGCTGACTTCACGTCGATGTTGACCGTACTGGGACTATCAACTATAGTGGGATACCATACAGTTTGGGGTGTTACGCCGGCTCTTCATTCGCCGTTGATGTCCGTAACGAATGCCATATCAGGAATTACAGCTGTAGGCGGTCTCTTGCTGATGGGTGGAGCATACTATCCAACAAACTCAATTGAAGTAAGCGATAAAACTGTTTGAAAAACTCTCAATCCAACTTTTCTTTTTCATTTCAGTCTTTGGCAGCAGCTGCAGCGTTCGTGTCATTCATAAACGTATTTGGTGGCTTTCTGGTGACAAAAAGGATGTTGGATATGTTTAAAAGGTGAGACGAAGCAAAGTCAAATTATTTTTCAGTATAGCTCGTTGTTTCATGCTTTTCAGCAATCATCAGGACAGTTGCTTTGCAACATGAAAAATTTATCCAAATTCGAATCTCGATATTTTCGGAACGGAAAGAGATATCGAGTTATGGTATTCGGAAGGTTCTTGATCAACTTTTTGAGAACACGTACAATGGTTCTACCGGTATATTTCTTTTATTTGTTCACTTATACAGGGTGAGGAAAGGAAGTCAGGTTTTTTAACAATTTCTGGGGATATCTAAGATTCTTAATTTTTGATCTTGGAAATTTTTCTTTGCATCTTTTTGATCTTTGAACTATCCTAAAAAAAAGTAATTCTTCAAATTTTTCAAAAGTTGGCTATAAATCAAGTTATCGAATTTTTGTATATGCCATATAAGCACGCGACTACTCTGTGTAAACATAGCCACATTTTGATTATTTGAAAAAATTTTAAACAATTGAAAATTTCAAATTTTTTGAAAATTATCCAGATTTTGGGAAGTTTGCAATTTTTTAAAATCACAAGATTTTGAATTTTCGAAAATTATCAGATTTTGAAATTTTGAAAATTTTGGAAATTGGAAATTCTAAAATTTCTGAAAATTTTGAAAATATCTGTGGAGAAATAAATCGCCGCTTTTCCAAAATTTCAGTTTTTCTTTTGTAGGCAATTGCTTATCGGGTCGCCCTCGTATGTGCGTTCCGTCTTTGTGACTATATCGAGCCGCATACAACGTTTTTTTTTTTATATATATATCGAAACAGCCGCGCAGGCAGAAGCCTAAATGCCGGAACACCGCGGCTGCTATGATGATCTCAAAGAAATTTTGTTAATACGATTTTTGAACTGCCTAAGGTTAGTAGAACTGGGAAAAGCTTCCTCCCGTAGATTGTTCCACAATCTAGACACCCTCGGGACAAAGGAGCGGTCGTATCGGCCAGTTCTGGATGTACGAAATTTGACACGGTTAGGATGGGATGCCGAAGTCAGGCGGGTCTGTCTGGCAGGCGCATCGCGCGGCGGCATCATGGAAGAGAGCTCTGAGAAGCAAAGCCCGTTGGTGTAGCGATAGAAAAGAGCTAGATCGCCGACGGCCCGCCGGTGCGAAAGAGTCCCGAGACTGTCTGTTAGAGAAGAGTCATCGATCAGTCGGACCGCCCTCCTCTGGACAGCATCGAGCATGGACAATGTAGTCGGGGCGGCAGCACCCCAAATGTGTGAGCAATACTCGAGGCTAGGCCTTATCTGGGCCTTGTAGAGAGTGAGAAGGTCATGCGGAGAAAAGTACTTCTTAGCCCTAAACAAATAGCCTAGCTTTTTCCCAGCAGCTGCAGCTATTGAAGAGATGTGTTCGTGCCAGATCAGGTCCTCGGTGATCTGGACTCCGACCAGCCGAAATGAATGGCTCTTTGGTAGAACTCGACCGTCCATCGAAACTGTATGAGAGCTAGGACGCTTTTTGTTCGTCAAGGTACAGTACTGTGTTTTGGAAGCATTGAACTGTACAAGATTGTGGCGTCCCCAAGCAGTGATAGCCTCCAGGTCTCTTGTCAGAGAAGAAGTCGTCGCTAGTTTTCTTTTTTCCAGCTCAGCGGCAGAGATCGGCTTGTCACTCTGAATTCCTGCATGTAGAGTGCTGTCATCAGCGAAGCTGTGGATTGGGTTGATCGTGCAGGAAAGGAGGTCGTTGATATGTAAGAGAAACAGTGTTGGAGCCAAGACCGATCCCTGGGGAACACCCGCGTTGACGTTGTGGGATGAAGAGGAGAATCCGTCAATTACGACGGATATCTTGCGGCCAGAGATAAAGTCAGCCACCCATCTGCAAAGCTTTTCTGGGAGGCCGTAGGATGGAAGTTTGCTCAAGAGGGCAGCGTGCCACAGCTGATCGAACGCTTTCGTGATGTCAAGAGCAACGACATGAGCCTCACCATGAGACTGGATGAGTTTACTCCACAGTTGCGTGACGTAAGCTAGGAGGTCCTCTGTGGATCGTTGGTGCCGGAAACCGTACTGCCTGTCGCTAATCAAGCTGTGACGTTCGAGGTAGTCCAGAAGCTCGCGATTTATGCACCTCTCCATCACTTTACTTATAACAGAAAGCAGAGCTATAGGCCTGTAGTTGTAAGGGTCGGTTTTAGATCCTTTTTTTGGGATGGGCTGTACATGAGCAAATTTCCAGTTTTCTGGGAAGGTGCCGGATTCATAAGATATCTGGAAGAGACGCAAAAGAACTGGAGCAAGCTCCGCTGCACATCTCTTCAGTACAATGGCAGCAATCAAGTCCGGACCAGGAGCTTTGTTGATGTCGAGCGACAAGAGCACTCGTCTTACGGTCTTATGCCTGAATGTTACTTCCCGCATAGTGTGGTGAACCCTTTGAATTGACGGCACTTGGGCGTTGGTGGGGACGTCCATGGTGGAGTTGGCAGCAAAGATCTTGGCTAGCACTTCCGCCTTGGCCTTTGAGTCGAATACAATAGTTCCATCCTGACACGTAAGTGGTGGAAGGCTACTGTGTGAGAAGTTCTTTTCAATCTGCTTGGCCAGCGTCCAGAAAGACCGACTGCCATTGCGCTGCGACATTACCCTGTGCCTAACTTTTATATCATGCTGATTTTTGGCATCGCGAACCGCTTCGTTATATTTGTTTCTGGACTCGACGTCGGCTTGTCTGTTCTCTACAGTGGGGTTTTGTAAGTAGGTTCTGTGTGCCTTGATCTTCTGCTGGCGAGCAGTGTCACACGATTTGTTGAACCAGCCGTTGGACCCTGGTTTAGGAACTTTCACTGTGTGAGGGATGTATTCCTCCATTCCGACGTGGATAATTTCGGTTATTGAAGAACAGACACTCGACGCATCCGCGTCAGTGAAACAGACATTGTTTCATGTTTTTTACCAATCGTCAGTATGGTATAGGTCTCGTCGTTGGGGGGGTGACTTAGTGCTTTCTTGAGAGCGACGAGACGCCCGTGTGGTGGGCGACACTTGTTACTGCATCCACTGGGATTGCGAAATCTTTCTTCTAACAGATCCTCTGGATTTTGTATCATGATCTCTTAGTATACAGTAAAAAATATGAAAAAAAGTTTTTATGAACATGGTCCGAAAATTTTCAAGATACAATAAAAAAAATATTTTTTTAATAATAACTTACAAAATATTTACTCGATTCGTTTGAGATTTGGCAGTACTATTTGTTGTATTAAGAGGCTAGTTTAGCTCTAAATAGATGAAAATTATTAGGTTCAGTGGCGTCCAGGGGGGCACCTTACCGAATATTATTAGCAAAAAATGAACGCCACTGCCTTTTTTGTATCTTTAATATTTGTTGTTTGATTAAACGTATAAATAAATACAGCTTCGTTGCCTTGTGTTTTTTTATCGTATTTCACTTCGTTTTCTAGAGAAAAAAACGTATTTTTGCATGTCACTGGACAAAATTGGTTTACCAGTTTTTGCTAAAAATATCACAAGTGGCTTATAATTGTATCGCCCTGTATATTGACGGCATTTCCGGACCCATGTTTATAGAAACTGTTATTCATGTTTTTTAACAAGGAATCACCCTCTTGGATATCTAAATAACGGCTACTCCCAGGTGGCAGTACCACCGCTTGACAAACTGTTGTCTTATACAGGGTGATTGACAAGTCGTGACGAAAAATGAAACATCATACACAGGATCGCATTTTAAGGGGGGTCTGCTATGTAACATTTTTTCTCGAGGGTCTCATTAAAAAGATGTGTGTTGAAGTTTAAAAATAAAAAACATATCTTCAAAACCGTCAACTGGAATGAACTTAATTTGGTACGTGGATTTACCCAAGTTCTGTCCACATTCAAAAGTCTTTACTTAAAATTAACGTGCACCAGTGACGGATATACAAGGGATTAGTAGCATTATTTTTCCAAATAAAAATAGTACGCCACTGTTTTTTTCGAAACGTGTTGTTTTTCGAGTTTTACCTTCAATTTTCTACAAATAGTTACTCTTATGTCCTTGAGTGCACATTTTTTCCCCGTAAAATGCGGTCCTGTGTATGATGTTTCATTTTTGGTCACGACTTGTGAATCACCCTGTATATCTAATGGCAACTTTCACAATTTAATAATAGAGAAAATATAATTTTAAAAAATCACATTGAATTCAAGTAATACTGAGACGCTTCATGAATCAATAAAAGCAATTAGTAGTAGTCGTAGTAGAAATATTTATTTAGCACATTTGGCTACATAAACAGAATAATTGTAAACAACTTAGAACTAGTAAATTCAAGCCATATGATGTATGATGTAAATGCTGGGCAATCTATAATTGTAGATTTAACAAGTGATTTCTCAATTTTACTTTAAGTTTTGTCAAAGTTTTCTGGTCTTTTATCTCTGAGTATAATTTATTATATTCGATCAACCCTTGATGGAATACAGATTTGTTGCATATGTTATACTTTTTGGTCATTAAATGGAAGTCATCTTTATTTCTGGTATTATGTAAATGATGGTCGATATTTGATGATGTTAAATTAGTTAGACTTGATGGAAATATATTATTTTTTACTTTATAAATGAATATCATTACAAGATATTTGATAAAATTTTTTACATTGAGCCATTTTAATTTGCTAAGCATTTGCCTAATTGGAGAATATTTATCTTAATTCAGTATTATTCTCAAGCACTTATTTTGTAAAATTTGTAGTCTTTCAAAAATGGAATTATTTGCTAAATATACAGGGTGACTGAGTATACAAGCAGTAAATCACATGTTGCTGCATTTTCATTTAGAACAATACGACAACTAAAAACGGAATGTAATTTATTTTAGACCTGGACAACAATTAAAATCTCTATTTCTAAGTCACGTAACTTATCATTATTCATTCTCTTTTATTGTGTCGTAATGATACCATGTAATTCTGTTCGAATACAGAATTTTGAACTAAATTTTTTCGATTGTCACACTTTACTGCCTTTTACATGAGTACGGTTGAATACGGAAAATAATTTTTTAGTTTGCCATATGGAAATCATTATCTCAAGCCAGTGACGCTAAGTTGCATTTATATATATATACAGGGTGACTTCGAAGTTGAGTCATTTATTTTAACAGTGAGTAGATCTGATCAAAAGAAATGTTTTTTTCCTTTAACATTTTTCTGGTAAAATTAAAGTAACAAAGTTACAGCCCTTTAGAAGTTTGAGTACCGCCCTGTCTCAATAATAATATTATGTGCTCGTGTTTGGCAACAACGGATATAATCCGCCTTATCGGTTCATCGCATCTGAAACAAAAAAGCGAAAGAATTTGGAACGATGTTTTTACAATTATTTCATTCAGTTGTATACAGTCGGTGTCAGTCGGTAGTGGATAGTGGTGTCTGTTGCGTGGCTCAAACGAAATAAAAAATGGCACATGTTTATGCGGATCGGTTTCCCAATCGAGTGCAACCAACCCCTCGTGCCTTTGTTAATGTAGTACAACGGGTTCGTGAATCATTTGACTTAAGACCTCACATATGGACGGCATGCCGATGCTCCAAGACCTCACGATCAAATACAGGTCCGCACTGAAATACTTGTCGGGAGGATACTTTATAAAACAAGGTAAATTTTTTTTTTATTTTTTTTTTTATTTTTACACACATATTTTGGTTTATCTTCCTTCTACAATCATTATCTGAAAATTAATGACTCAACTTCAAAGTCACCCTGTATATACAGGCTGACTTTGAAGTTGAGTCATTTATTTTAACAGTGAGTAGATCAGATCAAAAGAAATGTTTTTTTCCTTTAACATTTTTCTGGTAAAATTAAAATAACAAAGTTATAGCCCTTTGGAAGTTTGAGTACCGCCCTGTCTCAATAATAATATTATGTGCTCGTGTTTGGCAACAACGGATATAATCCGCCTTATCGGTTCATCGCATCGGAAACAAAAAAGCGAAAGAAAATGGAACGATGTTTTTACAATTATTTTATTCAGTTGTATACAGTCAGTGTCAGTCGGTAACGCGTGAGTGAATAGTGGTGTCTGTTGCGTGGCTCAAACGAAATAAAAAATGGCACATGTTTACGAAAATGCTGAACTTGTGGACATGATTCTTATTTACGCGGCATCAATTAGTGCTATTTCTTTTTGTGGAATCCAGTATTTTAATCCACACCCAAAAGAACCCAAAAAACGCTACAGTATCAGTTAGAGACAGCACCGAAATTAAAAATGTGATTTTTCAGACCCGAGGACCCTCCCGAACACAACTATGTCTATTCAGTACCAGCATTGGCGTTCTTGGGAATGTACGGATGGGCCGCTCATCAAGGACTGCCAGAGATCAACCAAGCCTCATATTTAGCTGCTTCCTTGTGCTGTGTCGGCGCTCTGGGAGGTCTCAGCTCTCAGGCTACAGCTCGGATGGGAAACAGTTTGGGAATTGTATGTGTATTTTCACTGGTATAATCAAATACATAAGCCTTGTTCGTACAGCTGTCGCCAACTTGTCAGTGATCGTGTCCAACATCCCGCCACTCAAATTCCGTTCATTCTACTACGCTATATAGGGTGTCCGCAAAGTTGGGGTTTTCATTTTCAGTACAGTTCAGAACAAGTAAAAAAAAATGATGAAAAAATACTCACTGTCCAGTTGAATTGAAATTCCAAGTACGGCTCTGTCGTAAAATCCGAGGAGCACATGTAACAAAAAATCGAAGATCAAAATTATGACGTCGGTGTCATTTTTTCTTGGTGAAAGTATAAGTACGTTCGAAGTTGTTGCGTGCTCGACGTAGCTAAGCATCGGTGCAGACTTTTAGAGTGGAGTCCCATCTCTGAACGAATACAGCAGCTTGCTTAATTATACTGGACAACAAATTTTAGTTTTTTTATTTGTATCTTGTGGGAAAAGTGCACTTCTTTGTTAATTTTGGGGCGCTGAATCCAAAAATGACAAGAAATAAAAAAATTAGTTGCGGTTTAGAAAAAAAAAATTTTTATTTTTGAGGATATATTGAAAAAAGTAACAAGATTCATATACTTATAAGAATCACTATATGCGCTGTCTTTTTGCTGTTCTTTTATGGATCGTTTCTGGAGCATCTCTACCAAGAGTCCAACAGTAGTCTGCAAGCATGGAAGGATTCCACTTTCCCTGGTACCTTTTTTCCATTGTTGAAATAATTTGATGAAAACGTTCGCCGTGCTCATCACTTACGGCTCCGCAATTGTCAGGAAAAAAGTCCAGGTGTGAGTGTAGGAAATGTATCTTAAGAGACATATTACAGCCCATCTTTTGATACGATGACAGCATATTTTTGACAAGGGTTTTATAGTTGTCAGCTTTTCTATTTCCAAAGAAAGAACACGGTTTCAAGTCTGGAGATCGCGGAGGCCATGCTACGGGTCCATTACGTGCGATCCACCTATTCGGAAATGATTCATTTAAGAACTCACGCACTATCGGCGTCTAGGTTACGTTCCATACTAGCGTATTTACATCGTAGTCGTACGTCGTATAACTGTACGCTGGCGATGCGGACGTGATCGAGGGACAGGACCGGCTTCGGTTTGGTTCACGTTTGATTAAGTTTTCGGAGCCCAATATTTCGGTTCTCTTAAGACATTGGTGTACGAGTATAAACTACAAAGAAAATCCGCTTATCTTTTCAAGATCTACACGTCGTGTGAAGGAAAACCTCAACTTCGCGGATACCCCGTATAAATGGCATTCACGCGGCCCGATCTCAGACTCAGTCAGCAACAAGTCACCGGCCACTGTGCGAACAAAGCTATACTCTATTATGGGCGACATCGACTTTGCCTATTTGATTTTTTTTTCATTTGAAACATTTAAAAAAAACTGTTAGAAGGAATTACAATTGTTTTCTAAAAATGTATTGTATTGGCGAAATATTTCAAAAATGAGGTATTATGGTTTTTGGACGTAACATGACATGTACGAGGGTTATCTCGAAAATATCGTTCCCACTTCTTTTTTCAGGCACAAATAATTTTTAATTTATTATTTATATTTTATATTTACGATATTCTTCTACATAGTCGCCATATTTTCTACGCATTTTTTAGAATCCACTTTTTCACTCGCGCCTGGTAAAAACTTGGTAACTGCTCCCTTCAATCACGCATTGCAGAGTTTTCCCTTTTGACGATTTTGAATTACCCGTCTCAGCTTTTTCAGAAGTTTCGGGAATTTCAACCTCCTGTTTCCGGATGTTCGAGCCAGATTTCTTCGCCATAACTTCCTCGGAAGATCGACCGCCTCCCGCTTGATGAATTTCTATGGGTGGTGACATATTTAGGCACAAAAAATTTCGCACCTGGCGGTGACGGCGATGAAGGGTTCCGTTGCGTTGTCGGGCCGGTACCGAGCGTCGCCAATAGGCGCTTCTTGTTGGGATCGGTGGTGGGGGAGCCGAAAACTACGTCGGTGTTGCCGGATTTCAGATCACGCGCGGCAATGTTACAGCGTTGGGAAGATATTTAAATGACTCGACTACTTCAATTTTTTCATCATTAATCGTAAGAGTAATTGTATTGTTGTTAATGTTTCCCTATTGACATACATTTTGTTTTATTAGTGTTTAATTTAAGTTTATTGACATTAAACCATTTCATAATTTTTTCGTTATCACTATTTAACAGTTCTAAAGCAGTGTCCAAATGCTTATGTTGCTATATATATATAGGTGAAAAATTAAAGCTTCCGCCTTTTATTGGGTACTTCGACAAAATTTAAGCAAAGAGGACTCTTTATACTTTTTTAATTCTCTCTAGCTTTCAATGGACTTTGCCATCATCATCAGGAGCTGCAATTACAATGATAACAGTAGCCACAATAGTGTAAGATGAATTTAAATTGACTCAACTTACAGTAGTATGTGAGGATGTTGCTAATTGTTGTTTACGTATAGGATGAGGGAAACGTCCAGTAACATGGTGAGAGCTGGATAGATGATACAATGGTCAAAATTATATAAAATATGACAAGAACAAGTTAAAAACAGATTAAAAATTATTTAAAAAACATTAGAGCATTACATCGTGAAGCCACTTGATGATTGCACAAAATGGTGGTCATGGAATAATGAGTGAGATGAACCCTTTGACAGAAGGTCGAAGGTTGTCAATGTCTGTGTAGAAAGATGGAACGAATTGTGGGCGTGTGCCAACGTTGCCAAATCACTTCAGATGATGTGATTTCCAGAATCTTATGTAAGAAATTGTTAAACCGACCAGAGGCATTGAACTTACATATCTCCCCAAATTTTGACTCTTCACAACCATAAATAGAATCTGTATCTTGGTCGATTCCAGCAGTAAATTTCATTCCACTCAAATTCTAATAATTCTCTTCTCACGATTTAATAATAATTGTTAATTTAATTTCCCATTAATTAACATATAGTTTATTCAACTGCCTCTGGTCGGTTTAACAATTTCTTACATAACATTCTGAAAATCACATCATCTGAAGTGATTTGGCAACGTTTGGCATACGCCCACAATTCGTTCCATCTTTCAACACAGACATTGACAAGCTTCGGCCTTCTGTCAAAGGGTTCATCTCACTCATTATTCCATGACCACCATTTTGTGCAATCATCAAGTGGCTTCACGATGTAATGCTTTAATGTTTTTAAATAATTTTGAATCTGTTTTTAACTTGTTCTTGTCATATTTTATATAATTTTGACCATTGTACCATCTATCCAGCTCTCACCATGTTACTGGACGTTTCCCTCATCCTATACGAAAACAACAATTAGCAACATCCTCACATACTACTGTAAGTTGATTCAATTCATTTTACACTTTTGTTGCTACTGTTATCATTGTAATTGCAGCTCCTGATGATGATGGCAAAGTCCATTGAAAGCTAGAGAGAATTAAAAAAGTAGTCCTCTTTGCTTAAATTTTGTCGAAGTACCCAACAAAAGGCGGAAGCTTTAATTTTTCACCTAACTGGTCTAGACGACAATGACCACGTCTCAAGTTATATATATATATATATATAACAACAAGTAGGAAAATAATGGGCAAAATCCGCAAAAAGGAGGAAAGTGGATTCGAGCAGAAAATAGGATAGGTAACCCGAGCGATACGTATTTCTGCTGGTTGGCTTCATCAGGCCCGAAATGAATGCACATATGAAACTACAGAAGTAGATACACATGCCCACACATCCGGATACGGGTGTAACCCATTCTTTAACGTTTTCCCACATCATTTTAGAATTATTTTTATTGCTATCGATCTTCTTATCATAGTATTTTTTCTTTTCCCTCCTGAGAACTGCTTCACACTCATTTCTTGATTTTGTATATCGTTTCCAATCATTTTCACTTTGGGTTACTGAACATTTTCAAAAGCTTCTTATTTAGGTGGGTGTAACTGGTGGCATAGCAGCGACTGTCGGTTATATTTCTCCGTCACATGAGGTGCTGGCCCAGATGGCCGCTGCAGCGATTGGCGGTGGAATTATTGGAACCGTCATAGCGAAAAAAATCGAAATCACAGACCTGCCTCAGTTAGTAGCAGCGTTTCATAGGTAAGTTGTATTCCTATTCGTCCTTCATCTTGTTATTTCATTTCACTAAAGACTGAATAACAGCAATTCGTTTGAATAACAAAGCGTCTTCATTCATTCGTCTGCGTTACTACTGACTCGCACAAAACGTTTATATATATTATATACTTCGACAAAATTTAAGCAAAGAGGACTCTTTATACTTTTTTAATTCACTCTAGCCTTCAATGGACTTTGCCATCATCATCAGGAGCTGCAATTACAATGATAACAGTAGCAACAATAGTGTAAAATGAATTTGAATTGACTCAACTTACAGTAGTATGTGAGGTTGTTGCTAATTGTTGTTTACGTATATGACGATTGAAACGTCCAGTAACATGGTGAGAGCTGGATAGATGGTACAATGGTCAAAATTATATAAAATATGACAAGAACAAGTTAAAAACAGATTAAAAATTATTTAAAAACATTAAAGCATTACATCGTGAAGCCACTTGATGATTGCACAAATTGGTGGTCATGGAATAATGAGTGAGATGAACAATTTCTGAAAATCACATCATCTGAAGTGATTTGGCAACGTTGGCACACGCCCACAATTCGTTCCATCTTTCAACACAGACATTGACAACCTTCGGTCTTCTGTCAATGGGTTCATCTCACTCATTATTCCATGACCACCATTTTGTGCAATCATCAAGTGGCTTCACGATGTAATGCTTTAACGTTTTTAAATAATTTTTAATCTGTTTTTAACTTGTTCTTGTCATATTTTATATAATTTTGACCATTGTACCATCTATCCAGCTCTCACCATGTTACTGGACGTTTCCCTCATCCTATACGTAAACAACAATTAGCAACATCCTCACATACTACTGTAAGTTGAGTCAATTTAAATTCATTTTACACTTTTGTTGCTACTGTTATCATTGTAATTGCAGCTCCTGATGATGATGGCAAAGTCCATTGAAAGCTAGAGAGAATTAAAAAAGTATAAAGAGTCCTCTTTGCTTAAATTTTGTCGAAGTACCCAACAAAAGGCGGAAGCTTTAATTTTTCACCTAACTGGTCTAGACGACAATGACCACGTCTCAAGTTATATATATATATATATACAGGGTGACTTTGAAGTTGAGTCATTAATTTTCAGATAATGATTGTAGAAGGAAGATAAACCAAAATATGTGTGTAAAAATAAAAAAAAATTAAAAAAAAATTTTTACCTTGTTTTATAAAGTATCCTCCGGACAAGTATTTCAGTGCGGACCTGTATTTGATCGTGAGGTCCCCTGTGAGGTCTTAAGTCACCTGATTCACGAGCCCGTTGTACTACATTAACAAAGGCACGAGGGGTTGGTTGCACTCGATTGTGAAACCGATCCGCATAAACATGTGCCATTTTTTATTTCGTTTGAGCGACGCAACAGATACCACTATTTACTGACACTGACTGTATACAAATGAATGAAATAATTGTAAAAACATCGTTCCAAATTCTTTCGCTTTTTTGTTTCCGATGCGATGAACCGATACGGCGGATTATATCGGTTGTCGCCAAACACGAGCACATAATATTATTATTGAGACAGGGCGGTACTCAAACTTCCAAAGGGCTATAACTTTGTTACTTTAATTTTACCAGAAAAATGGTAAAGGAAAAAAACATTTCTTTTGATCAGATCTACTCACTGTTAAAATAAATGACTCAACTTCGAAGTCACCCTGTATATCGAAGCAGCCGCGCAGACAGAAGCCTAAATACCGGAACACCGCGGCTGCTATGATGATCCCAAAGAAATTTTGTTAATACGTTTTAAAAAGCACTATTATTTTTGCCCATTCGTATTTCTACGACACCGATTTTTAGCCTCTACTTTAAAAATGTAACTCTCGTAAATTGATCATAGCGTATGCCTTAGGCTTAACTCATACTATCTCAGATTTTGCTGACGTAATTCACACTTATGACTCGTTTTAAGTTTGGTAGGATTAGCGGCAGTACTCACATGTATGGCTACCTTTATGCATGATTTTCCATCGTTTGCGACCGATCCTGCAATGGGTGTTACTAAGACAGCTCTATTCCTAGGTACCTACATCGGTGGAGTCACATTTAGGTGAGATCTTTTCCAATTTTACTATTTCTAAAAATCAACATTATATTATCGCCGAAGCATGATTTGCTTTAAAATCTCGAACGAGTACTTACGAGGGTTGTCCCAAAAATAAGGTTCCCACATTTTTTTTAAACCTTCCATATGATTTATTGGCTGCAGAATTATTTTTTAATAATTATGGATAAACGTGATTTACGAGGGCGGTTCAATAAGTACCCGTGTTAGGAATGAAGACAGCGTTTTTTTCCAACAAAATTCTTTTTATTTTTTGATATTAGAAAGATACACTTTTCCCAACGTTCCTGCCATTTTCCCCCTCAAAAAATAGGATTTGTCGAATTCTCCAAAATACGCCTCTGTCTCGGCGATGACTTCCTCGTTTGAGATAATTTTTCCCCGCGAACCATTTCTTCGTGGCAGGGAACAAGAAAAAGTCGCAGAGGGCCAGATCGGGTGAATACGGGGGGTGTGGCAGCACTTCATAACGCAATTCGTGCAGTTGGGCGGCGACAACTCCGGATGAGTGTGCTGGTGCGTTATCGTGGTGAAACAGCACCTTCTTTTTCGTCAAATGTGGCCGTGTCTCCTTCAATTTTTTGTCGAAGCGGTCCAGTAACTCACTATAGTATTGTCCAGTGATCGTTCTTCCCTTTTCTAAAAAATCCACGAGGATGACGCCGTTCGCATCCCAAAAAATCGTCGACATGACCTTTCCGGTCGATGGGACCGTCTTCGCCTTCTTTGGAGCAGATTCACCGGAAGAAATCCATTGTTTTGATTGTTGCTTAGTTTCTGGCGGCACCCATCGGACAGACAATTTTTTCATAGCCAACTCATCATGCAAAATATTGATTGTCGTTCCGGTCGACACACCTACGGCCTCTGTTACTTCGCGCACTTTCGTTCGTCGATCAGCGAGCATCATGTCGTGGACTTTTTGAATCATTTCCTCGGTAACCACGTCTGCCGGGCGTCCTGGTCGATCGTCATCAAAAACGGAGGTTCGTACACGTTTAAATTCGTTGAACCAGTATCTAACTGTGGTCATGGATGGCGAAGTGTCCCTATAGACAGCATCCAACTTTGCTTTTATCTCCTCGCATTTTTCCCATCCAAAAACAGAAAGCGAATTACCGAACGATACTGCTCTTTTTCCATCTTAGCGAAAATCATGCACGAAACACGTGTTACTCGAATGGATGCCAAATCCAAACTAACCTATCAATCAGACTGAAATTTGTTGTGCCACCGTTTGATAGGTGGCAGCACACGACGATAACATTAACTTCCCTCAGGAACGCCCTCTGTCGTGAAACACGGGTACTTATTGAACCGCCATCGTAAGAGTTGTGTAGAAGTATGCTATCTAAACTATACTAAGTGACATATAAATCCGAACACCCAGTTTAAATGGTTTTATTTTAATAAAATTTTGTATAAGTACTTAATGAAGCATAATAAGTAAATGATAAAAATTTCAAAATGATTGCACTGCTTTAAAGCCCTTTGACCTTTAATAATGTGTGGATGCACCCTGATGTGCTACGCATTCTCCAACGCGCCTAGGCATGCTTCTGATCAGGTGGTCAATGTGCGTTCATGTGCTTCTAGAGTCTGAGGAGGACGTTGCAAATTGAGCAATCTCCTACCCATCATATCCCACACCTCCCCAGTGTGGCCGGTATGACTGTGGATTCCTCCTTTCACCACGTCGCCTTCTAACCCTGGCACGACCATCGTGCATGCCTGAACAAAATCGAGACTCGTCACTAAAGACAATACTGTTCCATTCCTGATCCCAGAGTGACCGTTGTCTGCACCACTCAAGCCGATTACGTCGGTGTTCTCGAGTTAAAGGGAGGACCCAGTGTGGCCGGTATGAAAACAAGCCAAAACTTCTCATTCGTCGGTAAACACTTCGCATGCCAATAGGTCTTCCGTGTTCTGCAAACCATTCATTTGCAATGGACCTGGTAGTGGAGAAACGGTCTCTTAAGGCCAATAATCTTAGGCGGCGATCTTCACGGTCTGTTGTTCTACGGCGGCGTCCAGTGCCCCTTGCTCTTTGCGTACGGCCTTCTCGAAGCCATGCCTGACAACACCTAACCACAGTGTCTACACTTCTTTGCACTCTAACTGCAATTGCCCGAAAAGAAAGTCCAGCTTCCCGAAGTCCCACTATACGGCCCCTATCAAACTCACTAAGTTGACGAAATCGTACAGGTCTCCGTACTCTAGGCATCGTAAACGATCGTAAAGGATGTCAAGAACCAAAATCCGCCAACGTTGATTCTTTACTGCGGCTGAAATATTCATTTTTAGAGCGTTAGTGAATTAAAATAAAGCAGTATAAAAACCGGAATGTCCCAATGATAAGGCTGAAAATTTTTTCACTTATCTACAGTAAGATAAATGCATTCACCAACTTTTATTAAAATAAAACCATTTAAACTGGGTGTTCGGATTTATATGTCACTTAGTATACTTTCGAAGTCCAAGATGTTAGATTCTCAATTATATCCAGACAACAGTATTTCAAATGATAAGAAACGATTGTAACTTGTTTGTTGGCTGAATAAAATTTTAAAACTTATTTTTACATTATCTATATTATCAGAATTAATTTCATCGATCCACATTAGGAATTTCCGTCTACTAATACATCCCAAACTTCTATGAACATAAATGTCAAATGAAGATAAATACCTATACGAAGGTTGTCTCAAAATAAGGCTTCCACATTTTTTTGAAGTATAGGGAATTTTTTATTTGGAAAAACGAATGCACCACTAGAAACTTTGATCTTTAAGCTATTTTTCTGCATAGTCGCCAATTTTTTCTATTGCGCATGACTGTTAGGCCGGTACTGAGCGTCGCCAATAGGCGCTTCTTGTTGGGATCGATGGTAGGGGAGCCGACAAACTCGACCGTGTTGCCAGATTTCACCTAGAATCATCCGCCGCAAGGATACAGGGTTAGGAACTTATTTTTGAGACAACCTTCGTGGTTTATACAGGGTGCGGCAGAGATGACGGACTTTTTTGAGATGGGTAGTACTCTCCGCCTGCGTCTTCGAGAGAGGTGGGGAGGGTGCCGTTTGACTCGTGAGATCCTAGCATTATTTTACCAGTTGTCGTTATGGAGCCTTGGACGGTTTTCGCCTATGATTGTTTCGTCCAAATAATGAGTCCGTCATCGTCGTACAGTGTGAGTTTCGTCGCCACTTCAACATTCATCGGAATAGAGCTGTTCCCTCTCGAAACACCATCCTTCGTTGGGTTGAATCACTTCGCAGGCGTGGCGAACTGATCAACAGAAGACCAAGAGGAGCGCCGCGAACGGTTCGAACTCCTGAAAATGTTGAACGCGTTCGACAGGTCTTCCTTCGCAGTCCGACTCGATCTGCCCGGAAACATGCTGCTGCACTTCGCCTTAGTGATCGTTCGGTAAGGCGAATTTTGCATATGGATCTCCAGCATCCATGGACGTTATTCGCCCTCTCTTCCCTGGTCGCCTTATTTCCAGGTTTGGCGAAGTTCATTGGCCTCCTCGGTCGCCAGATTTATCCATATGCGATTTTTTCTTACGGGGACACCTCAAGGCTAGAGTATACGCGAACAAGCCCCGAACTCTGGACGAATTGAAGGGCGAAATTTGCGTGGAAGTCGCCGAAGTTGAGAGAACGATGTTGGAGAGAGTCTTCCAAGAACACCTCCAGCACTGCATGAACGATTTCGGCCACCACATGCCTGATGTGATTTTCCACACTTGACTGTCTTAAATGCTATTTCCTTGTGAACCTGATTCCATCAATAAATTTGTTGTCGAGTAAAAATTAAGTATTTTATGATTTTTTTAAAACCGTCTATCCTCTCTGCGCACCCTGTACTTTCGTCGGATTTTCTGCCGAAACTAAAATTTGGATTGCGGAATGAAACTGATCGAAACCATAACTTTGATCAACACTGCGTTTTTTTATTTACTTAAGATATTTTCTGTATAGCGGCTCACTAGTTGCATACGGAAAACTTCAGGGAATAATGAGGTCGCAACCGCTGCTTCTACCAGGACGTCACGCTTTGAACTCAGCCCTGTTGTTAGCTAACCTAGGCGCAGGGGGATATCTGTTCTACGACAATACCATGGACGGCGGCTTGGCTGCACTGGGAACTACCGCAGCTCTTTCATCTGTTATGGGCTACACGCTCACAGCTGCTATTGGAGGTAGCTATACATTTTGACAGTAATTTCCTTTCAAAATTTTTCTCAATAACAACGGGACGATCGGGCAATGCTCGCAATTACACATACTTTGACAACATTCAATATTGTGACGAATAGCGCCATCTGTTGGGCGAGTCTCCTACTCGCCTGAGCCTAAATGCCGATCTCTGCTTTTACGCGAACCACGGCGCACAAGCCGCCCGGCGGCGTCTGTTAGGACTAAAGCATCCCACAAACCGGCGCGAAATAATCGCGGCGAAGTATTCGCAACGAAATTCAGAGCGAAATTCGCAATCTGTTTCGCTTGTTTATTCATACCAAAGCGTCTTATTCGCTCCGCGAACGTGAAGGTTTCGACAGGTTGCGTACATTTTATTTTTGCCTTTTGCAATGAGCTCGTCTTCAGAAGAAGAGGAGGCACTTCTATTTCTTGCTTTAGAAGAGGAACAAAATGCACGGTAAGTTATGTTTATTTAACGCCATTTGATAGTTGGGTATGTATTAAGTTTAACGAAGTACATAAAACAAATATTTTCAATTTTGTTTAGGAAACGAAGGAAGTGGGTACATGATATTAACTTGGAACGAAATAAATTTGGGGAATATCATACCTTGATGCTACAACTTCGGCTGGATGAACAGCGCTTTTACGTATATTTTAGAATGACTCCAGAGTGTTTCGATGAAATATTGAACTTGGTGAAAGATGAAATACGAAAATCTGACACAAATTATCGTGAACGTGAAGCTATTTCGCCAGAAGAACGACTTGCTATTACACTCAGGTAAAAAAATTATATGTATTAAAATTAGTAGGCTTATCGAATACGAAAACTTCAGGGATCGTGAAATAAATATTTTATTGTAATAATTGGACTACATGTTGCCACTAGGATTAAATGTTGCTAAATAATTCGAGGCAGAATTTGCCTCCTCTGTTGGGTATATTATTGGAGTAAACCCAGTGCCGCTTGGGAAGGACGACATACTACTATCATACATACTTGCAGAATTCTGGGTAGACGCTGAAGACATTTCTTCAATATGTTCAAATTCTTCGTGCGCTATTAATTCGGCTATTTTTAGTTTTATTCGGGCTTGACGCTTTAAGGGAAGTGTTTTCACAGTCTGTGCATGTGCCAAGAAAAGTGAATCAATGGCCTCGTTCTCTTTTTCAGGTTTTTTACCTTCAAAATAATTAATGAGCTGTTGTACAGACGAAGATGGTGGTTCATAGCGTTTTCTGCTCGTTTTATATTTTGGTGTAGTTGCAGTCTGCGGAAAGGTGTGCCCTGGAGTAGTCACTGCTGTAGTGTTCAATGAAGAAGGTGGTGCTGTCTGTGTTGCCGAGGCGTTCTGTGCATCTTCTGCATCTACATCAGCATTTTCATCTTCTCCATGGCCGCGGTCTTCCAAATTTTCGGTTTCTACATTTCCAGCCCTTTCCTGATATATATTTGAGTTAAATTCGGCAGTCTCATAATGTATGACGTCAATATCTTTCATATTAGACGTCGTTTTGGCAAATGCCAGAAAAGGACGGAAAAATTCCATGTAGTCAGCCCACTGCCATTTTTTTATGTTGCCCACTGCTTGGCCGGTCTTTGGTTTGGTAGATTTTATATATTTTGCAAATGTGTCTCTGATATTCTTCCACCTTTTTTTTACTTCATCACCTAAAAACGATTTTTTTTATAGATTCCTTGCCACTGGTGACACCTTCTATACCATTGGGTATAGCTTTCGAGTTGGCTTTACAACAGTGAGTGCAATCGTAACCGAAGTCTGTGAAGCGATATGCAGACATATGGAGCATATATATTTACCAGAACCAACAGAGAATATATGGAAAAAATGTGCTGAAGAATTTGAAAATAGATGGGGATTTCCCAATTGCATTGGCAGCGTGGACGGTAAACATGTAACAATCAAGAGACCTAACAACAGTGGCTCCAATTACTGGTGCTATTTACATAAATATTCAATAGTACTTATGGCCATTGTTGGCCCGGACTATAAATTTATATGTGTTGATATTGGTGGTTTCGGAAAAAATAGTGATGGGGGTATTTTCGAAACCTCAAACATGGGAAAACGATTTGAACAAAATTTAATGAGTGTCCCTGCACTTAGATTTCTCCCTGGGCAAAATGAAATCTGCTCGTACGTCTTAATTGGTGATGAAGCATTTGCTTTAAAACCATACCTTATGAGACCATTTCCTTATAAGCAGACTTTAACAGACGTCAGAAAAGAGAAATACAATGTAAGACTTTGTCGAGCTAGAAAGGTCGTGGAAAATGCGTTTGGTATTTTGTCTCAAAAATGGCGAATATTTTACAGGCCATTAGAAACTAAAGTAGATACTACTATTCTAATTGTACGTACGGCATGTGTTTTACACAATTTTTTACGAAGTAAAAGTGGCGATGACAAATATTTTCAATTCTTAGATCCCCCAGAACCCGTGCTTGGAGCTTTTACTGATATAGCAAATGATCCTCGGCGGGCAGCAAGGCTAGCATTTTCTACTCGTGACAAATTCGTAAATTATTTTAATTCTGATATGCCTATGCCCAATATATAGAATGTTCGTTTTCACATTTGTGTAGACTGTAAATTATTTAACAAGTTAATAAAAAATATTAGGTACATACCATTTGTATTTAATTCTTTTCCTATTTCCATCCAAATCTTGTCTTTCTTTCTTACATTCCTGTATTCATCGTTCGACAAATCATACAAACAAGGATACTTTTTCACTATTTCTATCAATAATTCCGTGTTTGCCATTGCGAATTTTTGAAGAACGGCGTCAAAAACGCGGTCAAAGGCGAACTGAAATACGCCGCGATAAAAACGCTGGAACAATCGCGTTCGCTTCGCACAAGTCTGAGCCTGTCCGTAAACCGCCGCGTTTTAATTTGATCGCGAATTCATCGCCGCGAAATGTTCGCAGCCAAAGCGAATATTTCGCGCCGGTTTGTGGGATGCTTAACTCGGAGGCCGGGAAATGGACGCAGAGTACGGAACACGGTGTAGTAGGTAGAGCGGAGAGAAGTATGGTGCAGTCAATGGTGACATAAGAATTAGTCAGACATAAATAGTGGTGCAGATAAATGTTTTATCAAGTTAAATAAATTAGTGCATTTCTTTTTGTGAAATCCACACCCAAAAAGGATCCAGAAAAACTCTACAATATCAAATGCTTCACATCATCAAGTTCTAAATTAAATGAATGCACTTCTTGTGGGCAACGAGACCTGACAGATAGTCTGAGTGACAAAACAAGCAAGGGCTACGGATAGAGCCACACACCTTTGACAATGGTTACGGGGTGAGGGCTGCGAGGCTGTACTAGATGTTATCTAAATAGACGCCTTGAAAAATTTTGAAAAGCTTGAGATCAATTGACGGAAATTATCTCTGTGAAAGACGTAACGGTGAGCTGTGCCAGATGTCAGACAAAGATACTGTTGACAAAGCATGCTTCATAAATATAGTTATGTAGCCAAAAAAAATGTTGAAATTATTTTTTCTGGGTGTAACACTTCTAATGTCACTAAGTATATGAACTATACCTAAGTATATATACTAAGTGACATATAAATCCGAACACCCAGTTTAAATGGTTTTATTTTAATAAAAGTTGGTGAATATATCTATCTTACTGTAAATAACAAGTGAAAAAATTTTCAGCCTTATCAGTTGGACATTCCGGTTTTTATACTGCTTTTTCTTAATTCACTAACGCTCTAAAAATGAATATTTCAGCCGCAGTAAAGAATCAACGTTGGCGGATTTTGGTTCTTGACATCCTTTACGATCGGTTACGATGCCTGGAGTACGGAGACCTGTACGATTTCGTCAACTTAGTGGGTTTGATAGGGCCGTATAGTGGGACTTCGGGAAGCTGGACTTTCTTTTCGGGCAATTGCAGTTAGAGTGCAAAGAAGTGTAGACACTGTGGTTAGGTGTTGTCAGGCATGGCTTCGAGAAGGCCGTACGCAAAGAGCAAGGGGCACTGGACGCCGCCGTAGAACAACAGACCGTGAAGATCGCCGCCTAAGATTATTGGCCTTAAGGGACCGTTTCTCCACTACCAGGTCCATTGCAAATGAATGGTTTGCAGAACACGGAAGACCTATTGGCATGCGAAGTGTTTACCGACGAATGAGAAGTTTTGGCTTGTTTTCATACCGGCCACACTGGGTTCTCCCTTTAACTCGAGAACACCGACGTAATCGCCTTGAGTGGTGCAGACAATGGTCACTCTGGGATCAGGAATGGAACAGTATTGTCTTTAGTGACGAGTCTCGATTTTGTTTAGGCATGCACGATGGTCGTGCCAGAGTTAGAAGGCGACGTGGTGAAAGGAGGAATCCACAGTTTTTTGTTGAAAGACATGTTCATCACACTGTTGGAGTTAAGGTTTGGGGTGCTATAGCTTATGGTTCCAGGTCACCTTTAATCTTCATCCGAGGTAACATGAACGCGCAGCGTTATATCCACGAAGTTCTGGAACCCCATCTTTTACCCTATCTTGACATCCTGGCAGATCCAACTTTCCAAAAAGATAATGCCCGACCACATGTTGCAAGAGTCACAATAGACTTCTTTCAACATAATGATGTCACATTGTTACCATGGCCACCAAGATCTCCCGACTTATCCCCAATTGAGCACATGTGGGATATGATGGGTAGGAGATTGCTCAATTTGCAACGTCCTCCTCAGACTCTAGAAGCACTTCGAGAGGAGTTGGTGGTTGCCTGCAATGAGATACCACAGGAGGACATTGACCACCTGATCAGAAGCATGCCTAGGCGCGTTGGAGAATGCGTAGCACATCAGGGTGCATCCACACATTATTAAAGGTCAAAGGGCTTTAAAGCAGTGCAAACATTTTGAAATTTTTATCATTTACTTATTATGCTTCATTAAGTACTTATACAAAATTTTATTAAAATAAAACCATTTAAACTGATTTTATACACATGCAGACCAATTCACATAATCATCCAGATGCGATCTTGCTATTCAACCAACTTTCTTCTCGGAGATAAAAACTACAGACAAGGACCATTTGACCTCGCAAAACGTATGCAACCAATAATGCGTGTAGTTTAGTTGAGTGATTCCTCCATAGATGGACGTTCACAACGATCCTAGTGAGCAAACGTGGAATGACGTTCGCGCCCTAAAACCTATCTAGTTTGCTAGATGACATCTTATAATTTTTTTTTGACGTTTTATAGGTTTTTTACATGATACTCATTCCGATTGACAGATTGATTTTATTTGCAGGAGCTGACATGCCTGTAGTTATCACTGTACTGAACAGCTATTCAGGCTGGGCATTGTGTGCTGAAGGTTTTATGTTAAACAACCAACTAATGACAATAGTTGGAGCGTTGATAGGATCGTCAGGTGCCATCTTGTCATACATCATGTGTAAGGTAACGAATTATCATTGATTAATAGCAAAAACTGAAAATTTTATATAGGTTTTGGAAGTAAATCCTGTGAAATTTGAGATGTTGGTGGTATTAGGATAATCTGTTACCCGTTTTAAGAGTTCGTTTACGATATATCTTTAGATAAATAGATGGATACGTTGAAGAATACATTCTTAATAACAAAGCTGACTTCTTAATATTTCTTAGTTAATTCATCTTCATACTCTGGGATATACGTGAAAATTTCATATAGTTAATTCAAAATCAGGAACTTTCAAGTTTGCTTTTACCAGATTCCATAAAAATCAATAATCATCTAATTTTATTATTATTAAATAGGCAATATTTGTGTCAAGCTATTTTGCTAAATATTAATCAACAAACAATCAAATCTGATAATGTTATTACATACAGTAGATGGAAAATGTAATCAAGAGGGCTCAGGTTTGGACGGCTTCTAGAGGCAGACATTTGTCTGATATTATTTTTCATACATATAGTTTCTAAGTTTCAATAAAAGAGTAAGATGAAGAAAATTTATCTCATTTTACAAATATTCAGGATACAAACCACTCAGTTACTTATCGCCCTGCATTTCCTCTAAATAATGGAGTCACATGTCTATGTATTACCTAATATTTGCTCTGGCTTTAGATAACGGCCACAAATCCCTCACACGACTAAAACAAAAAAAACAAAAAAACGGTAATGATAAGCTATTCGGTGATTCGACAATTTATCTAAAACCGACCTTTTTGCGCTGAGCAGACCTAGGTCCACCGTTTAAACACTCCGCTATCGAAAGTTGCCGTTTTTTCGACAAGTACAATTGACGTCAGATAGATCTAGCAGAACATCCGCTAAGTTGGAAACTTCGGACATAGCAGGTTCGAATTTTGATGGCGCTAAATTTAAAATAAGCTGTTCTTATAGAGGGTGTCCGCAAAGTTGGGGTTTTCCTCTTCAGAAACAACTACCGTTGAAATAACAAAGGTAATGTGTAGTGAAACGAGGGCGACCAAGTAAAAAAAATAAAGGAAAAAGTACTCACTCTCCAGTTGACGAGAAGGGCTAAGTGCGTCTCTGCCCGAAATCATACCGCTCCAACAGAAAATGAAATCAGCTGATGCGCTACCGAGCAGACGCAGGCAAACAAGGAAGGCAAAATGTTGCGTAAAAAGTCTAGGTATTGCATCCCGTCCAATCGATTTGGGAGAATAAATGGTCCAATGAGCATACCGTTCACCATGCCAGCCCAAACATTCACCGAAAATGTTTGTTGAAAATGTGCCCGACGGACAGCGTGCGGATTTTCTACTGACCAAACATGAGTGTTGCGAAGGTTATTCACCCCATTACGCGTGAACGTAGATTCGTCTGTCACCAATATGCACTTCAAAAAGTCCGTATTATTGTCATGTTGATGCAACAACTACTCACAAAACCGCACTCTTGCTGGAAAATCGTCAGGTTGAAGGGCTTGTACACGTTGGACGTGAAACGGATACAGCCCCTCTTCACGCAGCGTTTGCCACGTCTCTATACTTGCACTTCTCTAGCCACATCTCTAGTGCTTGTTGAGGGATTCTCGTCTACGCGACTACCTCTACACGCGTGACCGTAACCGTCGGTTGAAGGTTGCGTACTGACCTGACACACTGACCCCGACCCAGTTCTGTCGTCGGGTTGAGCTAGTGTCCTAGTACCACTCGGGGATGTCGCGGCTACAGGACGGTATTCAGATATTTTTGATGTTGCAGAGCCCTTTATCTCGGTTCCCCTAAGACATTGGTGTATATGGTACTAAGAAAAATTGCTTATGTTTTCAAGATCTATACGTCGTGTAAAGGAAAACCCCAACTTTGCGGAACCCTGTATATTATGATGTGTGTGGGTGATTTCTTTTTTTCGCCAATAATTTACCACGTACAAAAAATGATTTGTTTTTTACTTTTTCGTCGTAACTACACCCGCTGATGTGTACACGTGCATTCTTTATCTGAAGTCACTTGAAATAGCATAAAAACCTTTGGTCGGCGCGTCCTTTGTAATTTCATGACGTATCTTAGGCGTGCGGTCATTTATTTAGAACGATAATAATAATGTTTTTATATCACAATAAATGGATTTTACTATCTTCTTATTTTTTTGATTTGGGATAAAAAATACTTATATTGGGAGTTTAATTTATGTTGACTGAAAGTTAAGAAATGGAAAAATTACAGAATTCCAACGTTTGACATAGGCAAATATTTACATAGCAGGTAGGTATATGAAAAGGTATATAAAGACTTACATTATAGGTGTTTATATATCATCCTCGGCTTCGGAGCTGTCGCTAGAGTCATCTTGTAGAGGAATTACAACGGGATTTACAGGAGGCAAAACACAATATTCATTTTCTTTTTCAATAATATGCCTAGAACACTGCTTCCATAGGTCTGTGGCAGCAAAATGAGATACTGCATCTCTTATTGTGGCCAATAGCGATTCACTTAATTGAGGGGTCTGATTATGTTTTCTTACTTTTTTTTTTAAAGCAGCCCAGACCAACTCAATCGGGTTAAAAATGCAGTAATAGGGAGGTAGACGTAATACTTCATGGCCATTTTGCTGAAGCAGATTGTCAACAACATACTCTTTTTCAAATTTTTGTCTTTTAATAAGATCCAATAATATGGCTTTGGTTGATTTTTGTGGTATTTCCATTCCCTTATCCTTCATAAAATCAATAATGTCTTGTTTTTTTGTGCCTGTATTCGGAATTTTGTTTTTCTGTCGGGAATGCTATGGCGCATTGTCCATAATAATCACTGAATTTGGGGAAATGTTTGGTATTAACTGCTGCTCTATCCACTTTTCAAATAAGTCGGAGGTTATGTCCTCATGATAGTCGGCACATGATTCTTTGATATTTTTGGCAGATAACAGCAAGGCATTAGGTATAAATCCATTTTCACTGCCAGCATGGAGAATAATGATTCGTTTTCCACGGTTGCATGGTGCATTTAAAATGCACTTGTTGCTGTCGTCAACCCAGCCGTACTGCACAACATCATGGGTATCATACCACGTTTCATCCAGGTGAATCAGATTTCTTTTCTGCTCTCTATAGATTTTAACTTTGTGCAAAAATTCTTGGCGCAATTCAACGATTCGAGACGACTCCATAATCACCATTCTTTTATCTAATTTTTTGTATTGAAAACCACACAGTTTTACAATACAGTGCAGGAGTCTAAGCATTTGTAATTATAAAAATCTTCAGGATAATCTTTTAATTTATCCCGTATCATTTCCAACGTGGGCACCAAATTTTCTTTATAAAATCCGTATATTATACGACGAATATCTTCCTGAAAACCCACGTCTATTCTTTTTAATTTTTGCCCTATGCGCTTTCTGTGGAAGGAATGGTTGACTGCATCTCCCCTTTTTATAACCCGATAAATGGTAGACCGACTGATTTTTGTCAGGATACAAATTCTGTTTAAAATTTGATTTTGCGAGGAATCTGGATTTTCGTTTTTCAGACAATCATACATATTTAGGATTACTCTTTGGGTCTGTTCCTCTAAATCTTTATGAAAGAATTCTGCCTGCACAGGTTCATCAACCATCTCCTCGTGGCTTGGAGCATTTTCCCAAGGTCTCCAAAGAGCCATATTTAGGACACACAAGAACAATCAACACAACAATTAAATCAACAAGTAAACGGAGTATTCAAAAGTCAAAAACACAAACTAATAAAATCTATGAAAAAACACGGACAGACTAAAGAAAACACGTTTATTCACCGCTACACGGCACTGGCTAAACTGTTTCAATTTTCAGTAGCCACCTGCACTTGTTCGGAGCTCTGAAATACACGCTTTCTCATTGGCTATGTCCACGCATAGGCGTGCTTTACTCCACGTGGACCGGTGAAACTGCCTTTGATCTTATACGGGGGATATTTGCTGCGAAATTTGGCGATTTTTGCAGCAACAGAGCGTGTTAAATATAGATATATAAAACGCACCCGGTATTTCACAGTGTTTCAAGTGACTTCAGATAAAGTATACCTATTACAGTGATATTGCGAGGGACGCAATAACACAATATATTGAAAAGATCTATTCATCTAAATATGAATCAAAGAATGTCATGAAATATTTAAAACATATCAGTGATATTTCAGAAACAATATAAATTATCCTTCATTTCAGTAATGTCTCTCAAACATAAGTTGCGAGACATTACATAATTTCTGAAAGATGTACGAAATACCAATTTTGAAATGCAATATTGTGAAAGTTATGTAATACACCAGAAATATCTCTAAAAAATAATGTGCTGTATGGGTGCATGTATCCCTAAGGTTGTTTTTAGTTTTATATCTAAGTTCGTTTTTGAAAAATAAAAGCACCTTTTTCTATATAAATTTTAATCTCGATAGGCCATGAACCGATCTCTGCCGAACGTTATCCTCGGTGGATTTGGGACCTCATCAACAGGATCCGGGAAACCAATGGAAATTACTGGCACTCACACCGAAATATCTTTAGATGGTACCGCTGAAGTGATCAGGAATGCCAAAAATATCATCATCGTGCCAGGATATGGCATGTGCGTCGCTAAAGCACAATACCCAGTTGCAGAGTTGGTTTCTATATTGAAGTCACAGGGCAAGCATGTTAGGTTCGCCATACATCCTGTAGCAGGTAATTTAGATACTGAATTTTAATTTACTTATTTGTAGTAGAGTGGTATTTTGTTATTGAATTGTAAGTTCATAACCTTGGATTGAATCTTTGGGTGTCCCATTTTAATATCCCCTCCTAAATATTTCTACAAAATGTGGGTAACCTTGACCATGACCTTGATCGCGACTTTCAAGGTCAAGCGAATATTTTCAAATGGAACTCACTTTTACACAGAAATTGACAAAACAAGGAAAGTCTACTTACGACTATGACCTTGACTGTGACCACCGTGATATTCAAGGTCGTACCAAGGTCAAATAAAGACATTGAAGACGATTTGCTCTAGCAAAAATGTTCGACAGCACAGTTGTATGCTTTGTGGGGTCACCTGAAGGTGATCTTTGACCATGACCTTCACCAATACATTCAAGGTCATATCGAAATTTCACATGTTCAAAGATAAAATTTATTGCTTTCTGGAATTTTGGTTTAAAAATCGAATGACGTTCAACATTGACATGATCTTGACCCTGAAGTCAAGGTCACATTTGAACGTATCATATACTTTCAAAGGCTTCAAAAATGCTCATTATACCAATAATTGAAGTAGATATTAAATAACATAATAACATATTTGCATTGATGATTAAACGTTAGATCATTTATTCGCAAAACTCCAACCTCCTATCAAAATCGTCTTCATTAAACTCATGGATTGTCTTTCAAAATTCTTTGTACTGTTGAGCGTGTAAATCCTGAAGAAGTAACCAGTCCACAAGTGCTTTGGGTATTGTGAAGTTCTACCTGTCCCAAAACTGTTATTTCTGCGGCTTACTTCTCGATGGCGATTATGGCGAATGTTGGACACAAATCCAGTTTCTTCAAATTTTCTTATCGACTTGATCTGTATTCAAAATTCTACAAAACTATTGAATTGACAGAAGTCAAAAAACCAAAATTGGATCTACATTATCAAGATCAAAAAATATTCTTGTTGGTATACCGCAAGGTAGTAAACTAGGTCCACTACTACTTATTTTATAGATTAATGACATTTGTAATATTTTAGATTATTGTAAAATTCAGATATTTGCAGATGATACATCAATATACAAAAATGCTAAATTCTGACTTCGCAAAAATCGTAAATTGGTTAAATGTAAATAAACTAAAATTGAATACTTCTAAAACTAAATGTAAGCTAATAGGGAAATACCTAAATGAAAATACTATCACAGTTAAGATAAATGGAGAAATAATTGAAAATGTTGAATCAATGAAATATTTAGGTATATATATTGATAGTAAACTAAAGTTTGAGGATCACTATGAATACATTATCTCAAAAATTGCAGTGGTTGAATATAAAAAATGTAATATCATATTTGGTTCTTATTTTTATATTTACAATAAAAAATCATCTTTTGCCAGAACATTTAGAACTCTACATAGAATTGAATAATCATTACCACAATTATTGTACAAGAGGAAATATAGATTTTCATTTACAAAATTGCAATAGTAATATATACTAAGTGACATATAAATCCGAACACCCAGTTTAAATGGTTTTATTTTAATAAAATTTTGTATTAGTACTTAATGAAGCATAATAAGTAAATGATAAAAATTTCAAAATGATTGCACTGCTTTAAAGCCCTTTGACCTTTAATAATGTGTGGATGCACCCTGATGTGCTACGCATTCTCCAACGCGCCTAGGCATGCTTCTGATCAGGTGGTCAATGTCCTCCTGTGGTATCTCATTCCAGGCAACCACCAACTCCTCTCGAAGTGCTTTTAGAGTCTGAGGAGGACGTTGCAAGTTGAGCAATCTCCTACCCATCATATCCCACACGTGCTCAATTGGGTATAAGTCGGGACATCTTGGTGGCCATGGTAACAATGTGACATCATTATGTTGAAAGAAGTCTATTGTGACTCTTGCAACATGTGGTCGGGCATTATCTTGTTGGAAAGTTGGATCTGCCAGGGTGTCAAGATAGGGTAAAAGATGGGGTTCTAGAACTTCGTGGATATAACGCTGCGCGTTCATGTTACCTCTGATGAAGATTAAAGGTGACCTGGAACCATAAGCTATAGCACCCCAAACCATAACTCCAACAGTGTGATGAACATGTCTTTCAACAAAAAAACTGTGGATTCCTCCTTTCACCACGTCGCCTTCTAACCCTGGCACGACCATCGTGCATGCCTAAACAAAATCGAGACTCGTCACTAAAGACAATAAAAAAATTCAAACACAAGTTGTAGGATTTCGAGGAGGCAAAATGTGGGTAACCTTGACCACGACCTTGATCGCGACTTTCAAGGTCAAGCGAATATTTTTAAATAGAACTCACTTTTACACAGGAATTGAAAAGACAAAGAAATTCTACTTACGAGTATGACCTTGGCTGTAACCACCGTGATATTCAAGGTCACACCAAGGTCAAATAAAGACATTGAGGACGATTTGCTCTAGCAAAAATGTTCGACAGCACAGTTGTATGCTTTATGGGGGTCACCCGAAGGTGATCTTTGACCATGACCTTCACGAATACATTCAAGGTCATATCGAAATTTCACATGTTCAAAGAAAAAAATTATTGCTTTCTGGAATTTTGGTTTGAAAATCAAATGACGTGCAGTCAAGGTCAGATTAGAACGTAACATTTTCTTTCAAAGCCTTCAAAAATGCTCGTTACACCGATAATCGAAGTAGACAATAAAATGCAGACAGTTCTAGAGTTTGTAGAAAAGATTTATAATCTCCTTTTCATTCGTGAAATATCACAGCAAATAGCTGAACTCTGTCGATTAGGGAAGTTATTAAAACATGTATCTCCCAGGAATTATACTACAGCGCTTTTCAAAAAGGTCTACCCTTCATCTTTTGAAGTGATCAAGTCAAGCCGTGATAAATACTGTATTTTGACATGAAAATAACAGATGAAGGTTCTAAGATGGTGGCTGGGCAATCGCTCTTGCAATGCTCCCATTTTGATAATACAATTTTGTTATTTCTACCCTTACTTGAATTGAATAAGTCATTGTTCAATATTTATCACAACTATAGGTAGGTAACTTAAGAATTTGAAGTGAATGACATACAATGACAGTGGCTGATGCTAAATGTTCTTGCTGGTAGCCATGATTATTATTTTTTGCCATGTATAGACTTATAACACAAAAGTTACTAAAAACTTCATGGAAAATCTAAAAACTGAAAAAATGGGGGTTTACAAATAAAAATTGACGTGTCCGAGGGTTTTTCCCAAAATGTACCAGGAGAGTCACAAAACTGGAGTGCGACTTTTTCGTTGGGCCACCCTGTACATTCACTAACTTTGGAAATGGTGTACTGACTGTATATTGAACCGTTTACAATTCAACAACTGGTTATCAAGTTTTGGAGTACGTGCTCACGATCCTTAACTACTTGATATTCGAATGACATTTTTTCTGAAAATATGGGGTTGTCCAATAGGGACGCAGGAAAGTAAACGCATATCAAAACAAGAAAGATTGATATTCAAATCAAGTTGGGTACTTTATGTTGAAGGTTCATTTATACCATTTATGTATGAAAAATAATATCGCTCAAATGTTCACCACGACTGGATTTACGGACGTCCACGCGATGGTCGAACTTTTCAATGACATTTTGCAACATGGTCGGTTCTATGGCATTTATCTCGGCAATGATGTTGTTTTTGAGTTCTTGGAGGGTGGCTGGTTTGTTGACGTAGACTTTGCTTTTCAAATATCCCCATAAACAGAAGTCCAAGGGAGTCAAATCGCCCGATCTTAGTGGCCATGGCACATTTCCTCTGCGCGAAAACACGCGATCACCGAAGAAGGACTGCAATCGATGGATATTGACGTTGGTTGAGTGGCATGTTGCACCGTCTTGTTGGAAATAAACATCGTCCATATCCATTCCTTCAAGTTGCGGCAAAAAATAGTCCTCTATCATCACGTGATATCGCTCAGAATTGACGGTAACGGCGTCCCCGGCCGCATTTTCGAAAAAGTATGGTCCGATGATGCCTTTTGACCACAATGCACACCACACAGTCACTTTTTGAGGATGCATCGGCTGCTCTTGATACTCACGGGGATTTTCGTTCGCCCAGATGCGGCAGTTTTGCTTGTTTACCGTCCCATTCAGTGTGAAATGCGCTTCGTCGCTGAACATGATTTTTGATGAAAAATTGGCATCAATTTGGCGGTGTTCAAGGAGCCAATCTGAGAACGTTCGGCGCGAAAAATGGTCGGCCCGACGCAGCTCTTGCGTCAATTGGATCTTGTAGGCGTGTACATTCAAATCTTTGTGGAGAATGCGGAGCAAACTGGTTCTCGAAATGCCCAATTCTTGGGATCGACGCGTTGTTGATTGTTTCGGATCGTCTCTCACACTCTCCTTCACAACAGCAATATTTTCCGGTGTGCGAACGCTCCTTGGCCGGCCAGAGCCTGGCAGATTTGCCACAGAACCTGTTGCCTCGAATTTGCGCACCAGACGACCGATGGTTGTTTCGTTTGGGCGGTTGTTGCGACCGAAATGTTCACGTAGCGCGCGAAACGTGTTTTTTATTTTTGCACCATTTTTGTAGTGCTCTTGAATAACTTTAATGCGGTCTTCAATCGAATACGACTCCATCGCGATCAATGGTAAATATTCAACTAACAAAATGACATGTCGGTGACAGAAAACAAAGATGGCGTCTATGTCAAATTGACGTTTACTTTCCTGCGTCCCTATTGGACAACCCTTTATTTCCGCTCACGATTTTACATGATGAATCGTGAATCAATACTCTTATTTATGCTGTAGTATCAAAATGTATAAACAGGTATTCTATAGGTCGGATGCCGGGTCAACTAAACGTACTGCTGGCTGAAGCCGGTGTACCATACGACGACGTATTGGAGATGGACGAGATCAACGACGATTTCCCAGATACGGACCTCGTGTTGGTCATAGGCGCCAATGATACCATCAACAGTGCAGCCTTGGAAGATCCAAACTCGCCCATCGCCGGCATGCCAGTACTTACCGTTTGGCAAGCGGAACACGTCATTGTCATGAAGAGGTTTGTTCTTTTGAAGTCAGTCATAGTACGGGAGCTCTACAGAATAAAATTAGCAATCGAGACGTCAGTGAAGGACGTATCGTCAGCAACTCCTACAATTGTAGGGAGCCTTTGATTTTCATAGTATTTTCTCTCCTACAGAAAGGCTGAGGTATTTCTAGATTTCTACTGTTCCGTGTCAGCGTCAGCGCTTTTGAATTATATAAATCAAAAGTGTGAACAGTTTGATGCAAATAGTTATTTGTAACGTAGCCTCAAAATAGAGCGCTGACACGGAGTAGTAAAAAAACTAAGAAAATCAAGGAGGTCATCAAGGCGTCCTATAATTCGTTGTTTCTCAAACATAGTGACACTATTCAATAAAGCTTTTTTCAGGAGAGGCATTTTTTATATTTTTTTAGGAAAAATTTCGGATAACTAACTAATAATTTGGATTTAAAAAAAATCAGCAATCAAATAAGGTTTATTGAACTTTCAGATTCATTGAATAAAATATCAGTATGTTTTCAAAAATATCCCATTTTCTTCCTTTTTGCAACTTTACAGGAATGTCGTTATCCCTAAAAAAATAATGCTTTTCTAAAAAAATATATGACAAGTAATTCGTGGTTACACAAAAAAGAGGGAACATTTATTTTAGTATTAGCACCAATGATACACAACTAACAACATTTTAAAGACTACGTGGAACCATCAAAGGTAAGTACAGAAAAAAAACAAGTACAATACAAAAATGGGTTACAAATTATCGTAAAATCCCTCATTGTATGAGGATATTATATTTTTTACTAAATTAAGTGAGGCGCTTATCTTTTTCTCGGAAATGTTCGATTGTATGCTTTAATCAGAGTAACTTTAGGACCTCGTTTTGTTGCCTCGTTTTTCTTAGATCTTTTATAGGAATTTTCATCTACCTCAACTTTACGAAGTACGAGTTTTTGTAGAAAAATGTTCCAGAATGTTGAGATTCTACCCTTATTATTTTAACATCGTATAGTTTGAATGACTCATTTTTCAAATTTTTATGATGTAGGAAGAAGTCACAATGCACTTTATGTCACTATTCGTGATTAACACGATCGGTTATTAGCGTATTTTGCTCTAATATGACGTTATTCTTGAGAAAAACGAAAGTATTCGCTTTGAAAGTCGAGCCGCAACTGCAATATGACATTATTCATCACAACATTCGATATCAACGAACAACGACACTATACTATAACTATCTAAAACTGTAATGACTCATCGATGTTCACGTGAACATCACTTAACTACCAGTAGTCGGCTGTTCATAGGCGGGGTATGAATGTTTAACATGGGTGAACTAGATTTGTCACATGTTTAATAAAGAGTGGTTTGAAACATATTGTAAGTCAAAAATTTTGGAATTACCTTTATTCATCGTCGCTTCCACTTACATCTGACAGTAATAAACTGTCGCTATCGCTTTCCTCGTTGAAATTGACTATAACTGGTTCTATGATGGTGTCGATTTGGTGGTCAAGCTGCCACATTTTTGTTTCTTCCTTCACAACATGACGGATAGCATTCTGCCAAGCTTCGGGCGTTACTAGCTGTATGGAAGTCTCAAGTAAAACCTTAACGTCTGGTAATTTGAAGGTTGTGTTATGGCGCGCAATATAACCCTTCACTTGAGCCCAGATGAGCTCTATTGGGTTCAGTTCACAGTGGTAGGTCGGTAACCGCATCACGGTGACACCACATTGACGGTTCGCAGGTTTGTGCTGTTTAATTTTTTCATACAATTCCGCTTTCACACATGAATCGTCAAACGGGATTCCTTTTTCGCGCAACCATTGCTGCATGTCACTTTTTCGAGATCCCATAGTCGGTACACGTTCGGCTCGACAACTATGGTAGGAAGCATTATCCATGACGATCACAGAGTTGGGCTCAACTCGCTGAAGCACCCCTTGAAACCAGTTCTCGAAGCAGCTGGCATTCATTTCGTCATGGTAATCACCTCCTTTCTTAGAGACGAAAATTAAGTCACACTCTTCTAAAAAGCCACTATCGCTACCAATATGAGTTACGATCAATCTTTGACCTTTCCTTGACGGTCCACGAAGACCCGTTGACAAACCTTCAATGCTTGCTTGTCGGTTACTCACTACGTTTTTGTCTATCCAGGTTTTTTTAACTGTGTGACCTGCACTTACCGATGTCTCGTCCAAATAATAGATTTTTCTGCTTTGTCGCCTATATTCACTCATTTCGCGTAGATATTTTGGACGCCAGGCGACTATTTCAGGTGTCTCTATCAATACTAACTTCCGATTACGCGTTTCGTAACGAAAATTAATTTCGTGCAGGGATTTCCTCATTACCTCGACGCTCATTTGGGGTATAATTTCATTTTCCTTGATCGCTGCATGTACAGCCTTGAGGGTTGGTATCTCATTCCTAAAGAAGAATGAATGTACGGTTCGCCTTAACGCCACTTTGCTATCGTCATCCAATTTAACGACCTTTCGTCCCTTCAAATTAAACTTTGGATCAGTAGTAGCTCCAGTTTTCTTCTATTCATGCACCACCCTGCGAATGGTCCACTCTGGAACGCCTGTCATACTTTCACAACGCGCGAGTGCATCTCCCTGCGACATAGTTCTGTTCAGATAATTGAACACGTTGAGCACGATTTCTTTCGCGTCCCTCTTCAGTGCTTTATGAAGCCGTCTACTTGTTCCCTGGCTTCCAGTACTTCCACTCGTGCCATTTGTACTCTCCATGGTTAAGTATAACCATAACAGTAACCACAAAAACCACAACAATAACAATCACACAACAATTCTTATAAAACACACAATATGCGATCGCTCAACGAAACACGTTCCAATGCGTTGCCGACGCCTATGAGTCTGCCGGTCGAGGCGCGTCTTTGATTTCATTGGTTCTACCGGCGGAGAACAATCAGCCATTATTTCCATCTCTGTCTGTGCTGTTGACCACCGCAAAGCCACAGAAACGACATATGTCGTACGCTATACGGCTGTACTGGAAGGAAGCCGGGATCGAGCTCTGATCACGTGTTGATCACGCGTATGAGTCATTACAGTTTTAAATAGTTGTAGTATAGCGTCATTTCTGGCAACCTTAATGCGGACCTCAGGTCAAGGTGCCACCGATGGAACCCCAAATAGAGGACGACTCGTAAAACTGGAGAAAGGTACACGAGTAAAAATGACCACTTCCGTTCTGCAGCCGTGCTTCCGCGTCGTGATTAGCTTACACCACCTTTCGGCGGTGCAAAATTCCGAGGGGGGACACGCGAAAATTTAAAGGGCAAAATTGGGGGGGGGGGGTCAAGTTGCAGGAGCGTCCAGTCCACGTACCGCCACTGGGGCCGGAAAGGGTGAGGTTACCTGGCCCGGGGGCATTTTATCACTATGGTATAGGATTCGGCACCAGCCTTAATTTTATTGGTCAATTTCAATTTATTCAACCAATAACAAGCCGGGTGCCGAAATCACTACCGGAATGTTAAACAGTGCTGAGCATGGGGTCAGAATGTTATCAATTTAAATTTAAATTTACTTACCTTCCGCTAAAAATACGTAAGATAATAATCAACGCACGTTGTTTCCTATTACGATATTTAATGATTTTAAAATTAATAATTTGGTTTAGCAATAAGAAAAATTACATGAAAAATTTATATATATATATATATATTTTATTTCACCTATATATATAGGTGAAAAATTAAAGCTTCCGCCTTTTGTTGGGTACTTCGACAAAATTTAAGCAAGGAGGACTACTTTTTTATTCTCTCTAGCTTTCAATGGCCTTTGCCATCATCATCAGGGGAGTAGTATGTGAGGATGTTGCTAATTGTTATTTACGTTAAGGATGAGTGAAACACAAAATGGTGGGCATGTGTAATCATCAAGTGGCTTCACGATGTAATGTTTAACTTTCAATTTCTAAAAAAATTTTTAATCTGTTTTTAACTTGTTCTTGTCATACAGCTGTGTGTATTTTATATAATTTTGACCATTGTACCATTTATCCAGCTTTCACCATGTTACTGGGTGTTTCCCTCATCCTTAACGTAAACAACAATTAGCAACATCCTTACATACTACTCTCCTGATGATGATGGCAAAGACCATTGAAAGCTAGAGAGAATAAAAAAAGTATAAAGAGTCCTCCTTGCTTAAATTTTGTCGAAGTACCCAACAAAAGGTGGAAGCTTTAATTTTTCACCTAACTAGTCTAGACGACAATGACCACGTCTCAAGTTATATTTATATATATAGTTTAAATTGATAACGTTCTGACACTGTTTTCAGCACTGTTTAACATTCCGGTAGTGATTTCAGCACCCAGCTTGTTATTGGTTAAATAAATTGAAATTGACCAATAAAATTAAGGCTGGTGCCGAATCCTATACCATAGTGTTAAAATGCGGCCCGGGGAGGTGGCGGGATCGCATAAGAATTTGTGTTCCTGTTCCGTCATTTCTGGCGAAGACTTTGAAACAATGCAAATGTCTTTATGCCTGATAAAATAGTTAACATTTGGAGTGGATCTGCAATTTTAATTAATTTTTCTCGTTTTTTTGGATAGTGTCACTATTCTTGAGAAGCAACGATTTGAGGACATGTTGAATGCTTATACACGTTTCCCATACATTTCACTCAACTGGCGATGAATTTCTATGGGTGGTAACGTTTCTGCGTACAAAAATCCGATGATCGCACAAATTTCCCACCTGGCAATGAATGGCTCCATTGCGCATGACTGTCAGACCCGCACGAGTATCATGTAAAAAACCTGTGAAATGTCAAAAAACCTGTAAGATGTCAAGTTGCAGACTAGGCAGTTTTTAGGGCGCAAACAGTCATTCCACGTTTGCTCACTAGGATCGTTGTGAACGTCCATCTATGGAGGAATCACTCAACTAGACTACACGCATTATTGGTTGCATAGTTTTGTGAGGCTGAGTATATGTTGAATATGACTGGCCATTTATATGTTGTGCTTTCTGAAAAGAGGTTATGTTCAAAGTTATAAAAACTGAGGAGAATTACAGGAAATCATCACCGCGCCGCGTTGTGTGTACAGTGTACAGTGAATATAATTATTTCTGATCTCTCTCATTTTTTAAATGCAGCAAACTGTATATGTAATTACCAGAATGTATAAGAAAAAGTGGCTGCGCAATTAATTTCTAGCTTTGAATCTCGATTAAGTTTATTTGAGACAAGAATCCAATGGAGTTATCATCAACACATACAATTTACAGCTTAGACCTCCAGTAATGCCATCTCTCAGCAGATTTTACATAAAATCAGAGCCAAACTTTGATAACTAAAACCTCATCACGTTTAGGCAACACGTACAACTAAGTGCGAAGTTAACATCTTGTAATGGGTTATCCAATAGGGACGTAGGAAAGTAAACGTCAACTTGACATAGACGCCATCTTTGTTTTCTGTCGCCGACATGTCATTTTGTTAGTTGAATGTTTACCATTGATCGCTATAGAGTCGTATTCGATTGAAGACCGCATTAAAGTTATTCAAGAGCACTACGAAAATGGTGCAAAAATAAAAAACACGTTTCGCGCGCTTCGTGAACATTTCGGTCGCAACAACCGCCCAAACGAAACAACCATCGGTCGTCTGGTGCGTAAATTCGAGGCAACAGGTTCTGTGGCAAATCTGCAAGGCTCTGGCCAGCCAAGGAGCGTTCGCACACCGGAAAATATTGCCGTTGTGAAGGAGAGTGTGAGAGACGATCCGAAACAATCAACAACGCGTCGATCCCAAGAATTGGGCATTTCGAGAACCAGTTTGCTCCGCATTCTCCACAAGGATTTGAATGTACACGCCTACAAGATCCAATTGACGCAAGAGCTGCGTCGGGCCGACCATTTTTCGCGCCGAACGTTCTCAGATTGGCTCCTTGAACACCGCCAAATTGATGCCAATTTTTCATCAAAAATCATGTTCAGCGACGAAGCGCATTTCACTTTGAATGGGACGGTAAACAAGCAAAACTGCCGCATCTGGGCGAACGAAAATCCCCGTGAGTGTCAAGAGCAGCCGATGCATCCTCAAAAAGTGACTGTGTGGTCAAAAGGCATCATCGGACCTTACTTTTTCGAAAATGCGGCCGGGGACGCCGTTACCGTCAATTCTGAGCGATATCACGTGATGATAGAGGACTATTTTTTGCCGCAACTTGAAGGAATGGATATGGACGATGTTTATTTCCAACAAGACGGTGCAACATGCCACACAACCAACGTCAATATCCATCGATTGTAGTCCTTCTTCGGTGATCGCGTGATTTCGCGCAGAGGAAATGTGCCATGGCCACCAAGATCGTGCGATTTGATTCCCTTGGACTTCTTTTTATGGGGATATTTGAAAAGCAAACCAGCCACCCTCCAAGAACTCAAAAACAACATCATTGCCGAGATAAATGCCATAGAACCGACCATGTTGCAAAATGTCATTGAAAATTTCGACCATCGCGTGGACGTCTGTAAATCCAGTCATGGTGAACATTTGAGCGATATTATTTTTCATACATAAATGGTATAAATGAACCTTCAAAATAAAGTACCCAACTTGATTTGAATATCAATCTTTCTTGTTTTAATATGCGTTTACTTTCCTGCGTTCGTTTTGGACAACCCCATAGAAAATCAGCATAATGTCACTTTCAAGATAGGCGATACCCGTGCCGTACTGAGCATCGCAAATAGGCGCTTCTTGTTGGGATCTCAGGTGGGGCAGCCGACAAACACGACGCTGTTTCAGCGTTGGAAGCCTTATTTTTGAAACAACCCTCGTAGAATGTCTCATTTGTATTTCTTACAGGTCTTTGGGTGTTGGTTATGCTGCTGTGGACAATCCGGTCTTTTACAAACCGAACACGTCCATGCTGTTAGGAGACGCGAAGAAAACGTGCGATCAATTACTAGCCAAGGTGGTAAACGCTTCTTAAAAATAGGTTGTGAAAACTAATTTGCTCAACAAAAAAACTAGATCTCATATTGTTTGGGCTGCGGTGTGTCACCATGCTCAGTATTATTTACGGTACGATCCAGCATCATTTTTTGCAGTATTTTTAAGAAGTATTTAGGTTTTTGAATGAATCGTTGAGGAACATAGGCGGCGATCAACGACTTTACATTTTTGTTTGCAGTTAAGAACCTCTCAATAGTTATTTATTAATACGTGCGACCACGTTGCAACTAGTTCAGCCAATTTTTGACTGTCGCCGAAAACAAGAATCGGATTACCGACCGACATTGCCCTTTTTTCGTTTTTAAAAGATCCGCTTTCACACAAAAGTACTTACCGGACAGCCCTCGTATATCAGTCGAGTTTGAAACGCTAACGATGATGTCAGCTACGTCGGTCTGGTGCTGCTAGCGATGCAAGTTTTTTACGTTAGCAGTAAATTTATGATCATACGTCAAGTATTACACAAACGATTGATGACACAAGTCATGTAACATTTTTTTAAAAATCGCTTTCCTAACTAACCTTAGGGTGGCACGACCCTTTTGTAGATTTTTTTACAACTGTTTGCAGCAGTAGTCTAAATCCTTTTCATCTGATAATTTCATGGTGTGACTAAAAAACAATGTTTTCATTTTTTTTTGTCACAAAATGCATTTAATTTTGCATTTTTTCTTCTATCGGAACTTGTTAACAAATATAAGTACAGCTCTGAAATTATGTGTGAATATTCCTCCTTTATCGAATAATAATAAAACTTTTCCTTTTCTAATCTCTGCTTTCCTTGAAAACTCAACTAGCTGCGAGACGAGGCTTCAAGAAAATCAAAGATTTTTCGAAAATAAAAAGTAATAAGAACAAAAATAATCACTCGTTGCATTCTTCCATAAAAGAGGAATATTCACACACAGTTTCAGAGCTGTACTTATATTTGTTAACAAGTTCCGATTGAAGAAAGAATGCACAATAAAATGCATTTAAAAAAAATGAAAAAATTCGTTCGTCCACTTGTGTCTTCAATTCATTTTTTTTTAGCTAGATACCTAAGCAAGTATTTTAGGTTGCTTGAGATAGTGGAAAGGGCAAGTAAAGTAACTGCAACAAATTTTAATTCGTATTTCTTTTGTGTTTAGATTAAGGAAGGAAAGAACGATTGAGAGTGCATACAGTATTTTTGTAATTTATGTTTAACGTGGAGAAGAATAGTCTGATACTGTGTTGATATAAATAAGATAGGGCAAAATATTGTAACAGGAGGTGCTAAGTATTTTTATAATGTATGTATAATTCAAAGAGCCTCCCCTGATTATGATAGCTACTGAAACGATATACCATTTATATATGAAAAAAATTGTATTAGGAAGTAACATTACATTAAATATAAATCTATACTTATTTTTAACATGTCTTTTTAAATATCATAACATCAACCAACGAGTACCTGGGAAAAACTATGGCACAATTGACTCTCTGTTTTTGCTTGCTTCGTAACACTGAAAATAGTAATTAGGTTAAAAGCCAAGGCCATGGCAAAACGAATGACATATTTACGTAAGAGCTTTCTTATAGTTGACTAAATGAGTGTAATGTCGATAGTATATGAGACTTTGGACGTTTTACACAGAATTTCATCGACATTTTTATTTGGGATGTTACAGTGCATTTTTTTCTTTAAATCGTATTACTGATAGTAGAAAAAGAAAACGTAGAATAGTTATTAGAATGTGAGATGGTATACAGGGTGAGTTCGAAGTTGAGTCATTTATTTTAACAGTGAGTAGATCTGATCAAAAGAAATGTTTTTTCCTTTACCATTTTTCTGGTAAAATTAAAGTAACAAAGTTATAGCCCTTTGGAAGTTTGAGTACCGCCCTGTCTCAATAATAATATTATGTGCTCGTGTTTGGCAACAACGGATATAATCCGCCTTATCGGTTCATCGCATCGGAAACAAAAAAGCGAAAGAATTTGGAACGATGTTTTTACAATTATTTTATTCATTTGTATACAGTCAGTGTCAGTCGGTAACGCGTGAGTGAATAGTGGTGTCTGTTGCGTGGCTCAAACGAAATCAAAAATGGCACATGTTTATGCGGATCGGTTTCCCAATCGAGTGCAACCAACCCCTCGTGCCTTTGTTAATGTAGTACAACGGGCTCGTGAATCAGGTGACTTAAGACCTCACAGGGGACGGCATGCCGGTGCTCCAAGACCTCACGATCAAATACAGGTCCGCACTGAAATACTTGTCGGGAGGATACTTTATAAAACAAGGTAAAATTTTTTTTTTTATTTTTACACACATATTTTGGTTTATCTTCCTTCTACAATCATTATCTGAAAATTAATGACTCAACTTCAAAGTCACCCTGTATAAACTGAAAATTTGTTGAAAATCAATAGCTGTATACAATAACGACAAAATAAAGTATGTAAAGGCATAACAGAAAGTCAGCTGTTAACAGTTATGGGTTACAACAGATTTAGCTGCTGATCAAGTAGAATTTTTTTCAATTTTTTATTTAACGTTGGTAATGAATTAGTTTCTTTCAAACTATGATCTAAAGAATTAAATAATTTATCAAGAATAGTGACACTATTCTAAAAAAGCTTTTTTTCAGGAGAGGAATTTTTTAATATTTTCTTTGAAGAAAAATTTCTGATAACCGAAGATAAAGTTATTAATTTGGATTTAGAAAAATCATCAATCAAATAAGGTTTATTGAACTTTCAGATTCATTGAATAAAAGATCAGTATGTTTTAAAAAATATCCGATTTTATTCCTTTTTTGCAATACAGGAATGTGCCATTATTCCTAAAAAAAGTACATTTCTAAAAATTATATGAAAAATAATTCGTGGTTACAGAAAAAAGAGGGAAAATGTATTTTAGTATTACTACCAACGATACACAACTAACAACATTTTAAAAGCTACGTGGAACTAAAAAATCAAAGGTAAGTACAGAAAAAAAAGTACAATACAAAAATTTGTTACAAATTTTAGTAAAATCCCTTATAGTATGAGGGTATTATATTTTTTTACTAAATTAAGTAAGGCGCTTTTCTTATGACGTATACGCTTTGAAGGTCAAGCAGCAACTGCAATATGACATTATTCATGACATAACCTCAAAACATTCGATATTAACAACATCTCTGACGAAAACTTTGAAACAATTGCAAATGTCGCTATTCTTGATAAACTATTCAACATTTGTAGTGGATCTGCAATTTTAGCTAATTGTTCTCATTTTTTTTTTTGATAGTGTCACTATTCTTGGGAAGCAGCTACTCGTATATACAGGGTGTCTGCAAAGTTGGGGTTTTCCTTTTCAGAAACAACTACCCTTGAAATAACAAAGGTAATGTGTAGTGAAACGAGGGCGACCAAGTAAAAAAATATAAAGGAAAAAGTACTCACTCTCCAGTTGACGAGAAGGGCTGAGTACGTCTCTGCCCGAAATCATACCGCTCCAACTGAAAATAAAATCAGCTGATGCGCTACCGAGCAGACGCAGGCAAACAAGGAAGGCAAAATGTTGCGTAAAAAGTCTAGGTATTGCATCCCGTCCAATCGATTTGGGAGATTAAATGGTCCAATGAGCATACCGTTCACCATGCCAGTCCAAACATTCACCGAAAATGTTTGTTGAAAATGTGCCCGACGGACAGCGTGCGGATTTTCTACTGACCAAACATGAGTGTTGCGAAAGTTATTCACCCCATTACGCGTGAACGTAGATTCGTCTGTCACCAATATGCACTTTAAAAGGTCCGGATTATTGTCATGTTGATGCAACAACCACTCACAAAACCGCACTCTTGCTGGAAAATCGTCAGGTTGAAGGGCTTGTACACGTTGGACGTGAAACGGATACAGCCCCTCTTCACGCAGCGTTTGCCACACTTTAGTTTTTGATACTTGCACTTCTCTAGCTACATCTCTAGTGCTTGTTGAGGGATTCTCGTCTACTCGATTACCTCTACACGCGTGACCGTAACCGTCGGTTGAAGGTTGCTTACTGACCTGACACACTGACCCCGACCCAGTTCTGTCGTCGGGTTGAGCTAGTGTCCTAGTACCAGTCGGGGATGTCGCGGCTACAGGAGGGTATTAAGATATTTTTAATGTTGCAGAGCCCTTTATCTCGGTTCCCTTAAGACATTGGTGTATATGGTACTAAGAAAAATTGCTTATGTTTTCGAGATCTACACGTCATGTAAAGGAAAACCCCAACTTTGCGGACACCCTGTATATTCTGAAATAGAAATGTGCTGTGGTGTAGAATTAAAAAAGTTCTATATATAATATTGTCATGCATATTTCCTCTACGTATGAATTTGGTTACTAAATATGATGGTGTTTTTGAATAAAGAACCCCATGAGTCAGACTTAGCAACTTATCAATTTTAATCCATTTCAGGTCATTAATGAACCATGATCGTATTATTTGAGATCGTTCACACAATTGCTTTCTCGCAGACTTATGTAATATAGCCTTATTTGCAAATATAACTCGGAGAATAGCGTATCACTGAGAAATTTGATGGTATACTTATTCAACATATTTTAAATCATCATTATAATACCTAGGTTCTTCGAATGATCGACAGGTACTATTTTGTTACCTTTTAAATTTACGTTTATGTTCATGTTTGAAGCACTCCTTTTTGTTTTATTTGCGTATACTAACATATTTGTCTTTAAAGTGTTCAAACGAAGATTATGACTACTGCTAAACTTTTCAATGTGGGCAAGATCTTGATTAATTTTTTTGTTAGTTGTTTCCAAGTAATTACTCCTAGATGAATCTAAAATCTTAGTATCGTCGGCAAAAACTGTATGCTGCATGATTTTACCTCTGTTTCTAAATCTTATCTAAATATATAATGAAAATAACAGGGGTTCTAACACAGATCCCTGTGGCACGCCAGAACATTTTTTTTGTGCTGACATGTTTACTTTATGCCGTTACATTGATTATAACTTATTTTATCGCCATTGTATACAGCTACTAATTTTCAACAAATTTTCACTTTATACTTCGACGTTGAGTCATTTATTTTAACAGTGAATAGATCTGATCAAAATAAATGTTTTTTTCCCTTAACATTTTTCTGGTAAAATTAAAGTAACAAAGTTATAGCCCTTTAGAAGTTTGAGTACCGCCCTGTCTCAATAATAATATTATGTGCTCGTGTTTGGCGACAACGGATATAATCCGCCTTATCGGTTCATCGCATCGGAAACAAAAAAGCGAAAGAATTTGGAACGATGTTTTAACAATTATTTTATTCAGTTATATACAGTCAGTGTCAGTCGGTAACGCGTGAGTGAATAGTGGTGTTTGTTGCGTGGCTCAAACGAAATAAAAAATGGCACATGTTTACGAAAATGCTGAATGTACTACAAAGGGCTCGTGAATCAGGTGACTTAAGACCTCACAGGAGAGGGCATGCCGGTGCTCCAAGACCACACGATCAAATACAGGTCCGCACTGAAATACTTGTCGGGAGGATACTTTATAAAACAAGGTAACATTTTTTTAATTTTTATTTTTATTTTTACACACATATTTTGGTTTATCTTCCTTCTACAATCGTTATCTGAAAATTAATGACTCAACTTCAAAGTCACCCTGAATAACATGCATTCCATATTGCTCGTCAATTATTATTACTATAATTATTATCATTATATGTCTTTTCGAGAAAATGTATTCTTTAACATTTCTCCTTCAGAAAATTCGCTTTTCATGTCATCAGTCTTATTTCTAAAGCCGAAGTTAATTTTGTGATGAACCATTTAATAATATGAAAAACTCAAAAACATTTTGCAGAAAATGGATGAATTGTTGAGAAGCGTCAACATCTCTTAGAATGGGTAATAGAACTATTCGACTTTCTATGGGCTATTTATGTTCCCTTGTTATCGAATATTATTTTTCTAAAAAGCGAAAATAGATAATTTACCAATTGTGCGACTTTTTTCAGTCTATCCGAAACACCCGGTCCTGTTTTTCTAACCAATTCGAAAAAGAATCCATCTCTTTGCTGAAGCAACAGATGAGGATGGTCAAACTCAACAGCTTGTCCGGCATCCATTACTAAAACCTAAAAGACGGTAGAGATAAGCTTACTAAGAACATAATAATAATTGTTCGTCAGTCGTTCCTACATTTTTGTGAGACGCCTTTATGGCATCCCTGATTTTCATAGTTTTCTACTGTTCCGCGTCAGCGCTCTATTTTGAGGTTATGTTTCATCAGCCTGACACGGAACAGTAGAAATCTAGAAACACCCAACGGCCTTTTTGAAGGAGAGACAATATTATGAAAATCAAGGAGACCATAAAGGCAGCCCACAATTGCAGGAACGACGATACGGTCCTAAGGCCCGGTTTTTCATGTGCAGTTCAACTGTGACTACTGATAACCAAAAGTTAATTGTTAATGTTAAGTTTTTTCTAAAACAGTAGGTAGTCAATTTTAACCAGAATACCATCTTATTAGAAAGTTGTAGCTGCAAAGCCTAACCTTTTTTGATTGTCATAAGCTATCACGTATTATACATGGTGGCCAATATACAGGGTGTCCCAGAAATCGACGTCAAGCCGAAACCGGGTGATAGGCAAAGTCATAACAGCTATTAGAAAAATATTTAAAAAAATTTTATGTATGTGTTTTGAAAATTATAGGTCTTTGAAAAAAATATAGAAATTTCACACCCTACGGCAGTCTGTCAACTCCTGTTACTACAAATATTAACTTTTTTTGGATTTTATTTTTACAATGTAATGATGAATAATGCATCTTCAAACTGGTGTCTCAATCTTACTGCCAACTTTTCTCGTTCAGGAAAAATTGCCACTTATTTCCCAACCAAGTATTCCAAAGTAAAACTTTGCTCAACTTTAACTGGCTGTACTGGAAAAAATGTACTACGAGAGTTTGGCAAGTAACCTTAAAAGTTGGCGCATTTAATAAGGATTCCAAAATGGTATAACACTTAGAAGATTACTCGTTAACTTATGCACAATTCTTATTTGAAGAAAAACTGATGAAAATTTTTCAAAATTTCCTAATTAAACAGCGATTATGAAAACGCACAAGGACCCTTAAGGATAACTGTTTGCACAACAGTGGGCGTCAAAATGCTGCTGATGATGATTTACCTTTACAGCAAAAGCTCAAACTGTTTTCCTTCAGCCGCAATACACGCTCGACATCTTCTTAAAAAAGATCGGGTTATTAAACGAGCGAATCCACGGTTATTAACAAACTCAGCTGCTTCCAATAGTCTTTGCCGTAGCTCAGCTACATTTTGAATCGGCTTGAAATACACTTTTTCTTTTACAGTTTCCCAGTAAAAAAATCTAACGGATTCAAATCTGGTGACCTCGCTGGCCACGATATTGTACCAGACCGCCCTATCCATCTGCCTGGAAAGTTTTGATCGAGATACTCTCTCACTGAGAGTGCATAGTGCGCTGGGCAGCCATCATGCTGAAACCACATGTCCCTGTAAATACTCAGTGGCACGTCCTCCAATAAATTTTCTAAATGATTTTGCAAAAAACCTAAATAAACCTCAGCAGTCAAAGTTTCTGGGAACTCAAACGGACCGATTATTTTACCATTTAAAATTCCTGTCCAATGGTTTATCTTGAAGCGATATTGAGATTTATCTTCTCTCATCAGATGTGGGTTTGCTACGTGCCACTCGTGTAAGTTATGCAGGTTCATGTACCCATCTTTCTTAAATGTGGTCTCATCTGACCATAAAATTTTTTCAAAGAACCCTGTGTCTTTCTAACATTGTGCGACAAAAAGCAACTCGGGGCTCATAATCCCGGGGCAGAAGAGCTTGAACACGTTGTACGTGGTATGGATGGAGCACGTTTTTTTTGCAAGATTCTATGGGCTGTACTTTTGGGCACACCTGTTTTTAGTTCTATTGCACGCACTGAAGTACTCGCGTCTTCTTCGACAGCTCCTAGCACCACGTCTTCGTAAGGAAGGAAAGATCTTCCCTCACCGTGTGATTGGTTTGGTAGTTGGCCCTCTGAGAACGGTAAGCGGTGCACATTTGTGAACACTCGATGATCTGGATGACGAGCTGCATTCGGGTACCTCTCACAGTAAAGTCTCGCTGCAGCACTAGCGTTGCATCTGCATTCCCCATAAATGAGGTGCATGTTAGCATATTCTTGTACGGTGTACACGGACATAGCGGCACTGCACAATCACACTATCAAAGATAGTCTAAGGAAAGCAAATGTTGTTTTGAAGAGCAATTAAACAGTCCAAATCCAAATCACAAGCGATCAACAGTCCAGTTCACGAATCCAAAATTAGTAACAGTACGAAATCAACAAGCACGAACATGTAAAGATACGCAGTAAACGAAGGAGTACTGATCGGTATCAAAGTGTGCAATAGCAAGTAAGTGATGTGCTTCATCCGTACCACATACAGCGTGTTCAACCTCTCCTGCCCCGGGATCATGAGCCCCGAGTTGCTTTTTGTCGCACAATGTTAGAAAGACACAGGAAAGATCCACAGTTCTTTGAAAAAATTTTATGGTCGGATGAGACCACATTTAAGAAAGATGGGTACATGAACCTGCATAACTTACACGAGTGGCACGTAGCAAAGCCACATTTGATGAGAGAAGATAAATCTCAATATCGCTTCAAGATAAACCATTGGACTGGAATTTTAAATGGTAAAATAATCGGTCCGTTTGAGTTCCCAGAGACTTTGACTGCTGAAGTTTATTTGGATTTTCTGAAAAATCATGTACAAAATTTATTGGTGGACGTGCCACTGAGTATTTACAGGGACATGTGATTTCAGCATGATGGCTGCCCAGCGCAAAATGCACTCTCAGCGAAAGAGTATCTCGATCAAAACTTTCCAGGCAGATGGATAAGGCGGTCCGGTACAATACCGTGGCCAGCCCGATCACCTGATTTGAATCCTTTAGATTTTTTTACTGGGGAACTGTAAAAGAAAAAGTGTATTTCAAGCCCATTCAAAATGTAGCTGAGCTGCGGCAAAGACTATTGGAAGCAGCTGAGTTTGTTGATAACCGTGGATTCGCTCGTTTAATACCCCGATCTTTTTTAAGATGTCGAGCGTGTATTGCGGCTGAAGAAAAACAGTTTGAGCATTTGCTGTAAAGGTAAATCATCGTCAGCTGCATTTTGACGCCCACTGTTGTGCAAACAGTTATCCTTAAGGGTCCTTGTGCGTTTTCATAATCGCTGTTTAATTAGGAAATTTAGAAAAATTTTCATCATTTTTTTTTCAAATAAAAATTGTGCATAAGTTAACGAGTAATCTTCTAAGAGTTATACCATTTTGGAATCCTTATTGAATGCGCCAACTTTTAAGGTGACTTGCCAAACTCTCGTAGTACATTTTTTTCCAGTACAGCCAGATAAAGTTGAGCAAAGTTTTACTTTGGAATACTTGGTTGGGAAATAAGTGACAATTTTTCCTGAACGAGAAAAGTTGGCAATAAGGTTGAGACACCAGTTTGAAGATGCATTATTCATCATTACATTGTAAAAATAAAATCCAAAAAAAGTTAATATTTGTAGTAACAGGAGTTGACAGACTGCCGTAGGGTGTGAAATTTCTATATCTTTTTCAAATACCTATAATTTTCAAAACACATACATAACATTTTTTTAAATATTTTTCTGATAGCTGTTATGACTTTGCCTATCACCCGGTTTCGGCTTGACGTCGACTTCTGGGACACCCTGTATACAAACCATTCAGTTACATATCGGCCACCCTGTACTACACACACACCGAGAGTCACAAAAAAGGACATAGCAGGATAGTTCAGACACAAAAACAGCGTTACTATATCAAAGATTATCATAAATTGACAACTGGTAGAAAAACCTACATAATGCCACAGAGCACCTATATGATTTCAAAAAACAGACATAATGTCACTTGTCAATACCGAATACCTTCCACACTTGTTGGATGTTGCTTACCCTATCGGAATCCATGATGGTATGCAACCTATGAGCAATTGTCAGAACGGTACAATGCGCAAATTTCGTCCTGATAGTGGTTTGTATAAACTTGTCAGTGGCCGCGTCAACATTTGCGGTAGCCTCGTCCATCACTAATATGATATTTCCCCGTAGTATGGCTCTCGCTAGACATACCATTTGTCTTTGACCGACACTTAGATTGATGCCTCCTTCGGTCATTACGTCATTCAAGCAGTCTAGAAATGATAAAACGCATAATGCACGAGCTTTCAAGCAAAAGACATTATATATATATATATATATATATATAGCAAATATGAGAAAAATTGGAGAACTTGCATATCTCCCCAAATTTTGACTCTTCACAACCATAAATAGAATCTGTATCTTGGTCGATTCCACCAGTAAATTTCATTCCACTCAAATTCTAATAATTCTCTTCTCACGATTTAATAATAATTGTTAATTTAATTTCCCATTAATTAAAATATAGTTTATTCAACTGCCTCTGGTCGGTTCAACAATTTCTTACATAACATTCTGAAAATCACATCATCTGAAGTGATTTGGCAACGTTGGCACACGCCCACAATTCGTTCCATCTTTCTACACAGACATTGACAACCTTCGGCCTTCTGTCAAAGGGTTCATCTCACTCATTATTCCATGACCACCATTTTGTGCAATCATCAAGTGGCTTCACGATGTAATGCTTTAATGTTTTTAAATAATTTTTAATCTGTTTTTAACTTGTTCTTGTCATATTTTATATAATTTTGACCATTGTACCATCTATCCAGCTCTCCCCATGTTACTGGACGTTTCCCTCATCCTATACGTAAACAACAATTAGCAACATCCTCACATACTACTGTAAGTTGAGTCAATTTAAATTCATTTTACACTATTGTTGCTACTGTTATCATTGTAATTGCAGCTCCTGATGATGATGGCAAAGTCCATTGAAAGCTAGAGAGAATTAAAAAAGTATAAAGAGTCCTCTTTGCTTAAATTTTGTCGAAGTACCCAACAAAAGGCGGAAGCTTCAATTTTATATATATATATATATATATATCTACTTTGTGGTTATGTTATACGTAGTCATGCCATAAGTTCTGTCCCTCGTTTTCAAACAAGTGTAGACCTGTTAATACTTGTCCGATTGTTTACATTGTGGTGTCAGTTGATTAAGCGCTTTTCGGGTAATTACATATACCTCAGTTTGTATTGATCTCTCGAAGCATAACGATGGAGTGGGGCAAGGCAGAGAACCGTATTGCAGTGATAGCTTTACATAAGTGTAATCACAGTGCTAGTCAGATTTTTGAACTCTTACGCGGCCTTCAAATATCGCGTAAATTTGTGTCTAGGACCATTCAGCGGTACAATGAGACGTCCTCTGTTGATGACAGGCCAAGAAGCGGAAGACCTCGTCAAGTAAGGACTCCAGCAGCCATCAAAGCCGTAAAAGCCAGGATTCAAAGGAATCCACTCCGGAAGCAGAAGATCCTATCCAGGGAAATGAAGATTCCTGTCCGGACGATGTCGCGCATCATTAAACAAGACCTAGGGCTAGGGGCTTACCGGAGACGTACGGGCCAGCGACTTACGGCCACCTTGCGACATATCAGGGCGACAAGATCCAAGAAGCTCTTGGAGAGGTACGCAGCTGGGGGATTCCGAAAGATTTTGTTCACGGATGAGAAAATCTTCACCATAGAAGAAAAATTCAACCGACAAAATGACAAAGTGTATGCAAGGAGTTCACAGGAAGCTTCGGAGATCATTCCGAGAGTTGAGAGAGGCCACCACCCTGCGTCAGTCATGGTTTGGTGGGGGGTGTCCTACGAAGGGGTCACTCAGCTCCATTTCTGTAAACAGGGCGTGAAAACAAAAGCGGCAAACTATCAGAGCGACATACTGGATCCTATCGTCAAGCCTTTAAGTGGTACATTGTTTGCCAACCAACACTGGGTCTACCAGCAGGATTCCGCCCCCGCTCACAAGGCTAAGAGTACGCAGCGCTGGCTGGAAAGCAATGTGACAGAGTTCATTGCTGCGGAAGATTGGCCCTCAGGGAGGTCCGGACCTCAATCCTTTAGACTACAAGTTGTGGGACCTGCTAGAGCAGTTGGCCTGCTCCAAAGCCCACCGTAATATCGAGTCCCTGAAAGCGGATTTGATCCGATCAGCGGCAGCTATTCCTTTGGAAGCTGTGCGTGCAGTGATAGATGAGTGGCCCGCGAGATTGAAGCAGTGTGTGAAGGCCAAGGGGGGACATTTTGAATAAAACTGTTTGATTATGAATTCTAAAAATGTTGTCGAATAAATAATATCTTTCATATAAATATATCTTATCTTGTTTCATTTTTATCATGAGATTATCATGGGACAGAACTTATGGCACGACTATGTAAATATCTATTTGCATCAAATTGTCCATGCTTTTGCAGCCTGAAATTTTCTATACCCTATTTCACGAGTATCCGTCACGCTTTGACGTCTACTGAGGTGAACAGCTGATCAGCAACTGACTCTTTTGTGCTTGTCTACAACGTTGGCAATAACGAATCGGCTATAAATCTAGTAGAACTTGTTTGTGGCGTTTCGTCTTTATATGCAAATGAACATTTCTAAATAAAAGAGCTGAACAAAATGAATCAGTAGCGTACAAAAAAACAAAAGATCCGTCAGAATTATGTGTCCTGTGCCGATAGGGGAAATTTTGAAGTGTTATTAGATAACCAGCTGTCATTCTATCGTGATGGATACTCGAAAAATAGGGTGTATACCGCGACGGTAGAATGACACCTGATTATCTAGTAATATCCCAAAATTCCCCATATCGGCACAGGACACGTAATTCTGACGGATCTGTCAACGTCAGGTAGTCAGAGCCGTATTTTGTTTTGGTTCTTTTGTACGCTACAGATTCATTTTGTATTTTTACAGGTCTTTTACTTAGAAAAGTTCATTTGCTTACAAAAAACAAAATGTCACTTGTTGATCAGCTGTTTACGTCAGTAGACGTCAAAGAGTGATGGATACTCGTGAAATAGGGTATAAAAGACGCCGCTTCGTAACGCACGATTAGAAAATTATTTCAAATAGCTTGAATCAATTATATTAGAAAAAATATTGTTTCAGTAAATGTTGAAACGCACCCATTCCTTTTTGTACGGCATTTTTTAGTTCTACATCCATGAGTGCGCGATAAATATCTTCATCTCTGTGTTCATGGAATGGATCTAAATTATGCCTCAGGGTGCCGGAAAACAAAACAGGTTCCTAAAATAAATGTATATTAAATAGCCTAAGTTCCTAGGAATTCCAATCATTATTTAGTGTGTAGGATTGCGAAGCTCATCATCGCGTTGCCTAGCAACCCTGACAGTAAGTCGCATCTATACTGAAATAAATAATTCTGATCAAAATGAAAAAAAAAGATTAAATCGATCTTCTTAGGTTTGGCAGTAACCTAACCTATTGCAGAAGCCTGTGCGAACATTTTCTGGTGTAACATATTAGCAACGCGGTAGATTGCACGACCTTTGTTGGGCAATATGGGTGATATATGAGTATTGGGTGCTATAAATCACGAGGAATAGTGTACAATAATTCTGCATACTCGTCTGGCCGACAAATGGAACCACATAGGTTTGAATTACAGCTTACTGACACGACGTTTCGGCCACCTCGGTGGCCTTTTCCAACTACTTGTCAATAAACAATAATTCACTCATACAGGATGACACAAAAGTCCCGGAACGGCTCTGTATTTTCTCGGTTAAGGTATTTTTGGAAAAGATCAAGTTCAGATTTTATACGTAAGTAAGTTTCAGCAAGGAATTCAACGGTGACCTTGAATTGAACCTTGACTTCCACATTCAAGGTTAATTTACGGTCAATTTTATTCATTCAAATAGAAACCCCTATTTTTGATGCCGGTAATCGAAAGAACAGAAAATTCTACGTTAATACACAATTAAAGTCCAACACTACCAAAGGTCAGATGAAGATATTACTAGGAAAACCTATAAATATCACAGGATTAGTGATGAAAATAACTATCAAGGTCAGATCTGTAATAAATTTTGACGACTTCGATTTAGACCTTAAACTTCACCTTCGAGGTCATTTCAAGCTATTTTTTTTCAAATAGAAACCCGCAGGAACAGTATTCCTTGTTTAGGACTTACCAAGAGCTCTGACCTTGCTAGTTATATTCGTCACTATTCGTGTGAGATTTTTGGAAGTTTTCCTAGCAGCAGACATTTGGCCTTTATGTGACCTCTAGTGGTCACCTTGACCTTGAATTGTAACGCACATTTGAAGATGAAATTTCCGGCTCTGTGGATTGTCGGCATCAAATTGGCGTTTCTATTTTTATTTATTTTAAAATAACGTTGAAGGTGAGATCCAAGGTCAAATCCAGGATCACCGCTACATGAGAAGATTTACTGTAGACCTGATCTTACTAGTTATTTTCGTCACGATCTTGATGGCTTTCTAAAGGTTTTCCTAGCAGCACATATTTGACCTTTATTTAATTTATTTGACCTCCTGTTCAATTGTCAGCATCGGTTTCCAAAAAAATAAGATGATTTTGGGCCAGTATTATCGAGGGAGCAACGGTGCTCCTTACAAATTATTGTTAACCGACACTATTTCTGCGGGTATCTATTTGAAAAATGACCTTGATGGTCAAGTTCAAGGCCAATTCCAAGACCACTCGTAAAAATTGACCAAAGAACTTACCTTGATAATCCTATAAGATTGATAGTTTTTGACTTCCATTTGACCTCAAGTGGTCACCATGACCCTAACAATCAATTCGTATTTGAACGTAAAATTTTCCGCTCTTTTGGATGCCGGCATAAAAATAGGGATCTCCATTAAAAAAAATTGACCTTGAAATAACCTCAAAGGTGATGATTAAGGTCAAATCAACCGTGTACTACCTCGTTAAAATTTACTAGACTAGCATTTGATAGTTGTTTTCATTACTAATCGTGAGATTTATAGAGGTTTTCCAGCAGCACACATTTGACCTTTGGCTGCATCCTGGCCTTAGACTTCAACTAGTATTTGAACGTTAATTTTGCTGCGTCTTTATCGAAAAAAAGTTGCGTGAAAGTCAAGGTCAAATCAAAGCTCAGATTTATAGAGGTTTTCCTAGCAGCATACATTTGGTCTTCATTTGACCTTTAGTAGTCATTCTGACCTTGGATTTTAATTGCACTTGGACGCTGGATTTCTGTACTTTCGAATGCCGGCATCAAAAATAGGAATTTCCATTAAAAAATATGTATTTGACCTTGAAATAACCTTGAAGGAGAGGATCAAGATCAAATCCACCGTCCACTACCCTCCTTAAAATTTACCAGACCTACCTTTGATAGTTGTTTTCATTACTAATCCTATGAGATTCATAGAGGTTTTCCTAGAGGCACACATTCGACCTTTAGATGGCACCCTGACCTTGGATTTAAATTCGTATTTGTACGTAAAATTTTCTGATTTTTTGTTTAAAAAAAAGTTTACTTTGCAATAACTATATATATAATATATTTATAATAAAAATATATATTTGACCTTGAAATAACCTTGATGGAGAGGATCAAATTCAAATCCACCGTCCACTACCCTCCATAAAATTTACCAGACCTATCTTTGATAGTTGTTTTCATTACTAATCCTATAAGATTCATAGAGGTTTTCCTAGCAGCACACATTTGACCTTTAGATGGCACGCTGACCTTGGATTTCAATTCATATTTGTACGTAAAATTTTCTTATTTTTTGTTTAAAAAAAAGTTTACTTTGCAATAACTTATAATATGTATAAAAAATATATATATTTGACCTTGAAATAACCTTGAAGGAGAGGATCAAGGTCAAATCTACCGTCCACTACCCTCCTTAAAATTTACCAGACCTGCCTTTGATAGTTGTTTTCATTACTAATCCTATGAGATTCATAGTGGTTTTCCTAGCAGCACACATTTGACCTTTAGATGGCACCCTGACATTGGATTTCAATTCGTATTTGTACGTAAAATTTTCTGATTTTTTGTTTAAACAAAAGTTTACTTTGCAATAACTATATATATATATGATATATACAGGGTGACTTTGAAGTTGAGTCATTAATTTTCAGATAATGATTGTAGAAGGAAGATAAACCAGAATATGTGTGTAAAAATAAAAAAAAATTAAAAAAAAAAATTTACCTTGTTTTATAAAGTATCCTCCCGACAAGTATTTCAGTGCGGACCTGTATTTGATCGTGAGGTCCCCTGTGAGGTCTTAAGTCACCTGATTCACGAGCCCGTTGTACTACATTAACAAAGGCACGAGGGGTTGGTTGCACTCGATTGGGAAACCGATCCGCATAAACATGTGCCATTTTTTATTTCGTTTGAGCCACGCAACACATACCACTGTTCACTGACACTAACTGTATACAAATGAATGAGATACCTGTAAAAACATCGTTCCAAATTCTTTCGCTTTTTTGTTTCCGATGCGATGAACCGATACGGCGGATTATATCCATTGTCGCCAAACACGACCACATAATATTGTTATTGAGACAGGGCGGTACTCAAACTTCCAAAGGGCTATAACTTTGTTACTTTAATTTTACCAGGAAAATGGTAAAGGAAAAAAACATTTCTTTTGATCAGATCTACTCACTGTTAAAATAAATGACTCAACTTCGAAGTCACCCTGTATATATATATATAATAATAAAAATGAAGGTCAAGGTCAAATTTAAGGTCAGTTCGCTTCCTCGTTAAATTTTACCAAATATATGACCTTGATAGTAATTTTCATAACTCATCCGGTGAGATTTTTCCTAGCACCACACATATGATCTTCATTTGACCTTTAGTAGTCATCCTGACCTTACACTTTAATTGCGCTTGGACGCTGAATTCCTATTCTTTCGATTGCTGGCGTCAAAAATAGAGGTTTCTATATGAAAAAATAAAGTTGACTATGAATTAACCTCAAAGATGACGGTCAAGGTCAAATTTAAGATTAGTGCGCTTCCTGGTTAACATTCACCAAGGACCTGCGATAGTTATTTTCATCACTTATCCTGTGAAGTTTATAGAGGTTTTCCTGACAACACGCATTTGATCTTCATTCGACCTTTAGTAGTCATCCTGATCTTGGACTTTAATTGTACATGGACGCTTGATTTCTGTTATTCCGATTGCCGGCATCAAAAATAGGGGCTTCTGTTTGAAAACATAAGGTGACTATGAATTAACCATGAAGGTGAATGTCAAGGTCAAATTCAAGGTCAGCGTCCGATTCCTCGTTATAGTTATTTTCGTCACTCATCTTCTGAGGTTCATAAAGATTTTCCTAGCAGTACACATTTGTCCTTTTGACCTTTTGTAGTCATTCTGACCTTGGACTTTAATTGTACTTGGACGCTGAATTCCTGTTCTTTCGATTGCCGGCACCAAAAATAGGGGTTTCTATATGAAAAAATAAAGTTGACTATGAATTAACGTCAAAGATGAGGGTCAAGGTCAAATTCAAGATCAGTGCGCGTCCTGGTTAACATTCACCAAGGACCTGCCTTGATAGTTATTTTCATCACTGATCCTGTGAATTTTATAGAGATTTTCCTGACAACACGCATTTGATCTTCATTTGACCTTTAGTAGTCATCCTGACCTTGGACTTTAATTGTACTTGGACGCTGGATTTCTGTACTTACGAATGCCGGCATCAAAAATAGGAATTTCCATTAAAAAATATGTATTTGACCATGAAATAACCTTGAAGGAAAGGATCAAGGTCAAATCCACCGTCCACTACCCTCCTTGAAATTTACCAGACCTACCTTTGATAGTTGTTTTTATTACTAATCCTATGAGATTCATAGAGGTTTTCCTAGAGGCACACATTTGACCTTTAGATGGCAGCCTGACCTTGGATTTAAATTCGTATCTGTACGTAAAATTTTCTGATTTTTTGTTTAACAAAAAGTTTCCTTATATATAATATATATATATAATAAAGGAGAAGGTCAAGGTCAAATTTAAGGTCAGTTCGCTTCCTCGTTAAATTTTACCAAATACCTGACCTTGATAGTGATTTTATATCTCATCCTGTGAGATTTTTCCTAGCACCACACATATGATCTTCATTTGACCTTTAGTAATCATCCTGACCTTGCACTTTAATTGCGCTTGGACGCTGAATTCCTGTTCTTTCGATTGCCGGCACCAAAAATAGGGGTTTCTATATGAAAAAATAAAGTTGACTATGAATTAACGTCAAAGATGAGGGTCAAGGTCAAATTCAAGATCAGTGCGCGTCCTGGTTAACATTCACCAAGGACCTGCCTTGATAGTTATTTTCATCACTTATCCTGTGAAGTTTATAGAGGTTTTCCTGACAACACGCATTTGATCTTCATTCGACCTTTAGTAGTCATCCTGATCTTGGACTTTAATTGTACTTGGACGCTTGATTTCTGTTATTCCGATTGCCGGCATCAAAAATAGGGGCTTCTGTTTGAAAAAATAAGGTGACTATGAATTAACCATGAAGGTGAAGGTCAAGGTCAAATTCAAGGTCAGCGTCCGATTCCTCGTTATAGTTATTTTCATCACTCATCTTGTGAGATTCATAAAGATTTTCCTAGCAGTACACATTTGTTCTTTTGACCTTTAGTATTCATTCTGACCTTGAACTTTAATTGTAGGTACTTGGATGCTGGATTTTTGTTCTATCGATTGCCGGCATCAAAAATAGATGTTTCTATTTGAAAAAATTCCACGACCACGAATTAGCCAAGGTCAAATACTAGGTCACCGCTGAATTCCTTCCTTAAAGACCCGATCTTGATCTTTTCCAAAAATACCTGACCCGAAAAAATACAGAGCCGGGACTTCTGTGTCACGCAGTATGTGGTCAACATAAGTTCCAGGTGTTACTTTAAGGTGCAAGGAGACTTTGGTCGGCGGTTCTACAACAGTCCTACTGAAGTAGAATCCCGAAGCATACCTGTGGTATGATTGAAATCTTTTTTCTGAGGTCATGCAGCCCTAATACGCTGATGTCCAGGTAGTCGATCAAGATCTGACCTTCGGTGTACGCTAGCCGGAACAATGTCGAAATCAAAGATGATTTGCCAGCGCCTGTTCGTCCAACAATTCCAATCTAAAAAAAATATATAAGTACGAGCGTTGTGGAACACAAATTGAAATGTTTCCTACTTACTTTTTCACGTGGATTAATCACTATGTTCAAGTGCTTCAAAACAGGTGGTTCCAGCTGGCTGTACCTCATGGAAACGTCTATGTATTCGATTCGTCCGTATCTTGGCCATGACGCTGGAGGTTTCTTGTCTCGTGCCTAAATACAATTACGGGCGAATTGTACGAGGGTTGTCTCAAAAATATGGTTCCCAATGCTGTACCGCGCGTGATGCTGGGCGAAATCTGGCAACACCGTCGTGTTGGTCGGCTCCCCCACCACCGATCCCAACAAGAAGCGCCTATTTAAGGTGCCGACAGCCAAGCGCAACGGAGCCCTTCATCGCCGTCAACGCATGTGCAAAAACGTTACCACCCATAGGCAGTTGCGTGAAGTATGTGAGAATTTCTTATTGTTTATCCCAAAACACCTGTTTTCCGGCCATAACTACTAGTTTAATGGGCGGCTGGCCCTGTACAATTAGTGGACAGTCCGACAGACAAACAGATCGACGGATATGAGTGACATGGTTTTCCGTGATGTACATGTCATATAACATCAAAACACGTAACATCTTAATTTCGAAATTTATCGCGATTACAATACTTCCTCACCAGTTTTGGCATAGGGATTAAAAGCAACTAAAAATAATTCTAACATTCAATATCAAGCATTCCACGGTGTTTAACTATGATTGATTTTTTTTTTTGGTAATATATTAATTTTTATATTGATCTTATTTCAAATTAGTCGTACTTGATTGTTGGACGTTATATTGCAGCAGCATGGATTATTATAAATTATTTTTTACATTTCAGTTCGATTGAAGGGTTTTTTATTTGTTAAAACTATATTTTTTAGATATACTAAGTGACATATGAATCCGAACACCCAGTTTAAATGGTTTTATTTTAATAAAAGTTGGTGAATGTATTTATCTTACTGTAAATAACAAGTGAAAAAATTTTCAGCCTTATCAGTTGGACATTCCGGTTTTTATACTGCTTTTTTTTAATTCACTAACGCTCTAAAAATGAATATTTCAGCCGCAGTAAAGAATCAACGTTCGCGGATTTTGGTTCTTGACATCCTTTACGATCGGTTACGATGCCTAGAGTACGGAGACCTGTACGATTTCGTCAACTTAGTGAGTTTGATAGGTGCCGTATAGTGGGACTTCGGGAAGCTGGACTTTCTTTTCGGGCAATTGCAGTTAGAGTGCAAAGAAGTGTAGACACTGTGGTTAGGTGTTGTAAGGCATGGCTTCGAGAAGGCCGTACGCAAAGAGCAAGGGGCACTGGACGCCGCCGTAGAACAACAGACCGTGAAGATCGTCGCCTAAGATTATTGGCCTTAAGGGACCGTTTCTCCACTACCAGGTCCATTGCAAATGAATGGTTTGCAGAACACGGAAGACCTATTGGCATGCGAAGTGTTTACCGACGAATGAGAAGTTTTGGCTTGTTTTCATACCGGCCACACTGGGTCCTCCCTTTAACTCGAGAACACCGACGTAATCGCTTTGAGTGGTGCAGACAACGGTCACTCTGGGATCAGGAATGGAACAGTATTGTCTTTAGTGACGAGTCTCGATTTTGTTTAGGCATGCACGATGGTCGTGCCAGGGTTAGAAGGCGATGTGGTGAAAGGAGGAATCCACAGTTTTTTGTTGAAAGACATGTTCATCACACTGTTGGAGTTATGGTTTGGGGTGCTATAGCTTATGGTTCCAGGTCACCTTTAATCTTCATCAGAGGTAACATGAACGCGCAGCGTTATATCCACAAAGTTATAGAACCCCATCTTTTACCCTATCTTGACACCCTGGCAGATCCAACTTTCCAACAAGATAATGCCCGACCACATGTTGCAAGAGTCACAATAGATTTCTTTCAACATAATGATGTCACATTGTTACCATGGCCACCAAGATCTCCCGACTTATCCCCAATTGAGAACGTGTGGGATATGATGGGAAGGAGATTGCTCAATTTGCAACGTCCTCCTCAGACTCTAGAAGCACTTCGAGAGGAGTTGGTGGTTGCCTGGAATGAGATACCACAGGAGGACATTGACCACCTGATCAGAAGCATGACTAGGCGCGTTGGAGAATGCGAAGCACATCAGGGTGCATCCACACATTATTAAAGGTCAAAGGGCTTTAAAGCAGTGCAATCATTTTATGCTTCATTAAGTATATACTTATACAAAATTTTATTAAAATAAAACCGTTTAAACTGGGCGTTCGGATTTATATGTCACTTAGTATATTTTGCTGGGTTTAGTCTCAGCCAAATATAATAAATCTGACTCTATTCAACTTTAAAGAGGTCTGAGAATCTAGAGATACCTGACACTAAAAACTGCATGGTACACTCAAATTTGAGACAGAAAAATGGAGTCAAATATGTTTCTGCACTTTCGAGTCAGAGGTAGATTTCTCGTCTAAAAAAATACGTAGGAAAAAATGGAGACTGTGGAGAAAAATAACGTTTCCAATGACGAATGGATTCATTTTTCAAATAAAAAAATCTTGCGCTTGAAAAAAATGTGGGAACCGTATTTTTGAAACAACCCTCGTAATAGTCCCGTCACCTGTATCGAGAATAAATTAGAGATTGCAAAGTTGTAAAAGTGAAACTAGTGATTATGAATGATTAAAAACGACAACTTTCTCACCGATTCTAAGTCTGGTTCATGTTCAATTCTAGTGAATTCCAAAACTCTTTCTACCGAAGTCATCTGATTTTCCAATTCTGCTGATTGCCTCATTCCCCATTGAACCAATCCACTCAGTCCAATACACTGTGTTATAGCTAATCCTACGTCGCTACCGTTGTACGCTGAAAAAGTTTAGTAGAAAATTGTTAAATAAACGTTAACTGCGTGTAAAAAACGGCAGTCTACCAAACTAAACAAATGTAGTTGAAACGCCAGTAAAGTTGTTCAGTTAGCTGGATATAGAGCAGAGAGATCGATTTATTTCAATGTTTCAATGCCTGGTAAATGAAAATGCATATGTTCAAATGAAATACTATTTACTGACATTGTATACTAAGTGACATATAAATCCGAACACCAAGTTTAAATGGTTTTATTTTAATAAAATTTTGTATAAGTACTTAATGAAGCATAATAAATAAATGATAAATATTTCAAAATGATTGCACTGCTTTAAAGCCCTTTGACCTTTAATAATGTGTGGATGCGCTCTGATGTGCTACGCATTCTCCAACACGCCTAGGCATGCTTCTGATCAGGTGGTCAATGTCCTCCTGTGGTATCTCATTCCAGGCAACCACCAACTGCTCTCAAAGTGCTTCTAGAGTCTGAGGAGGACGTTGCAAATTGAGCAATCTCCTACCCATCATATCCCACACGTGCTCAATTGGGGATAAGTCGGGAGACCTTGGTGGCCATGGTAACAATGTGACATCATTATGTTGAAAGAAGTCTATTGTGACTCTTGCAACATGTGGTCGGGCATTATCTTGTTGGAAAGTTGGATCTGCCAGGGTGTCAAGATAGGGTAAAAGATGGGGTTCTAGAACTTCGTGGATATAACGCTGCGCGTTCAAGTTACCTCTGATGGAGATTAAAGGTGACCTGGAACCATGAGCTATAGCACCCTAAACCATAACTCCAACAGTGTGATGAACATGTCTTTCAACAAAAAACTGTGGATTCCTCCTTTCACCACGTCGCCTTCTAACCTTGGCACGACCATCGTGCATGCCTGAACAAAATCGAGACTCGTCACTAAAGACAATACTGTTCCATTCCTGATCCCAGAGTGACCGTTGTCTGCACCACTCAAGGCGATTACGTCGGTGTTCTCGAGTTAAGGGAGGACCCAGTGTGGCCGATATGAAAACAAGCCAAAACTTCTCATTCGTCGGTAAACACTTCGCATGCCAATAGGTTTTCCGTGTTCTGCAAACCATTCATTTGCAATGGACCTGGTAGTGGAGAAACGGTCCCTTAAGGCCAATAATCTTAGGCGGCGATCTTCACGGTCTGTTGTTCTACGGCGGCGTCCAGTGCCCCTTGCTCTTTGCGTACGGCCTTCTCGAAGCCATGCCTGACAGCACCTAACCACAGTGTCTACACTTCTTTGCACTCTAACTGCAATTGCCCGAAAAGAAAGTCCAGCTTCCCGAAGTCCCACTATACGGCCCCTATCACACTCACTAAGTTGACGAAATCGTACAGGTCTCCGTACTCTAGGCATCATAACCGATCGTAAAGGATGTCAAGAACCAAAATCCGCCAACGTTGATTCTTTACTGCGGCTGAAATATTCATTTTTAGAGCGTTAGTGAATTAAAAAAAAGCAGTATAAAAACCGGAATGTCCAACTGATAAGGCTGAACATTTTTTCACTTGTTATTTACAGTAAGATAAATACATTCACCAACTTTTATTAAAATAAAACCATTTAAACTGGGTGTTCGGATTTATATGTCACTTAGTATATTATAAGAAGAGTAAAGCAAAGGCAAACAAGTGAAAAACGTATTAAAGTAATACACCCTCGAAAATGTATCCTTTCTAACAAAAAGTTATGAAATTGTCCTATATTTGAATACCAAAAATGTCAAGCAAAATGAAGTACACTCTAAGAAAAAAAACTCACCTCTGGAGAGTAGCACCCAACAACAACTAAAACAACTAAACGTAAGGTAGGTACAAAAAAGGGTGCTACTCCATAAACTGGTGATTGCGGCCCAATATGCCAAAATCCGGAAATCAAACGAAGGACCCACACACGCTCAACAGGAAATGACGGAATGTCAATTGACTGTCAATCAATGTCAAAAGTGGGAGGGCCCTCGTTGCCAACTTTACGGGGGACCAACGATATTCTATGAGGAAATTTCTGAGATAGAAATTAATAAAATATTATAACGTTAGTGTGCAATTCTCAATCGCTAAGAAAGAAAGATATATTATGTCCGAAATTATATTTTTAGGATCAGGTTGATTCGATCAATAAATTATGAAATTTGCCAAAATAAAATCGTTGAAAAGGATTTGCCCTAGGAATCGGTACTCTATCATTAATAAAGAGAAATTCAAATTACTGGAAAGTGATCGAAATAGTAACAAAAAGGTTTTGTGATTTTGGTACGTCACACCATGATTTCATTTTTTTTAAATAAAAAATACTTTTTTTCACTGATATTGCACATATGATGCATATACAAAGACCATTTGTCCAGAATTGCGTGGAAAGTACAGAGTCGACCTCCTTGACGCCAAGTAGCAATAAAGAAACGACCTTGTAAAATCAGAATCACTATATTTGTACTTCGAAAATGTGGTACATATCATTTACCGGCCAGTGAAACACGGAAATAAATCAGTGAGACAGCCACAGGAAAAATTTAAAGCTGGATTATACAGGGTGTAAATATTATGCTAGTCATTATTTAGAAGGGTGATAGAGGGGTTTAAAAGGAGCAAAAAGTTTCATATAACACGGGGGTCGAAACGGCATTTTTTACATTCGTCCGTCGCTAGAATGTTTTTAAAAAAGAGAACATTGTAAATAAACACGACACCGTACGCGAACAAAAACAAAACAACATACTATAATATAACTATCTAAAACTGTAATGACTCATCGATGTTCACGTGAACATCACTTAACTACCAGTAGTCGGTTGTTCATAGGCGGGGTATGAATGTTTAACATGGGTGAACTAGATTTGTCACATGCTTAATAAAGAGTGGTTTGAAACATATTGTAAGTCAAAAATTTGGGAATTACCTTTATTCATCGTCGCTTCCACTTACATCTGACAGTAATAAACTGTCGCTATCGCTTTCCTCGTTGAAATTGACTATAACTGGCTCTATGATGGTGTCGATGTGGTGGTCAAGCTGCCACATTTCTGTTTCTTCCTTCACAACATGACGGATAGCATTCTGCCAAGCTTCGGGCGTTACTAGCTGTATGGAAGTCTCAGATAAAACCTTAACGTCTGGTAATTTGAAGGTTGTGTTATGGCGCGCAATATAACCCTTCACTTGAGCCCAGATGAGCTCTATTGGGTTAAGTTCACAGTGGTAGGGCGCTAACCGCAGCACAGTGACACCACATTGACGGGCCATCTCATCAGTCACGTAACTAATGTTCGCAGGTTTGTGCTGTTTAATTTTTTCATACAATTCCGCCTTCACACATGAATTGTCAAACAGGATTCTTTTTTCGCGCAACCATTGCTGCATGTCACTTTTTCGAGATCCCATAGTCGGTACACGTTCGGCTCGACGACTATGGTAGGAAGCATTATCCATGACGATCACAGAGTTGGGCTCAACTCGCTGAATTACCCCTTGAAACCAGCTCTCGAAGCAGCTGGCATTCATTTCGTCATGGTAATCACCTCCTTTCTTAGAGACGAAAATCAAGTCACACTCTTCTAAAAAGCCACTATCGCTACCAATATGAGTTACGATCAATCTTTGACGTTTCCCTGACGGTCCACGAAGACTTGTTGACAAACCTTCAATGCTTGCTTGTCGGTTACTCACTACGTTTTTGTCTATCCAGGTTTTTTTTACTGTGTGACCTGCATTTACCCATGTCTCGTCCAAATAATAGATTTTTCTGCTTTGTCGCCTATATTCACTCATTTCGCGTAGATATTTTCGACGCCAGGCGACTATTTCAGGTCTCTCTATCAATACTGACTTCCGATTACGCGTTTCGTAACGAAAATTAATTTCGCGCAGGGATTTCCTCATTACCTCGACGCTCATTTGGGGTATAATTTCATTTTCCTTGATCGCTGCATGTACAGCCTTGAGGGTTGGTATCTCATTCCTAAAGAAGAATGAATGTACGGTTCGCCTTAACGCCATTTTGCTAACGTCATCCAATTTAACGGCCTTTCGTCCCTTCAAATTAAACTTTGGATCAGTAGTAGCTCCAGTTTTCTTCTTTTCATGCACCACCCTGCGAATGGTCCACTCTGGAACGCCTGACATACTTTCACAACGCGCAAGTGCATCTCCCTGCGACATAGTTCTGTTCAGATAATTGAACACGTTGAGCACGATTTCTTTCGCGTCCCTCTTCAGTGCTTTACGAAGCCGTCTACTTGTTCCCTGACTTTCAGTACTTTAAGTATAACCAAAACAGTAACCACAGAAACCACAACAATAACAATCACACAACAATTCTTATAAAAACACACAATATGCGATCGCTCAACGAAACACGTTCCAATGCGCTGCCGACGCCTATGAGTCTGCCGGTCGAGGCGCGTCTTTGATTTCATTGGTTCTACCAGCCATTATTTCCATCTCTGTCTGTGCTGTTGACCACCGCAAAGCCACAGAAACGACATATGTCGTACGCTATACGGCTGTACTGGAAGGAAGCCGGGATCGAGCTCTGATCACGTGTTGATCACGCGTATGAGTCATTACAGTTTTAAATAGTTGTAGTATAACCACTGTCACCGTTTGCGATTTATTGCCGGTTCGATAAGAGCGATGAAAAACCGACGCGCTGTTGTCATGTGTGTTTTAAATATTTAATTTAATGAAATTCACTTACTTACTGACTAAAAATTTTGGCTTAACTTAGAAAAACTTGATGCCAATTTTGTTAATTACCCTAGATTAGATTAGAGATTAGATTGTGGTAATTGTGGTCGATATAAAGCATTTAAAGTTGTAAACTATAAAGCCATTCATACAAACATCTATTGACTTTTGGACCATGAGTCATATGAACTTTTTGACTTGCTTTTTTGTTTTTGACCATAACGTTTACACCCTATATATAGATATCGATTTTGTTTTTGTAGTTACTCGTACTGTTAAAAAATAAAACCTACAATCAGACAACAAAATGAAGCTGAATGTAACTAAGCCGATATACAGGGTACAGATCAGGTCGACCCACATTCCAAACGCCCTGGAACATCCCAAGAACATGAACCAAGCGCTACTGTGCACATCCTGCAGGCTGTCGAATTCATTGACGAGCACTTGTTCTTGTAAATTGGTTCGAATAGTCGCTAGCCCCTGTAAACTCGCATTCAAATGGGCAAACACTGGACTTCTCGCTAAAAGAGAAGCAGACGTTTAATAGTCTGGGTGAAATAAAGATTTAAAACCCCATAAATTGAAAGTGACATACAGGGTTTGTCCGGAAAGTAATAGGACTCATTTAGAAATTGCGGCGAATGGAACTGTGCCAAGAAAATTTGAACATGTGTGAAAGTTACCCCCAATTTTTGAATAACGTAATCACACCCCCCTACTGAGCGAGGGCCGTGGCAAATGCTTGTTCCGGAAGTCGTTGTATCCAGTATACAACTTCTTCCCGTCCAAGTGATTGCGCACGCGTTAAGGAATACCTCAGTACCGATTGCCGGGTGGCGGTACAAGTCCGCCAACGGGCCACTTAAGGTCTATTTAACATCCCTAATACGTAAAAAGAAGGTGGTAGACAAGGACCAGTCGACCGAGGCAGTACCACCCGCTAGCTTTTCCCAGGGTGTCTTATAAATGGCCGCATGTTTCCACACCTAAGCTATGCAGTCGGTTATCTACGAAAACAAAGAAATTAATGATGATGGATCCCTCGAGCACTAAAAACTCCGGACGTAAACTCACTCCACTCTCGGAATGTCCGGGTGGAGGGTGGGCTCGAGGGAACAACATCGAAGATAAAATTTGTTTTTCGAACATCTGCGGGATCAACAGCAACATTGATGCTGTTCATCACTACCTGCAATCCAATCGTCCCGCCGTGCTTTTCTTGGCGGAGACAAAAATCTCAGAGACTGCACCGATCAACCATCTCAACTTCCCAAACTACGTGGTGCACTCCAATCTGAGAAAGAACGGGGGAGTTGTGGCTTTTGTCCGCAGCAGTCTTTCCTGCTCCAGGGATCTTTCTTTGGAATCAGACCGGAAGGACATTCTGTGGCTTCGCCTCAACTCCAAAACATCACCCAAATTTATTTGCTGCCTTTATCGCTCTCCCTCGAACCATAACTGGGATGACCTACTCGAATACCTCGCCGTCCAGATCGACTTCCTGAACATCAATCACCCCGCTTCAGAGGTAGTTCTTCTCGGTGATTTCAATGCCCATAATGAGCTTTGGTTGGGCTCAAATAAGACCGATGCAGCAGGTCGTGCAGTCGAAGCGTTCGCTCTTACTCAAGGGCTGACCCAGCTGGTGACGAGCCCTACTTTTTTCCCCCGCGTCTCGTCACACGCCAGTAGCCTGCTGGATCTCTTTCTGACCACGCATCCTGCTCCTTACAGCACTGCTGTCCTGTCACCCCTGGGTAACTCAGATCACGGTGTTGTGGAGGTTAGGTTTCGGTCAGACGCCGCTGTGGCAGCAGAACCTCGCACAGGCCGCAAAACTTGGCATTACGGACATGCCGACTGGGAGGGGCTCAGAGACTTCTTCTCTAGCTTTCCTTGGAGAGATGTCTGTTTCACTGACGCGGATGCGTCGACTGTCTGTTCTTCAATAACCGAAATTATCCACGTCGGAATGGAGGAATACATCCCTCACACAGTGAAAGTTCCTAAACCAGGGTCCAACGGCTGGTTCAACAAATCGTGTGACACTGCTCGCCAGCAGAAGATCAAGGCCCACAGAACCTACTTACAAAACCCCACTGTAGAGAACAGACAAGCCGACGTCGAGTCCAGAAACAAATATAACGAAGCGGTTCGCAATGCCAAAACCCAGCATGATATAAAAGTTAGGCACAGGGTAATGTCGCAGCGCAATGGCAGTCGGTCTTTCTGGACGCTGGCCAAGCAGATTGAAAAGAACTTCTCACACAGTAGCCTTCCACCACTTACGTGTCAGGATGGAACTATTGTATTCGACTCAAAGGCCAAGGCGGAAGTCCTAGCCAAGATCTTTGCTGCCAACTCCACCATGGACGTCCCTACCAACGCCCAAGTGCCGTCAATTCAAAGGGTTCCCCACACTATGCGGGAGGTAACATTCAGGCATAAGACCGTAAGACGAGTGCTCTTGTCGCTCGACATCAACAAAGCTTCTGGTCCGGACTTGATTCCTGCCATTGTACTGAAGAGATGTGCAGCTGAGCTTGCTCCAGTTCTTTCGCGTCTCTTCCAGATATCTTATGAATCCGGCACCTTCCCAGAAAACTGGAAATTTGCTCATGTACAGCCCATCCCAAAAAAAGGATCTAAAACCGACCCTTACAACTACAGGCCTATAGCTCTGCTTTCTGTTATAAGTAAAGTGATGGAGAGGTGCATAAATCGCGTGCTTCTGGACTACCTCGAACGTCACAGCTTGATTAGCGACAGGCAGTACGGTTTACGGCACCAACGATCCACAGGGGACCTCCTAGCTTACGTCACGCAACTGTGGAGTAAACTCATCCAGTCTCATGGTGAGGCTCATGTCGTTGCTCTTGACATCACGAAAGCGTTCGATCAGCTGTGGCACGCTGCCCTCTTGAGCAAACTTCCATCCTATGGCCTCCCAGAAAAGCTTTACAGATGGGTGGCTGACTTTATCTCTGGCCGCAAGATATCCGTCGTAATTGACGGATTCTCCTCTTCATCCCACAACGTCAACGCGGGTGTTCCCCAGGGATCGGTCTTGGCTCCAACACTGTTTCTCTTACATATCAACGACCTCCTTTCCTGTACGATCAACCCAATCCACAGCTTCGCTGATGACAGCACTCTACATGCAGGAATTCAGAGTGACAAGCCGATCTCTGCCGCTGAGCTGGAAAAAAGAAGACTAGCGATGACTTCTTCTCTGACAAGAGACCTGGAGGCTATCACTGCTTGGAGACGCAACAATCTTGTACAGTTCAATGCTTCCAAAACACAGTACTGTACTTTGACGAACAAAGGGCGTCCTAGCGCTCATACAGTTTCGATGGACGGTCGAGTTCTACCAAAGAGCCATTCATTTCGGCTGGTCGGAGTCCAGATCACCGAGGACCTGATCTGGCACGAACACATCTCTTCAATAGCTGCAGCTGCTGGGAAAAAGCTAGGCTATTTGTTTAGGGCTAAGAAGTACTTTTCTCCGCATGACCTTCTCACTCTATACAAGGCCCAGATAAGGCCTAGCCTCGAGTATTGCTCACACATTTGGGGTGCTGCCGCCCCGACTACATTGTCCATGCTCGATGCTGTCCAGAGGAGGGCGGTCCGACTGATCGATGACTCTTCTCTAACAGACAGTCTCGGAACTCTTTCGCACCGGCGGGCCGTTGGCGATCTGGCTCTTTTCTATCGCTACACCAACGGACTTTGCTCCTCAGAGCTCTCTTCCATGATGCCGCCGCGCGATGTGCCTGCCAGACAGACCGGCCTGACTTTGGCGTCCCATCCTAACCGTGTCAAACTTCGTACATCCAGAACTGGCCGATACGACCGCTCCTTTGTCCCGAGGGTGTCTAGATTGTGGAATAATCTACGGGAGGAAGCTTTTCCCAGTTCTACTAACCTTGGGCAGTTCAAAAATCGTATTAACAAAATTTCTTTGGGATCATCATAGCAGCCGCGGTGTTCCGGCATTTAGGCTTCTGCCTGCGCGGCTGTTTCGATATAAAAAAAAAAACAGGTGACGAGTCGTGGATCTTTGAGTATGATCCCGAGACAAAGAGGCAATCTTCCGAGTGGCACACGACGGCGACTCCTCGCCAAAAAAAGGGAAGAATGAGCAAATCCAAAGTGAAAACGATGCTCTTTGTCTTTTTTGACATCAAAGGCATCGTCCACCATGAATTTGTTCCTCCTGGACAAGCCGTCAACGCCAAGTTTTACGTGGAAGTGCTCAGAAGACTCAAACGAAGTGTCAGTCGGGTCCGACAAGACATCGCAGCCGACTGGAAGTTGCACCACGACAACGCCCCGGCTCACACCGCCTTTCTTGTGAACAGCTACCTGACCAAGGCCGGCATCCCAACGCTTCCGCAGCTGCCCTACAGCCCGGATGTGCCCCTCCCCCCCCGCGCCTGAAAAGGCCGATGAAAAGCAAGCATTTTGAGACGACAGAGAGGATCCAAGCAGCATGCACCGCGGCTCTCAAGGCTATTCCGGAGAGAAAATGCCTTCCGTGACGCCTTCAATGCTTGGAAATCGCGCTGGTAGCGCTGCATCGACGCAGAAGAAGCCTATTTTGAAAGTTTTTATAGAATTGTAACGATTGGCTCAATAATTTTTTTTTGAATCGACTCAGTCCTATTACTTACCGGACAAACCCTGTATTATTTTCCTCAGCTGCCGAAATTAATTATTACAGACCTTTTATGCATTTTTAATTAGTTCTTGTATTTACCATTTACCATATACGGAACCAAATAGCCCAAGAAAATTATACCTTGTTGAAAATAAAATTAAGCTTAACTGCGACTTTGATCTGTCCATATGTGAACAGAACCCGCCGCAATAATATTCCATCACAAAACGGTCTAAATCTCGAAAAAAGCATCTGCTGCAGCGGAATTCACCTATCTGCAAAAATCCTCAGGCAATAATACAAACCCGCCGCCAAGTACAATTTCAAATTCATTTATATGCAGGAATAATTGGACAATATTTAATAGGACCCGTTGAGTTACCACCTAGACTAAGTTAAAATAATAACATCCAATTGCTTTTGAACAATTTTTGTAGCTATTATTTCCGTTTATTAGTTTTGTTGCCATCTTCTTTTGTTATTGTTAAAAACCACAGCAACGCTACTCAGATATTATCCAAAGCAACTTGATTATTATGTTATAAAAGTGCTTTATCATCATGCTACAAATAACACTGGACAACAAATTTTAGTTTTTTAATTGTATCTTGTGGGAAAAGTGCACTTCTTTGTTAATTTTGGGGCGCTGAATCCAAAAATGACAATGAAATAAAAAAAATAGTTGCGGTTTAGAAAAAAAACTTTTTATTTTTAAGGATATATTAAAAAAAGTAACAAGATTCATATACTTATAAGAATCACTATATGCGCTGTCTTTTTGCTGTTCTTTTATGGATCGTTTCTGGAGCATCTCTACCAAGAGTCCAACAGTAGTCTGCAAGCATGGAAGGATTC